TTGACCTGGGGAGCCTCCTCCTGATGTGCGGGCGCAGGCGCCTCCTGTGCGGCGGCAGCTTGGGCGTTCGCAGCGTCGGCCCAGTTCGAGGGCGTCGACGAGGACGTGTCGGCTGCCGTCGTGGCGTCCGCAACAGGCTTGCCCCAGACGCCCGTGGGAGTCGGCGCGGGGACGAACGACGAAGGCGTGACCGAGTTGACGTCGCTGGCGCCGTTGACCTGCGTCTGCGCAGCCGATGCGACACCAGCAGCGGCACCGCGAGGAACGCCGTTCACACCGACAGCTCCACCACGTCCACCGCGTCCTCCCCTAGCACCGCCGCGACCGCCGCGAGCACCCTCTGCGGAAGGGCGACGAGCGACGATCAGCTCTGGCGACAGGCTGGACGGACTAGGATGACGCACCGAAGCCACCACGGCCCCTGGCGGCGAATCCACCGCGCGAGGGAAGGGAAGCGACGGGGACCGACGGAGCAGCTGCCGCCTTCTCGACCTTCTTGTCCTTCTTGGTCTTGACGGCACCCCACTGCTGCGCGAGACCTGTAGCAGCCGTGCAACCAGGTCAGCGGGTTCCTTGGAACGCGAGAGGTGAGGAGCGAAGGGTACTCACCCTCCGACATCCGAACGATGGCAACCTCGACGTCCCCGTTGGCCTCGTTGATTGCGAAGAGCACGTCCTCGTCGGTCCAGTCGGGGAAGAGCTCCTTTGCGGTCGCCAGCTTGTCCGAGTACTTTGCACGCAGCTGGCGCACCTCGTCGGATTCTTCTGTGGGAGCGAGCAGTCCTCGTCAGCTCGCCGCCCTTGGACCCGCACGGTGTGCCCGCATGGTCCTCCCGAGTACTCTGTATCCCACTGGCAGTCGGTGCAAGCCGCGCGAGGGGTGGATTGACTGACCCAGGTCGCGTGTAGGAGCTGGCACGACGGCAGAGACGCCTCCGCGGCCGCGTCGAGGGCGGCCGGTACCGCGAGCAGGAGTCGACATTGTTGGGTGTGAGAAAGAGCTGGGCGTAGCACGCGCGCGAGAGGAGGAACTGGCAAGCACTGGCAGAGCGGCTCGCTCCCTCGCCTCCTGGCGTGCAAAAGTTGACACGTAAGCCCATTCAGCCAGTTTCGCACGCAGCTCACGCAAGGGCTGGACAGCTTCCTTGCAGTGCTAGAGTGCACGAGAAAGCTTTCACCAGTCGCTGTGCAAAGGGTCGAGCCGGTCGAGCAAAGTTGACGGGACCCTCTCCTCGAAACTCGCTCGTCAAGAGACGACGGCGCGCAGATGGATGCTGGTCCTCCTACTCATTCTACTGGCACCTACTCGCTGTCGTCGTCACTGTCGTCGTCGTCCTGAATCGCCTCGAGGAACGGCCGACTCGCCGCCCACAGCTTCTTGCCCTCGTCTCCCGCCGTAGCCCTCGCCTTCGCGCTCTTGTACCACGCGAAAACGCCCTCGTCACTGACGACGTCGGACTCGTAGAACCCCTTCAAGACGCGCAACCAGAACCGCACGTCCGCCTCGCCTGCGACCGCGACGTGTTCCTGCGCGAGCAGGAGGCAGTCGACCATCGCTTCCTCCGACTCGCCCGTCAAGTTGGCGATCAAGCCTCCCCACCTCTCGAGTGTCGCAGCGGCGTTTGTGGCGCCGTCACACCGCTCGAGAACGTAGGGGACGACGACGGCCCGCACCTCGCCAAGCGGGACGTTCGACGCCATCCGCAACGTCTTGAGCTCGATGGCCGCGTTGTCGACCGTGTGGTTCTCGGCGAACGAGCGGTCGAGCGAGTGGAGGCACTCGGTGCGGAACTCGAGCTGTTTTCGGGACGAGGACGACATTTCGGGCTGAAGCATGTCGAGGCCGGCAATGGCCGGCGCTTCGGAGTCGGTCAGGCCTTCATCGTCGGTCGTCGCATCCGTGTTGAGCGACGTCGACGAGCCGTTGCGAGACAGGCTCGACAGCGAGGAGGACGACGAGGCGAGGTCGAGGTTGGCAAAGTGGTGGCCTGTTCGGACGAGCGTGAGCGAAGCCTCGAAGAACAATGTGCGTCTGCGTACTCACCGAGTCGGGTGACGCTCAAGTTGCGCGAGTCGAGCACGTCCTCGTCGTCGCTGTCCTCCTCATCGACCGCCTGCTCCTCCGAAGGCCAGAAGAAGCCGTTCGAAGCCTCGCCAACTGCGCGACAAGCTCGTCAGTAGTGCTCGCATGATGAGCACGAAAGGACTCACGAGAAGCATTCCGCACATCGACGTCGCCCTCGTACTGCTCGAGTGACACCCTGTTCCCCTCCAACTTCGCCCCCTTGCCCAACACGACTCCCGCACCTACCAAGCTCCCTCCCTCGACAACCGCTCCAGGCGCAATCTCCACGCCCTCACCAATAACGCTGTCCTTGACGACGCACCCATCGCCCAGTTGCGCGCCGGCAAAGATGAACGAGTTGGAGATGTGGCAGGACGAGCCCGTCGTGACGCGCGCGCCGAGGACTGAGTGCGTGATGAAGGTGTTGGGACCGATGGTGGAGGATGAACCGACCAGCGAGGTGGACGAAACTTTGCAGGTGCTGCGGTGACGAGCCTCGTCAGAAGCGGAGGAGAATGGAGGGAGGAAGCGGACGAACCGGGACAAGTCAACGTTCTTCCCGTAGTACACCCTCGCCCTCCGCTGCTCGTACCTCGCCTCACGGTTCGGCATGTTCTCGTCCGGCGCAAGCGGGTACGCCTTCCGCGCCAACAACGCCTTGCTGACAGCCTCGTACGTCTTGGTGTTGGTCACCGCTCCAGCGAAAGAGCGGCTCGCGGAAGGTGAGGCGGGAGTTGCGGTTGGAGAGGTCTCCGAGTCGAGGATCGTGCAGCAGATGGTCTTGCCCAAGAGGTCGGAGGTGAGCAGTCCGTTGACGAAGTCGGGATAGAAGAATTGGTAGTCAAAGTTCTCCGTGAACAGCGGGGCGACCTACGAGGTAAACAGTCAATAAGGCAGTCCCACAGGCAGGGGGAGAGAGCATACCTCGTTGCTGCAGATGACGGCGCCGACAACCTCGAGATCCGCTCGAGTATGCACCTCTTTCCCGCCGCCAATTGCTTCTCGAGGCACCGTGAACGCCTTCATCTTGGGAAAGAGCGGGGACTGCTCGTAGTGCATAAGCTGGGCGTCGGACGTCAAGGTGTGGACGGCGAAAGTCGAGAGAGTCCTGCGTGAGGTGGGTCAGCGCGAAGTCGTCGTCAAGAGCGGTCGTCTACGCACTTGTTAGTGATGGGCTTGACGATACAGCTCATCGACAGGTTCGGGTCCTTCTTCCGCCGCTCGGTGAACTCGTCAACCTTGACCTTCAAGTCGATGTTGCCGACGTAGCCTGCCTGGACGACAAGGTAGTCCGCCGGCGCGAGGATTTGGAGGCCGTCGACTTCGCGCAGGACGTCTCCAGGTGTGAGAGCCTTTGTAGGCCGGACGACGATCGAGATCTCTGAGGCAGGACCTTGGAAAGAAGACAATCTGTAGGAAGAAGTCGTCAGTATGTGTATTGACGAGCTCAGCAATCTCGACGCACGCAAGCCACTGTCTAACGTCTTCGACACCCTCACGAACGAACAAGAAAGCCTGCTCGACGCCGGATGCCGCGAGCGACTCGAGAGTCCAGGCGAGGAGGGGGACGTTCAAGAGCGGGAGGAGGCACTGCGAGACGTGAGGGGGTTCGTCAGTTCCTGCGATTCGATGATGCCTCCCGCACTACCGGACAGGCCAAACAAGCGTGGGTCTGCCTTTCATCGCGGAGACGAAAGACTCACCCAAGGTCGCTGCTCTCCGCCGACCTCGAGCTCCTCGAACTCCTCGTCATCCGTGCGCTTCCGCCTGACCAGAGGACCCCACCGCTCCTCCTCACCCCATCCATCGCAGAGGACGACCGCCTGGAACGGGTGCGATGTCTCCTCCTCGTTTCGGGCCTTTGACATGGTCGCGCGCCGTGGGAAGCGGCTGAACCGAGCTGGATAGGTGCAGAGTAGTTGAGCAGCAAGGGCGAGCCAAGCAAGCCGCTGTACGAGCCAGACAGCGTCGCGTAGAGAGTCAAGGAACTCGCTTCCCTCTCTCGCTTCGACCGCTCACTTGTCTCCGCTACCACCCGCTTCTAGAGACTCGCCCGCATGTCCAACTTCATTCCATCGACTTTCACTCGCCCTCCACCGCAGCGGGCGGACTCCTCCGACTCCCCTCCCTCTCCTCTACCCTCATCGCTCTACACCGACTGCCAGACCTGCCGAATCACGGGGACGCTCACTTTCGCTGGAGTCGGACTGTACGCGATGATAGTATCGCGGAGGATGGCCAAGACGCAGGTCGGGAAGGGCGCGGCGAGCCTGATGGGTCTCGGTACATCCCGTTCCTCCTCATTGTCCCGTCTCCTGCCTCGCTAAGCCTCTCCCTTTTCGCTCGCAGGCTTCCTCACCGCCGCAGCAGTGCGATGGACCGCATACACGCCGCCGCCAGTCGTCGACGCTACGTCTGGACCAGCATGAAGCGCCGATACTCGCTTCGGAGGACAGTCTACGGTCGTCGATCCTCTACGCTGCCGTACATCATCGGCGTCTACGTCGAAGAACCCTACGCCGCATCGGCAGCACGAAGCCGAGTTTACCCTGCGCCTCATCGCCGTTATCCGAACAAGGCCCGGCAGGCTGCGCAAGCTAAGGTCCCTCTTGTGTCTCACACAGTTGCACGTGGTGGACGGACATTGGGTATGCAGGATATGGACGATGGGAATCTATCGAGTCTCATGGTACAAAGAAGGACGCGCCGCTCTCAATCTTCTCCTTCCGTTTCCGCTCGTCCCGTCGTGCTTTGTGAGTAGGCGAGACGGGAGCGAGGATGCTCGTCAGGCTCGGCTTGAGGATGGCGTGGGCCATGCGAGAGCTCTACAAGGCGACCATGTGAGATGACCATGAGGGGAACGGACGGAACAACAAGCTCACTCGGCTTCTCCTCTTGCCCTCCTTCTGGTCTGGTTCGACGAACCGATACGGGTCCGGGAGATGCGTCACTTGGCGAGCTTCGTCGAGGGGCAGGGGCTTTGGCCGCGAGAAATTGTAGTTGTGCATGTCCCGCTTGGGAGATTCCTCCATGGCAGGATCGAGATCTTGCTCCGAATTCGACTCATGTCGCTGTACGTAGTGGTGGTGGCGCCGGTACGAGCCTTCTTCTGGACGGATGGGTGCCGCCGGCGGTGAGAATGCTTGCCCGGGCACAAGGGGCGAGCGTGGTTTCATGACTACCGGTCGCTCAACAGAATTGTGCTGCAAGATCCTTGTCAGTCGAGGTAGAAGGACGGGGAAGGAAAGGAGAGCGAACGCAACTGTTTGGACGTGATAGGGATTGTGAGGATGGCCATCGACAATTACCGTGGTCCGATCCGGTCCATACACTTGAGCGCGACGTCGATTTTCGAAGGATGCCATGGGAGGCGGAAAGCGGGTCTACCTTGTCGAACAGAGAGGTGGAGCAAGTGACCAGATAGCGGCTTGAGGGGACAGTCCGCGACGTGCTCCTGTGGAGCCGGAAACAAGTGCTCGTGTAGATCGCAAGCGTCGCTGAACCAGCAAGGAGCGAGACGAAGGGGGAGAAGGGGAAGGAGGTCGAAGCGAGAGACGCGGACGGCCAAGCGGTCGGCTGTCACGTTCGCCGAAAGACGTCCTGAGCGCCCCAGCCACCCCACGGGGAATCCGAGACCACGCAAAGATCCCGAGGCACCGCCACGGATAGCGAGTAAGGAGTCGAAGGGAGCGTGCGAGCAGCGAGGGCCACCGGTCGACCTGCTCGCCCTTCGCCGCAGACACTGCCCGCAACCAGTCCGCAAGCTAGCCAGCCTTCTGGCCGAAAGTCTTGCTGCGCCCGATGTCTACGCCTGCTCTACTTTGGCCACACCTGCTCCTTCCATGCCCGCCTCGATGACCTTCTTCTCGTCGACCAACTCGCTCGCGATAGCTGGTACCGGTGGCGGAGGTGCCGTCTCGTCGACGATGTAGGGCGCATCGGCGTCATCCATTTGGTCGGCTGCCGAAGCCGGGTCGAAGCCATTCGAGACGGGAGCGTCAACCGGAGGAACGGAAAAGTCGAGCTTGTCGTGGTGGCCGTTGACGAGAGCGAGATCTTCGACAGGTTCGGGAGCTTGAGGCTGCTTGAGAGAGGCGGAGGGGGCGTCGAGAACGGGCAGTTCGGCTGGGCCAGTCGCATCGTCGTCCGCCAGACCGTTCGAGACGGTCGTCTCCTCCTTCCCATTTGCCCGCTCCTCCTCTCTGTACTCACGGCCGTCAATCCGTGCCACCAGCTGCTCGCACCGCCGCAACGCCTCCCGAATCTGCGCTTCCCGCGAGGTCGACCCTGCCCGTCCGCTCGCGACCAGCTCGCCATAGACTCCCGTCTCTAGCGCACCTTCGCACCACGGAATGACCGCTCGGCTGAACCAAGCAATCGCCGCGCCGACTGCTCGCTTCTCCTCGTCCCTCTCACGCAAGAGCGTCTTCTCATCAGCGCTCAAGTCGTCACCAAGACCGTCGTCGAAGCCCGTCTGTTTCGGCAGCGGCGTTGCGGCGAGCGAGGCGAGCCATGCATCGGTGAAAGCTGCGAGGACTTGCGTCGCCCGGTCGAGTTCGACGGCTTGAGCACGGCGAAGAGGGTGGAAGAGCGAGACGGGCGGGACGAGGCGGAGGGAGTTGAGCGCGGCTGCATGGGCGTTGAGAAAGCGTGCGACTGGCGGTAGAAGGGCGAGCGAAAGGGAGGGCTGGTGATGCCAGGCGGCTGAGGGAGAGGGTGCGGCAATGACAGGCGGTTCCGGTAGAGGTATGGAGAGCAGGGAGGAAAGGCCTTCGGGCGCGACGAGCCAGTCGACGAGCGGTACTCTCCCGCTCCGTCTTGCCTTGGCCGCGGTGAGGGCCATTCCGCCCGAGTTCTCCCAGGCGTCCCGGAACTCCTTCTCCCACTTCCGTCCCGCCAGTTCCCATTCTGCCGCGACGATCCGGCCGATGCGCAACTCGATGCGTTCCCGCAGCTGGACGAACTCGCGAAAGTCGAGGCCGTAGCGGGCGAAAGAATGGGAGCAGTAGGTGAGTTGGGTGAGGAGTGAGGAGAGCGAGGCTGTCGAGCTGAGCCCTGCGACGGCGTGCGCGAGCAGCGATGTGAGCGAGTCGAGGGCGGTCGTGAGGAAGATATGCAAAGGGGCGGAAGGCGTGAGGGCGTGAGAAGGAATGGCGGGATCGGAAGGGTGCGCGTTGGGCGATGATGCGAGAGCCGAGGAAGACAGGAAGACTTCGGCGTACATCCCGACAGTCTCGCCGACCACCTCTCGCCAGACCTCGATCCACCGCTTCGTCCACCTCGTCCGCTCGTCGTTCTCCTCGATGCTGACATTCGCATCTTGTTGCGCGAGAGGCGGTTCGTCGCCTGCCAGCTGGATCCCACAAGCTGCCATCTGCGCCTCGACGCCCTCGAGCTCGGTGCGCAAGCACCTCCACCGGGCGACGAGGAAGACAATGCGAAGCGAATCCTCATCCAGCTCCTTCGCCTTGCCCGATGCCTGGGCGGTTCCGCTCGATCCGCGTTCCGCTATCCGCCTCAAGATGCTGATGCCGCGTACTGCACCCGGCAACTTGAGCGAACGCTGCAAGAGACTGTCCAGCACGCCCGCCCGCAAGCTCAAGAGCGCAGATCCGACCTCTTCCCTGACCCGGTCAAGGAGCTTGAGTGCTCCTCGTCCTTCGCCGCCGTCCAGATTCGATGCCGAGATTGAGAGTCGCTTATGCAACTCCTCGAGCCGTACGGCGACGTCGATTGCTTCCGACCAGTAGCCCGCTCGTACGCACGCATCGACCACGCTCGGCGCTTCTAGCAGCTCCTCAACCTCCTCAATCCGTTCGCGGACTCGCATCATGCGGTCCCGCTTTTCTCGGACGGAGTGGATCCGGCTGCCGAAGGAGGTCGCGGCGGATTCGAGCGAGGAGGTCGAGTCGAGGAGGGCGGAGAGCGAGTCGGAGAGGGTGGTGAAGGAGGTCGAGATGGACTGGGCCGCGGAGTAGGAGAGGAGAAAAGAGGAGTAGCGCGTGAAGGCGAGGGAGGAAAGGTCATTGTCGAGAGAGGTTGAGAGCGTTGCGAGCGAAGCGGGGAGGGCTTGGAGGGCGGACAAGGGTTGCGAGAGGAGGGAGGAGAGGTAAGACGGGGCGGCTGGGTGCGATAGAAGCGACTGTGGACTCGTCGCGAGGGTGAAAGCGGGCTTCGCAGGCTGTTTCGAGGTCGAAGGTTTGGCGGAAGACGACGAGGAGGGTGTGGACCGCCGAGCGAGCGATTCCGCCGTCGACAGCAGCAGGGAGGACAAGGTAGGCATCGGCTCCAGCTCCTCCGTCCCTCTACTGTCCGTTACAACTGTCGACCCGTCATTCGCGCCTGCTCTTGCCGCTGATGGCGCCCCTCCCGCCGCGTCAAGAGGAGCGGTCGAAGTCGACGCGACCGCATCGCCTGAAGACATGTCGACCCGCTGTGGCGTATGCGAGGTCAGTCAGATGCCGTTGTGCCATTCTACGGAACCCTGCAGTGCGACGAGAGAGCCGTCTGCCGCGACGCACCTCGAACCTGCGTGTCGGATCCGCTTCTCCGCTCAGCACGGCTTGATCGGCGGTGTGGGCGGCTCAAGTGACCAGAAACCAGGCTCAGCGAAGCCTGTAGCACTACAGCCGAGCAAAAGGCGCGAGTCGCCTTTATCGCGGAAGCCAACTCGCCCATCTGGCTTTACCACTTCACCTCGAACAGCCCAGGCGGCGTAATGAAGGGTGGGTAGACACTTAGAGATAGTTTGCAACGCTTCGTGTTCTCATTACCCGCCTCCATGCCGCCGAGGATGCAGCAGCGTCCTTCAACCTCCGCAAGAGATTCGGGCGAGCCTGTACGGGCGCCTCAGCCTGCGCGGCTCGGTACGCTCACCTGGCCAGGACCAGAGAGAGTCAGAGAAGCTGAGAAAGCTTTTACCAAGCCAGCCTGTTGCGATGGATGAGTCGTGCCGCTGCTTGTTTGTCCCTTGCCTTCGCACTCGATGCTGGCAGTCTCGCCTGCGCCAGTCGCTGTCGGACCGCTCGCTGTGGCTATGGAACCGCTCGCCCCATCGCTCAAGGCCCTCGGCAAGCGCCGCCTCGACGATGCCGTCGCTGTCTCGCCCGAATCGTCCACCCCGCCTCTCGCAAAGAAGCCTCGCCCGCAACCCTCGCAGGTCCAGCAGGTACAGAAGCAGGAGCGACGAGTCACACGAAGCTCACTAGGAGGCGCGGCAAACGGAAGTAGGGAGGGCAGCGTCGTCGAGAGCGAGGGTACGTTCTCCTCGAGGCCTCCCCGGACGACTTGTTTGGCCGCGATGAAGCTGATAACGCCGCTCTTCTGCCCTTCGCAGGTGCTGGACAGCCTGCCTACCTCCCTAGCAAGACGTCCATCCTGCTCACGACCCGCTTGCCGCCCAATTTGGCACGACATCCGCCTTCGAATCCGTCTCTGTCGATTGCCAGCACGTCTGCCGCGGCAGCAACGGTCGATGAAACCGTCGGTCAGCCTCCAGGATCTGAAGCCGTGGCCGACGACGCACCGCGACAAAAACAGGAAGGCGACGCGGCCGAGAAACCGCTGTTTCGGTTGCTCGACGAGACGGAGTTGCTTCCTGCGCGTGGGACCCGCCACGCAGCAGCGCCCGAGGCACGTACTCATGGCCTTTAACTTTCTCAAGCTTGCGACTGACTGGACAGCGATGCAGGTTGACACCTCGGACGCTTTCTACCTTCGCCTGCATCGTTACCCAGAGGTGTTGGAAAAGCGCGCTTCTCGTCTCGAACGCGAGCGGCTGATCCATGAGCGCTCGAAACTCATTAACGAGCTAGAGGAATTGAGAGGTAGGGCATGGGTGTATGCGGGAACGAGCGCGGGCGGAAGGGCGGAGGAGGAGAGGCAGCGGAAGATCAAGGAGATGGAGGAGCGGCTCGCACGGTGAGCCTGGCAAGCGTCTTACGTCCGTGCTGGCGCTGACTCTTCGAGTGCAGGTACGATGCATTGCTGCCGAACCAGCCTCGCAAGTCCAACTTTCTCAACCTCGCCAGTACCGCCGCCGGTCCCGCGCCTCATTCGCACAGCCACCCAAATCGAGGCGACTCGCGCACCGACTCCCCTGCTCCTCGCACCTCCGGCTCTCGTACGCGTCAAGCACGACCGTCCGACCTTGCCTTCCGTCCTCCAACTCCCGTCTCTGCTTCCGCCTCGCAAAACGGCAACCGCACCACCATCCGCATCAAGTTCGGCCCGCCATCTCGCACGGCTTCTCCCTCTCACTCGGCGTACGGCTCAGACGCAGGTCTCGACCTCGACCGCTACACAGTGCGCGGCGAGCCTCGCAAAGGTCCGAAGCGGGATCGCAAGGCGGAGCGCCAGAGAGCCGAGATGCGCAGAAAGATGGGGTTGAAGCCGCGCGCGAGTATCAACAAAGCGCTCGGTGGCGGGGGCGAGGGGCGGAAGGCCAGGAGGAGCGGGCGGGCAGCCGCGCGGAGACAGTCGTATGCCGAGGACAAGGACGACGAGGAAGACGAAGACGACGACGAGACGGACGAGGATGCAGAAGGCGAAGAGTGGGACGAGGAGGACTGGGACGCCGCCGATCCGAAGCGAGCCCGAGCCAGTCAACCCGCCGAACTCGTCCGCCTCCGCCTGCCCGACTCATTCTTCCACTCCGCCGCCCTACGAGATTCTGTCATAGCCTCACATGGCCCCAACGCTCGTCGCTCCTCCTCCCGTGTCGCCTATGCCTTCGGCCAGCGACTGCCCGACCACGCCCTCTTGCGACAAGCCGAATTCGAGCTACACGGCGGCATTTCGGGGGACGCCGAGGATGACGAAGAAGGCCACTCGCGCACGTCGCTGGAGCAGATGGTTTCAATGCGGATGCAGACGCACGGCGAGGAGGTCGTCGTTCTCGACGGGCGAGTCCTGCCGAAGAGCGCCGTCGACGCTTGGTCGAAGGATCCGCTTCACGTCTCGCCCGTCAAGAAGGCGCCTTCTGTCCTCTCCGACGCCGGGTCGAACGCCACGTCCGGCTCGTTCGCTGCACCGGCACTGCAGAGGAACGGCAGCAGGTTCTTCGACTCGCCCAGCGTTTCAAGACTGGTGTCGCCAGAGCTGCAAGCTCCAGCGGCGGCTCCACCGCCGCTCCCTCTTGCTTTCGCGCTGCCGCAAGCATTTCGCGGTGACCAGAGCTGAGGTTGAGGCGTCGATGCTGTCTCACTGTAGTCGCGAGCGTCACTCGTTGTTGCCATCCTATCATCTCTCGACCTCTCCCAGCTCCCCAGACGCAGCGATGCTACAATTGCGAGAACGACGGCATCATGCGGACTGCAAGAGGCGGGCGAGAATCGCCTTCTCCTCGTCATTGAGGAACGTCTCGGCGAGTTGGCGGAACGAGGTCTGATCCGTTTCGTAGGCATGTCGGAAGAAGCTGGTCAAGTGTGACTGTGAAGGGACTGGTCAGCTTCGGTGCGTCGACGCAAACGGAGTAGCGGGACGAACGTAGAGGTCGAGGTTCCAGATCGGGTCATCCTGCAAGTCTTGCTCGTCGATGTCGTCCTCCTCGTCGTCGCCACTCGAGCTCATGTACTTGCCGAGACCTCCGCCCGAGAGCATTTCTGCGGAACGGAGCCAGGCAAGTCAGCTCAGCAAGCGCACCGAGGCATGAAGGCAGCTCACCTGACAGGAAGTCAAGGTCCTTCTCGTTGCCCGCCGTGAACTCTGCTCCTTCATCCGCCCACTCGTCGTCCTCGTCGTCCGAGACCGCGTCCTCGGCTGCTCCTTGCTCGCCGCCTTTGTTCGCCGATGCAGTCTGAGCATCGTGAAGAAGCAGCTTGAGCGCCTTGGCGGGGAAAGGGATTGGTCGGAACTGCTCGGGGTCTGCGAGCGCGAGATTATTAGCTGTGCGCACCAGCGTCGCCACGGGTGGACGCACTGGCTCTCGCTCGCGCCCGAGTCATGATCTTGTCCCGGTTCGCTTCGGTGATGACCATGTCGCCCTTGACCTGAACCTGCTGCAGACCCGCTCTGCTCGCCGCCGCCGCATACAGGTGCGCAAGACCGACGGCGCTGACCTTCTGGTTCCAATAGCCCTGGAAGTCGCCGGCGAAGTCGCACCAGCTGGCAAGGAGGACTTCAAGTGCTGGTCGTGGAGGCGGTCCAGGAATGGTGAGGTTCTCGAGGAGAGAGAGGACTGTATCCAACTGCTGGTGGACGAGGTATGCGAAGGGAAGGACGAGACTCTGCGAAGATGCGCTGTCAGACCCGCACAACCGATATCGAGAGAGCATGCGACGCACCTGCGTAAACATGGCAGTCTCTGCGGTCGCAAGACGCGTAACAAATGCTCGCAGCAAGTCCGGCAGGACAGGGCCAATCGCAGCGCCTGCCTTCCGAACGAGGTGGATAACGAGATCGCCGACGAAGAGACCTCCTGCCTCAGACTCCGACGGCTGGAGGAGCTTGGCGACTTGTGCGAGGACAAGCTCGAGACCCGACTGGCCGGAAGCGCTCCGCCTGCGGGAAGAGAGTCAGTATGAGGCGGGACGGCGAAGCGAGACGACTGACCAGTTAAGTAGCTGGTCAACATCCTTGCGGATGACAGTCGTGACGACGTCAAGGCCAGTCTGGATGATGTCGCGATCGTCCGTCGCGCCCAAGACCTCGAAGAGAATCTCGGCGACGCGCTCATAAGCGCCCGCAGGAAGGGGTGAGGGGAAGCGGGAGAAGATGCTGTTGGTAATTTCGAGCGCCGAGGCAGCGCGAATGGAAGAAGGATCGGTTCGCAGCTCCGTCATGGTCGATGCCAGGGCGGGAAGAGCTTCGTTGAGGAGGACGGACTGGACGACGGGAGATGGCGAGGCGGAGAGAGAGGCAAAGACGTCGGCGATGGTCGAGCCGAGAAGAGGGTCTGTAAGTGCGTTCGCGTCAGTCGACCGAGCGAGGATCGAGGTGTGAGAGGCGTAGCGCACCTTCGGGAGTGGCGAACCATGTCTCGAGGAGGGTCTTAATGAGCGACGAGCAGGTCGCCTGGTCAATCACCGTGCCGCCAACCTTCAGCGACGACTGGATCGCATCGAGAACGAGCACGAGGGTGTTCTCGGATGTCTGAGGGAGGAGGGGGAGGAGTTTGGAAAGGGCGACGACTGCTTGAGAAGGCTCGACATTCTCCTTGAGGTGTCGGAAGAAGCTGCAGAAGCGCTGCATCAGCCAACCTCTGGCCCGCCAAGTTGCGAGAGCGGCTCACTTCGTCAGGGCGCGGACAGCCGAGACCTTGACCGGTACGCCCGCTTCTGCCGAGTCGAGGACCTGGACGGCTGCTTCGAGGTACTGCTTCGCAAGCGGTTGGGGGAGAATCTCGGCGAATTGGCTGGCGAAGACGAAGGAGCGTCCTTGCAAGAAGGGGACATCTGTGAAGGCGGACGTTGTCAGCGATTACACTTTACGAGCAGAAAGGACTACGCGCACCGGATGCTGTCAAGTACGTCATGACGACGCCCTGGAAGACGCCTTCGAGCGCAAACTTGGGACTCTTGCCCTCCTCCGCTCGCTCCTGAACGTGGTCGATCAGGTCCTCCGAGATGCCGCCGACGACGGCGAGCGCGCTCTCGTAGCCCTTCCACCAGTCCTCGTCAGATTGTGACCGTGAACTGTCCGCCGCTTGAGCGACTTGGCCGAATGCAACTTGCATGGCTGAGAGACCTGGATCTTGGAGCGTCTCGACGGCGGCCTGTTCATGCAGCGCGATCAGCGACGCAACGATCGGCGTAAGAGGGGGGACATACGATAGCCATGTCGATAGCGGCGGAGCGAACGTTGTACGAGCTCATCTCGTCATCCTCGTCCGCGACAAACGCATTCGGGTCCGAGGCCCAGCTCTCCTCCTGTTCGAGAGATCAGGTCAGCACCTTCTCGCAAGGTCAGTGTGGCGGACGAGCCGTACATCGTCCGTTGTCATCTGTGCGTACTCAATGGCCCGCCGCAGGAAGACGACGAACGCCTGAGTCGGCTTCTGATTCTCGACGAGCACCGGACGCACGGCCTTTCGTCGCACCGCCTGCGCAACGAAGTCGAGAACCGTCGAGACGAGAGTTGACAGATCTGTCGAGATGTCCGAGTCTTCCTCGCCGCTTGCGGAAGAGGGGACGGAGAAGTCGGAGGAGTTGGACAGGTAGGCGGCCGTGTAGAGTGGGTGGAGCGATGTGAGGTGAGCGGCGGCGAAGGAGAGGAAAGTCGGGAGGGAGGCTTTGAGGGTCGACGGGAAGGAGTTGAGAATGACCTCGAGGGATTGGAAGATGGCGATGCGGAGGGAGATGCCTTCCCAATTGTCGGACGAGCCGAGTTCGGCGGCAACGTCAAGAGCGAGGAGCTGCTGGAACGCCTCGAGCCATCGAGGGAGAATCTCGCCAACTGCCGCCTTGACCGCCTCCGGATGCTCGTCCTTGACGGTGAAGAGCGTCATGACGCATTGGCGGAAGATGAGGATGGTGCGAGCACGAGTCGCGGGCCCATAAGTCTGCGGCGCGCCGAGAATCGCCATCAAGGAGGGCAACATGTCCCGCGCGACGGGCAGCAGCTGATCTTCGGTCAAGCTGATGCTGACGAAGTCGCTCAATGCGCGCATACCGCCTTCGACGGCGTCGATAGCGTCGGAGCGGATGAGGGCGAGAAGCTGATCCATGAGGGAAGGCCAGTCCTCCGGCCAGTCGGGTTGGGCGATCAAGGATACGATGTTGGCCTGTCAAAGAATATGTCAGTGTCGTGCTGTTCGAGCGCTGCGGCGGATGGAGCGGGGACGCACGCATGCCAGCCGAATCTTGCGGACGGGATCAGCCAGTCCCCCGAAAACGACCTCCCGAACCTGCGCCTTGATCTGCGGATGGTTGTAGCGTCAATTTGTCGCTCTACTGGCGTTGCTGTCGTACGTGTGGAGCTCACCTCGGCGGGCGCTGCGACTGGTCCCTTGTAAGTCGGGAAGAAGGCGGACCAGTACTCCTTGACATACTTCTTCAGCGCAAAGCTGGCGGCCTGCAGTACGACAACTCAATCACCTGGCGCTGACATCTTTGCTTGAGATAGAACGCACCTGGCGCCATGGAATGTCAACCTGCTGTTCCGTCGCGATCCTCGCCAACCCCAACGCCGTCTCTGCGGGTGCGATCAGTTCGTCAGCAGTTCTCTCAAGACGTATTTGCCCATTCCATCTGACAAGAATGGCACCAGGACGCACGGGGCTCGCTGCAAGCTTGGGCCAGATGAAGCTCCGCCTGGAGGCGGACGTTCGGGTTCGGGTCGAGCGTGCTCTGCAGGAGCGCGAGCAGCTGGTTGTTGTCCATCTTTCCAGCAGCCCTGCAAAGCTCCAGCAGCGAGTTGAGCGAGTCGAGCTGTTTGGCGAGGCGATGAATAAGGTCCTCGGCGCGTGCAAGTCGCGAGAACGAAGCAACTCCGTGTGACTCTTGGGCAGTCGCACGCTGTTCGTAATGGCTCTCGCTGGCTCACAAGGACTACCCGGAGCTCTGCCTGCGAGCGAGACGGAACGTAGCAAGCGAATGCGCTTCAGTCGTTACAGTTGCCGATTCTCAAGCTCGCCTACACAGCTTTACCATTCGTAGTGAACTTCCGATCCTCCCTCGGCCAACACCGCCCTCAGCTCCGCCATCTCCCACTCCCTCATCTGCCTGCCCGCCTTCTGCGCCCGTCCTAGGTCGATCAGGCGAAGGCCGGCGCTCGTGTTGACAACATTGCGGCTGGCAAGGTCCCCATGGACATAGCCACAGGCGTGCAGGCGTGCAACGAGGGCTATGACGGCGTCGCTGCAGGAGAAGCGTGTCAATCGAATCCAACTTCAGTAAGGGAAAGGAAGCGGGACGTGCGCGTGTTCATGCCAGTCTTTGACTGGCTGACCCGCGGCGGTGACGAGTGCGTAGCGAGGGTAACTGGTCGAGCGATAGAAGCCGAGATAGGGGACAAGGAACGAAGTCGAGGCCGAAGACTTGACGAGGTCCTCGTAGACCTTCTTCTCGTTGAGCAGCTCGTCCGCCTCGGGCTCGCCCTCATAAGCGAGCTTCATCACGATGTCGAAGGCGCTAGAGGCGAACACGCGGTAGTGTTCCGCCATGACGAGCACCTTGTCGAGGCAGATCTGCGAGAGGCGAGAGTCGTCTGAGGCGATACTGGCGGTGGTGGAGCGAGGGAAGGGACCAGCGGAGGGGGAGGAAGGCAACGAGGACGAGGAGTTGATGTCGATTGTCCCTGTTGGAACCTGCGAGAACGGTTTCAGCCGGCTGTCTGGGAGGATAGCGGGGTGGGGAAACGTACGAAGACGGGATGGAAGGTTTCCGGCAGAGTCTTCCATCCCCAAGCGGTGACAACAACCTGGAAGCCATCCTGAACATCGCAGGAAGGAGTCAGCACGCAAGCAGAAGCGCCGCAGGGAGGGAGCGCTGGACTTGCAGTCAGAGCCGCGTTCGTCTACCGCACGAATGGATGTCAGTCTCGAGCAGCATGAGCGAGCGGGAAAGGAAAAGCTCACCTGCTTGTCTGCACCACCGGCACCCTTTCCCCTCTTCAGCGACGGGCCGCCACCTTGCGACGCGGCTCGACGCTTTGCCAGTCCCCTCTCACCGTAAGATGCCCGCCCAGCGCCGGTCCCGTCGCCTGAGGTGTCGCTTCCGCCGCCGCCAGATCCGGGACCTGAACTCGGCCCAGATGGGGGCCTTGGCCCGCCTTCATTGTCCAACCTCTCCTCCTCCTGCCCCGCCTCCTTCTTCTCCTCCTCCTCTTCCTCCTCTTCCGCCCCTTCTTCCTCAACTGCGCCTCTGCTCCTGATTGATCTCCCTCCCTCTACTACGCGCTCTCCCTCGTTCTCGGTCGCTCCTCCAGCAGCCGAACTGCCGGACGAGGACCGCGCCTTCGCTTCCTGCGCAGCCGGCGGGAGCTGGAGCGAGTCGGGCGTGATCGTCGACTTGAACGCTCGTTCGGAAAAGTAATCGGAAGGTGGAGGAAGCGGATTGACCGAAACGTGGAGGAGCGAGATGACGAAGAGGAGAAGGCGAAGGGGCAGGCTCTGCATGTCGTAGATGTCGGAGATGGCGAGTTGCAGGTACCGGACATTGTCGAACTTGACGATCTTGGCCGTTGCAAAGAACAGGAGAGAGCCGGTCATGACGGGCAAGGCAATGACGGGATTCTTGAGTTCTTCAATCTCGTTGCGGCGGAGGCGGGTCGAGAGGATTGACGCGATCTACAGAGGCGTCATGAGACTCGCAGATCGCGGCTGGGACAGACAGGAACGCACCTGGACGACAAGCTTCAACCATTCTGGCGCAGCCTGCCACTTTCCATCGTCCGAGTCCCAGTACCGCGGTGTCTGCCCCTTGAACGTGATCGTGGGGAAATAGAGAGCGCTTCGGATAACCGCATGGATCACTCGGAAATGGTCATCCACCATAGCCTTCAGCTCGATGACGCCTCCTTCATGTCGGCGCTCATTCTGGACAAAGCACGCAATGTCCGAGTGGGTGACGACCAAGCTCGATGCCGTCCTGTGCGGGTCGCGCGCCACCTTCCAGATCTCGCCAGAGCGGAGGATTCCGAGCGCATCCTCAAGCGGCTCTGCCAGCCCGCGATCAAGCTGTTTCTCCAGGTTGAGCTCGTCTTCGTATTTGTATTTGGAGGCACCAGCACGAGGTGGCGCATACTCGTACTTCTGCAGCGGCAGGTGTGCAAGCCGGTCCTCATCGTTGCTGAGACTGTCGAAGTAGTCGCGACCCGTTTCGAGCAGTGCGTGAAGGAGAGTTCGGCCGCCCGTCTCATCAATCGCCTCAATTGAGAGCGGGACCGCACCACTGTCCGCCCCTAGGTCACCTGGATGAATGTCGTGCTCGCTGGCTAATTCTGCGCGCGGTTCTGAAAGATGGTGACGACGCTCGGAGGCAGTGAGGACGGGTGTATAGGTGATCCGGGGAAACGGCGCCTCCAGCGTGTTCCGGATGTGTTTAACCAGATCTCGCTGCTCCTGATACCGCGGTGAGCCGGACCGGCTTAGCGGGGAGGAGGACGACGACATCAGGTCGCTGGGGAGCAGGCAGAGGTGACGAGTACCAAGTGAACGTTGGGCAGCCGGTGCCACCGTAGGACGACAGTCAAGGTAGACTCGCGAACGCCTAGCTAGTTGGTTGAGAGACAGGAGCGAGGAGCGGATGAGGCGATGAGGAGCAAGGGATGAGGAGCAACCCCTCAAGCAACGACCACACCGCTCCGCTCTCCGATGCTCCGCGCTGACTGCTGAGGGCTGCGCAACAGCTGCAGACCCGCACGAACCCGGCAGTCCAACTCCCGCCGCGCGCCATGCCCTCCCCGCCGACCTCTTCTCCTCGCAACTGATGAAGACGGCTGGACGGCTCTACACGCCTGCGGGACGCTGACTGAGCACGCTGTCAGCCTCCGAACGCTCCCTCGATACCGACCAGCTTCTTCCAGCCCGCCTTCATCGCTGAGGAACACCCGTCAGCCCGTTCTTCCCGCGCCGAGGGATCTTGCGGCCCGCTCCTCCCGTCCCGCGCTGGCGCTGAGCGGCTTCTGCTGACCCAAGGCTCGCTTGCGTGTGCTCCCGCGGTCATGCTCGAACAGTACAAGAAGGCGGCTGCTCCCTCTCTCTTCCCTTTCCTCCTCCTCATCCGCTCTCTCCAGCTTGCGCCCACCTCACATTCATCGACGAAACGCGAACAACCATGTCCCTTCCCAAGACGTACAAGGCTGCCGAGATCCAGACTGCCGGCGGACAGTTTGTGCTCGTCGACCGCCCTATCCGCGAGCCGCAGGAGGGTGAAGGTGCGTTGCGATTCGTCCTTCTTCTGGTCTCACGCGCTGACCGTCGCTGCTCCCCCAGTCCTCGTCAAGGTCCTCGCTTCAGGTGTCTGCCACACCGACGCTGCCGCCGTCCACGGCTTGATTGGCGCCAAGCACCCGCTCGTCCCGGGCCACGAAGTCGTTGGCAACGTCGCTGCTGTCGGACCGTCGGAGAAGAGGTGGAAGGTGGGAGATCGCGTCGGTGCAGGTGGGCTCCGCTTCTGCTAGCTCCGCACAAACCTGCCGACTGACCCTCCCTCGTGTGCGCAGGCTTCCACGGCGGCCACTGCGGCGTCTGCAAGAGCTGCCTCCGCGGGTCGTTCAACACCTGCGTCTCGCAGAACATCACCGGCATCCTCTCGGACGGCGGGCACGCCGAGTATGGCTACTTCCGCACCGAGTCGCTCGCGTCTGTCCCCGTCGACATGGGCCCGGCCGAGGCGGCGCCGCTCCTCTGCGCCGGCGTGACTGTCTACAACTCGCTGAGGAACGTCAAGGACCTTCACCCGGGCGACATCGTTGCGGTGAGCGGCATCGGCGGACTCGGACACCTGGCCGTTCAGTATGCGCGCCAGATGGGCTACAAGGTCGTCGCGCTGTCGCAGTCGGCGTCGAAGAAGGAGCTCGCGTCGCAGCTCGGCGCGCACCTCTACATCGACGCCAGCAAGGAGAACCAGGCCGATGCGCTCAACAAGATGGGCGGCGCCAAGGTCATCGTCGGTGGGTTGCCGAATCATTAGCCTCAATCGATGCTCGTTACTGACTTTGATATCCCGCGCAGCCACCGCACCCGATGCTGCGTCCATCTCTAGCCTCATTCCCGCACTCGCCGTCGACGGTACCCTCCTCCTCCTCGCCGCCTCAGGTGACCTGACCGTCCCGACCGGACCCGTCATCTTCCGCCGCACCAAGATCCAGGGCTGGCCGACCGGCACGCCGCTCGACGAGGAGGAGACGCTCGACTTCTCGCAGCTCTCGGGCGTCAAGTCGTACATCGAGAAGTTCCCGCTCGACCAGATCCAGACCGCCTACGACAGGATGATGAGCAACCACGTCCGGTGCGCTCGCTCTCCTTTCTTTTGGCGTCTTCAGCTTGGGATTGACTCCGCTTCACGCCTCGCAGTTTCCGCGCGGTTGTCGTCCCCTGAACTCGCTCTCCTCTCTCCACGAGATCCTACCTAGACTGTACATGACGGATCTCAGTGCCTTGTATCGAGTACTTTCTGCCTTTCTTCCCCTCCGTCGAGAGGCTGTTCTCGCTCAGACTTGCTCATCCTCCGTACGCTCGCCTTGCGAATCGCTGTGTGTACCTCGCAAGCAGATGCCGTGACTCCTCGCTCACTGATGTATTCCTCAGGAAGGTATCTTGGAAGCCTGCCAGGCTCCTCGTCTATTTCTCGCCGTCCACGCCGACCGCTTGATCGCTACTCAGCCCGAGTTTCTGCACCCATTCCGGCTTTGCGTCGCCCTTCCGCCTCGTCACCTTCAGGCTCCGCTTCTCCAACACCTGCTGCACATCCTTCAAGCTGACGCCCATGCTAACCGCCCGCGTCAGGGTGAAGTACAGCAAGTCCGCGACTTCTCCTGCTAATTCTTCCCTCGTCTCGGCGTCGCACACCTCGCCCGCCTCCTCCATGATCTTGGCCCGCAGGAGCTTCGGCTCGTCGAACAGTCGCTTGGTGTACGAGCCCGCCGGCGCCTCCGCCATTCGCTTCTTGAGCGTCGACTCGAGTTCCGCCAATCCTGCGATACCGCCGAAGCAGGACGTCTGCTCCGGGACGTGGCAGAACCCTTCCTTCTCGCCGTTCGGGCCCGACTCGATCACGCCAAACTCGAGCGCGTCAAAGTCGCAGTCGATGCGGATGCGCTCGACGACCTGCATCGCGCCGGATGTCTCGCCTTTCCGCCATAAGCCGTTGCGAGACCGAGAGTAGTAAACGGCGTTGCCAGAGAGGATGGAGTGGGCGACGGATTCGTGCGAGGAGTAGACGAGGCCGAGAGGGGTGGTGACGGATGTGAGGGAGATAGGTACGGTGACGAAGAGGCCGTCTTGGCGGTCGGAACGGAGAGCAGAGGTGAAGAGGGTGGCGAGGCTGAGCTTGCCGTCGTCGGGATGGGGAGCAATGAGGTTGCCAAGGTCGGTGGAGAGGAAGGACGAGGGGATGACCGAAGTTCCGCCGACAGTCTTGGACATGAGCTTGAACGCTGCAGGCTGCGCGAGCACCTTCTCCGCTGTCCGTACCGCCGAGAGGACGAAGAGGTCGAGAGGTCGTCCCGATGCCTTCTTCTTGATCGCTACCCGCACGGGCTTGAGGTCCTCCTCGACGAACGTCGCCGTCTCCAGCAAGACGCCCGAAATATTTGCGAGTAGATCGGTGTTGCCGAGGAAGGCGGCATCGGGCTTCTCGAGGTGAAAGATGAGGCGGTCGGCGGGGACGGCGGTGAGGAGTGCGGTGTTCTTCGAGACGACCCGACGTGCGCCCTTGTCCAGGTAGCCGATGGCGTCCTCCAAGCTCAGTCGCACGTCATCGAGGATGTAGTATTCGGCGTTTGAAGGGAGATGAGGAAGAGTCGAGGCAGCGAGAGAGGCGGGGAGGAGGAGCGGGACGATGCGGGCGAGGGCGGGGAGGAGCTTCGAGTCGAGCTGGGACGGCTCCTGCTCGATCAGCGGCAGGAAAGGGATCTGGCTGAACGACATCTCGCCTGTCGGGAGATGAAGAGATGATGAGGGTCAGTGGTTCCTTCTCCGCAATGGGGCGCGGTTCTGGGCACTCACAAGCTCCTGGGAGCTGTATAGAGTCTGTCTGAGCTGTCTCAGACGCTCCGAGCGATGTGAGCGAAAGGGATGAAGTCAAACGAGGAGGACGACCTCTCCGGAAGGGCGAACGGTCGACAATGCAGGCAAAGGCTCTTCCGGCGTCGTCTTTCCGCCTTGTTCAATTCAAAGCGCGTCAGACGTAGCCCAACATCGCCCGAGCTCCCACTTCAACTCTGGTTGTCCGGCTCGAACGGTCTCGAGGAGGACAGGGTATCTATAGTGTCTGTTGCAGGCGGAGAACGCGACGCATACGCACAAGGAGCGTGAGAGAGGGCAGGATCCAAGCGAGTCGAAGGTGGTAGGAAGGGAGGGAAGGTTGGGAGGAACGGAGGGAAAGATGCAAGAAACACAACAAGATGGGAGAAAGCCTGCTGAGATGCGATGCGGAGGTCGTGAGGTCGAGGAGTGGTCTAAGAGCAGCCGCCGGCAGCAAGGCGGTTGCGAGGAAGGGTGAAGTTGCTCTGCTTCATCGCGTCCCGGTAGGTCGTGAGGTTCGGGCTGCCAGACGCCATGGTCAGTCGAGCTACGGCGGCAAGTCGACGGAATGGACTCACTTCGTGTAGAGGTCCATGTGCGAGTTGATGTACTTGGACGTAGCTGCAGGCCGAGACGAATCACTTCAGCGATTGTCAAGACGGTCGAAGCGCTCGCAACTCACGCATGTCGGGAGGGTCGCAACCAACGTTCTTCTGTCCCTTCTTCTGGTAGACGCGGACGTAGTCGATGCGAAGATGGCCGGGGAACTCTGCGAGGGAGGGTGGACGTCAGTCCGCAAATCGGCAATGTTGCGATGACGAGCGAGACGCACTGATTTTGCCCCATTCCGGCTGCTGGACTGCGAGGTGTAGGAGAATCGTCAGCAACGGGCCGAGCGAGAGCGCGAGTGCATGGATGAGTCGGGCCTCGAGCATCGCGGCGAGGCCGACTCACACCTGCGGAAGACACAGAAGGTCAGCTCACTCTCCTTGTCAGCATCTCAAAGCGAGACTCACTTTGTCGAAATCGCCAAGTTGAAGATGCTGCAGTCGTTCAAAGCGCGAAAGGTCAGCTCGTCCTCCCTCGCCGACTTAAAGCGCGGCTAACGCACAGGTACATCGGCTCCTCCGAGATGAGGCGCTGTCCAATCTGCGTCTGCGAATTCGGTCCCATCGCGTTGGCGTTGAGCTGCCACGTCGGGTTCGAGTTGATGCCCCAGGTGATGCGGCCGTCCGCGCCGGGGTCGTACTCCATCGCTGTTCGTAGACGACAATCAGTTCTGCACGGAGAAGAGCGAGAGTGCGACGAACAGTAGGTACTGTAGCCCGCGCCTTCGTACGACGTCGCGTCCGTGAGGGTGTTGAGCGAGGCCGACTCCTGCGAGATCGATCCCTTCCAGATATCTGCAAGCACGACGCAAACTGCAGATCAACACCCTGCAGACTCTCTGAGCGATGGAGAAGCAGCGGCAACGCACTCTGCGTCGTGATAGACGGATCCCAGATCTTCAAGCCCGGATTCGCCTCGGTCGTATCATTACGCCAAAGGTAGTGCGGGTCGAAGGGCGCGAACTGGATCGACTGCGACGCAGAACCCTGCTTGCCATTCGGCGCGATCTGGCCTTCAAGGATATCGACTGGCGAGAAGAATAGTCAGGTCTGTCCCTGTAGAAGCGCAACGAAGGGGGACGTACTCTCGGGCGCGCCGCGACCCTTCGTGACGGAGGGACCGGGGTGCTCGTCGGCATCCGCAGGGCACGTGCAAGCCGAGAGACGCTGTCCGACAAGCTGCGAGAAGCGAAAGGCGAATGTCAGCTTGCTGCTTTGGAGGCGGGAAGGCAGGTGGACGCACGTAAGAGAGCTCGCCTCCGTAGTCCTTGTCACCAGCCTGCTTAGCCGCGATGGGGTCGGTACCGTTCGGCCAGCTGCAAGACCAGGACGAGGTGAGCTTTCGGTTGCAACTTGATTGCGGGATTATCAAGAACGCACGTCTGGTTCGGAAGCGTGCCGACGTCGCAGCTGTCGTAGGTGTAAGGCCAGAGGCCGTCTGCGCGAGCGCGACAGGTCAGACCCGTCGAGGCAGAAACGCAAGTTGGAAAAGGGTGACGAACCGACTGAAGCGCCGTAGCCTGCACGTCCGAGGTTGCCGAACGTCCAGATACTGCGCGGAGAGAAGCACAGTCAGCGCCGTGTGCAGAATACTTGCAGCGAAGAAGCGGGTGGGCCGACTCACCCCGGCCAGAATCCCTGCGCCGTCGGCGTTCCGGGCAGCGAAAGGTTGACCTCAACATAACCTCCCGTGAAGCACATCTTGTTCCACGACTGGAGCATGCCCGAGCGGAAGTTGAGGTCGTTCCACGGCTCTTGGTCGAGCGTGATGACGAGGTTGCCGTCTTTGGTCGTGATCGCGTCCGGGTCGTACCATTCGAGGTCGGTTGTTGCCCACTGCGTGCGTGAAAGAGGTTAACGAGGAGGGCGAGGAGGGAAGGCGAACGAGCAGACGCACGTAGTGAAGGTCGACGGCCTCCCAGTACCTGCGAGACCCGAAGCAGCGTCAGCTCGGCCATCTTCTCGTTCAACAGCGACCTCGCACTCACGGGTCATCTCCCGGCCAGAACGTCCTTCCGTCCGTGTTGAACTCGTCCGAGAACACCAACTCGTACTCCTCGCCGTCGTATCCAGTCCGAGTGTAGACGCTCGTCGGCGTGTCCTTGTCAACCATCGAAGGGAGGTTCTGAATTTCGGGAACTTGGCCTGTCGAGTTGGTAATCGTGCGCATCGCGTACGAGCCCCAAGAGCCGTCAATGGCGTAACTGGGCGGTGAGAAGGGTTGCTCTCGTTAGCGAGGAGCACGGAGTGCTCGTGCAAGAGTGCCGACGCACCGGTAGATGGGCCAGCCAGCGAACAAGCCAACGAGGACGATGACGACGACGCAAAGCGCAAGCGTGTTGAGCAGCGCCATGAAGCTCCACTTGCGCATCGTCTTGTCCATAGCCTTATCGAGCGCAGGGTCCGGGTCGTGCAGGAAATCGTCCGGCTCCTTCTCCCACAACAATGCTGCGCCCGCTCCTCCACCCGCGATGCCCTCGAGGCGCGAAACAGAGTGCCGCGACTCGCTCCCGTGCGGCGTCATCCGCGGCGTGCCGTACCCGACTCCAGCGGCGTTGTTCATCAGTCCGTGCGTCGAGTAGTCTTCGTCGGTGAAGCGCGGAGAGTCGGCGCCGTTTTGGCTGCCGTAGGGGAGGGCGACGGGGTCGAGACCGGTCGAGGACGAGGCCATGCTGTCGCGGTGCTGGTACGCCGCGGGTCGGCTCGAGAAGGTTGAGGAGCGAGGGAAGGGACCAAAGTTGCCGCCGACTGCGCCCGTCAAGACGCCTGCACGCGGAAGACGTACAAAGGGTGGTCAGTACGCCTCGTCCCGCACGAAAGAGCATCCACCCGGATCGCGATCGACTGCTGAACGCACCATACGACGCCGGATCGAGGTTGTCGCGCGAGAAGCTGTCGCGTTTCCCGCTCGACGAGAGGGTCGATTCAGACGAGTCGGACTGGAAGAGGCCCATGTGGGAGATGCTCTGACTGAGGCGCGAACGCGGACGGCGCGGCTGGCCTGAGGCGTCGTGCTCGTACGAGCTCGGGGTAGGTGACTGCTCCATCGAGCGAGAGGACCTCCGCGAGGTGGTCGAGCGCAAGGTCGGCGATTCCGGGCGAGGGTCCGTCGATGGGTCGAGGGGTGCGAGTGTCGCCGCTTTACGAGTCGCGCGCGCTGGCTGGTATCTGAGCGAGTCTCCTACGAGTGCAGCGTCTTCGCCTGCAGCGTCACGCCGTTCTGCGAGCGTGTCGAGGTGCGAGAGGTGATGAAGCGGTCGGTCGGTCGACGGTCGCGTCTGAGGGTAGCGGCGGTGTTTGGGCGGATTGACGGTGCTCCGGTCGAGTCCTAGCAGCTGCGAATGCCTGACTGAACCTCCAACAAGCCCGTTAAGCCGTGCCGACGAGAGTGTGAGCCAGCCCTTCGCGCTCGCGTCTCTCTGCTGCGACGAAGACAACAGGAGGCACCTCGACGGCAGAGAGAAGGGCAAAGCGTACAAGTTTGCTCGTTGGCTGCGAGGGCTTCAAGCGGTGCATTGCAGCCTGAGAAGAGACTGGGCCGTTCTGACAAGGCAGCTAATAGCCGACGCGAACGCCCTCTCCGCCTGGACGCTGGCCTGCCTCTCCTTCTCAGCGTGACACCCTCGGATCGCCGTCCAAGAGCATCCTGATTCGAGAGTCTTTGCACTGGGGGTATCTGCATTGACAGGAGAGAGAGTCTGAGGCGGGGAGGCGAGAAAGAGGAGGATCTCTGTACGCTCGACCCCGGCACAGACTTCCGGCTGACGCCTGCCGAGGCGAGCGCCGTCAGAACGTCGAATTATGACGTTTCGCAATGCAAGAACCGACCGGAGCCGCTGAGGGACGAGCCAGAAGCACAGGAGTCGCCGCCTTTCCTCCTCGACGAGCTTGTGCGCCGGCGCCTGTCACCTTTGACTTCCAAAGCATGCTCATCCAGGGCTACACAGCGTCGGCGACGCTGGCGAGGCTGTCGAGCGGTTCCGGAGAGACGGGGGTGGATCGACGTGCCCAAGGAGCGGTGCACTCGCGGCGGTGTGAGCCGTTACAAGTGCGCAAGTTGTAATGCTCTGATTACAAACCTGCTTAGTATGTGCCGGTCTCGGCGAGCAAGGGTGTTCGGGCGGATCGCACGTCGGACGGCGAGGCGGGCGGAGGCCGTCCCTCTTGGCTCCTCGCCTCGCTTTGCGTTTGCGCTCTCTTTCTCTCGCTCACTCTCGCTTCGTACGACTAGCTTGCACGTCGAACGACACACGCTGCCATGCCTGCAGAGTTCAGCCCAACCTCGACCCTCCACGGCTCACCCACCGGCGGCAACAAGCTCGACCTCCATCCCTCGCCGCACAAAGCACACGACGGCCTCGACGCCGCCACCGCGTCCGTCCCCTACGACGGACAGGGAACCGAAGAGTCGCCGTACATCGTCAAGTGGCTCGATGGAGAGGACGAGAACCCGCAGAACTGGTGCGCACGCGTCGTCTCCGCAGTGAGGGCTCTCCCTCCTCCTGACCCGGCAGCGCTCTCCCGCCCGCAGGTCCGGCACCAAGAAGTGGTTGATCACAGCGAACGCAGCAGTCTCGACCCTCTGCATTGCGTTCGGCTCGAGTATCTACGCGGGAGGACTGGGCGACTTCCTCGTCTACTTCAAGGTGAGCCGACGAACCCGGCCCGACGAGGACGAGGTCCGATTACTTACTTGCGCTTCCTCGCAGACTTCCGTGACCATCATCACGCTTGGTTTGTCGCTCTACGTCCTTGGTTTCGCCCTGGGTCCGCTCTTGTGGTGCGTTCAGGCGATCCCGCTCTCCTTCGCCTCCTCCGCTCACCCTCCTCTCGTTCGCAGGGCGCCTTTCTCCGAACAATGGGGTCGCAAGCCCGTCTTCCTCGCCACCTACTTCCTCTTCGCCGTCTTCAACATCCCCTGCGCGCTCGCCAAGAACATCGAGACGCTCCTCATCTGCCGATTTCTCGCCGGCTTCTTCGGCTCGTCCCCGCTCACCAACTCGGGAGGCGTCATCTCCGACATGTTCTCGGCGTCTGAGCGTGCGCTCGGAATCAGCATCTTCGCCCTTGCGCCCTTCGCCGTGCGTCCGCCTTCTCGCCTCTGTTATCTCCTCCCGTGCTGATTTGGCGTTTCCTGCAGGGTCCCGTTCTCGGCCCCATCATCGGTGGATTCCTCGGCCAGAACGCATCGTGGCGCTGGCTCTTCTGGCTTCTCACTATCGTGCGTTCCCGCATCGCGACCTTCGCAAAAACCGAGTCCTGACTTTTCGTCCCGTACAGTTCGCCTTCGTCATGTGGGGACTTGGCTTCCTCAGCCCAGAGACCTACGCGCCTGTCCTTCTCCGCAAGCGCGCCGCCAAGCTCTCCGCCGAGACCGGCAAAGTCTACCGCTCGATGTACGACCTTCACCCGATGTTTTCGGCGCCGTTCAGCGAGAAGATGAAGGCCGCCTTGTTGCGCCCTTTCGTCCTCTTGTTCAAGGAGATGATCATCCTCCTGTTCTCGATCTACGCCGCCTTCATCTACGGAATCTTGTACCTCTTCTTCGGCGCATTCACCATGTGAGCTCTCACCCTCGTTTTCTCGCCCCGACTGCTTGCTGACACGTAACACGTGGACAGCATTTACCAGCAGGAGCGCGGCTGGTCGCCCGGCGTCGGTGGTCTCCCCTTCATCTCGGTCGGACTCGGGATGGTCCTCGCAGTCGTCGCGAACGTCTACGACAACAAGCGCTACGTCCGCAAGCTCGTCGTGGGTGGTGGCGTCCCTCTCGCACCTGAGGCGCGCCTGCCGCTCTGCTGCGTCGGCGGCGTCGTCCTCCCGATCGGCCTCTTCGCCTTCGCCTGGACAACTCTCCCTCACGTCCACTGGATCGCATCGGTCATCTTCGCCTTCCCATTCGGGTTCGGTATGGTCGCGGTCTTCCTGTCTATGATGTCCTACATCGTCGACGCCTACCTCCTCCTAGCCGCCTCCGCCCTCGCCGCCAACGCCGTCATCCGTTCCCTCTTCGGTTTCGCCTTCCCTCTCTTCACGCACGACATGTTCGAAGGCATGGGCACGCAGTGGGCCTTGACGCTCATCGCGTTCGTCGCGCTCGCTCTCGCGCCCATCCCCTTCGTCTTCTACATCTACGGCGCCCGCATCCGCCAGAACTCGTCCTTTGCGCCCGGTCACAAGCCCCCTGCGCCTGCGCCTGTGAAGACGGAGGAGAAGGCAGATGACAAGCTCGAGCGCCAGTCAACTCGCTTGTCGACTCGTCAGGAGATTGAGGCGGATGAGGTCGCGATGATGGACCTCAGGCAGGCGGAGAGCATCACGGAGGAGCAGGCGCTCGAGCGGAGGAAGGGGATGCACCACGTCGTCGACTCGCAGGCGTGATCGGCAGACGAACACACCCTCTTCGCATTTCGCAACCCATCTTGCACACTAGACAATACCCTTACACTCGCTCGCTCGTTGGCGGGCGAACACTTACCCATAGATTCACTCAGCGGAACCATCCATAGACGCTCTCCTTGCATTTCGAGGCACATATTCGAGCACACACTTCTGCGACTATCAAGGTGAAGAGAGGAGAACGCGAGAGAGGGCGAGGAGTAGCAGGAGTTTGACGAACTGACCTTTTCGACAAGTAGAGAAGGCTACCAGCGGACGAGCAAGAAGCGTCCGGCGAATCGGTCGGAAGGGAGCAGCACGCGACGAGCAGCGAGGACAGCGCAACAGCCTCTAGAGATGCGGGGAGCAACTGCAAAGGCGAAAGTAGTCGATACAATGCACTGAGATCCGTCATGTATAGTCTAGGTAAGATCTCGCCGAGGGGGGCGAGCGAGTTCAGGGGACGACAACCGCGCGGAAACTGCGAGGCGTGAAGCGGAGTCAGTTCCAAGCTGAAGACGCCAAAAGAAAGGAAAGCGAGCGCACCGGACGTGGTTGCTCATCATCCTGTCGTAGGCAGTCTGGATCTGGTCGAGCGGGAACTTCTCGATGTACGACTTGACGCCCGAGAGCTGCGAGAAGTCGAGCGTCTCTTCCTCGTCGAGCGGCGTGCCGGTCGGCCAGCCCTGGATCTTCGTGCGGCGGAAGATGACAGGGCCGGTGGGGACGGTGAGATCGCCTGATGCGGCGAGGAGGAGGAGGGTACCATCGACGGCGAGGGCCGGAATCAAGCTAGAGATCGAAGCGGCGTCGGGTGCGGTAGCTGCGCGGGACATCAGCGTCAGTGACGAGCACCGGACAAGGCTAGTGACTCGGCAACCCACCGACGATGACCTTGGCGCCGCCCATCTTGTTGAGCGCATCGGCCTGGTTCTCCTTGCTGGCGTCGATGTAGAGGTGCGCGCCGAGCTGCGACGCGAGCTCCTTCTTCGACGCCGACTGCGACAAGGCGACGACCTTGTAGCCCATTTGGCGCGCGTACTGAACCGCCAGGTGCCCGAGTCCGCCGATGCCGCTAACCGCAACGATGTCGCCTGGGTGAAGGTCCTTGACGTTCCTCAGCGAGTTGTAGACCGTCACGCCGGCGCAGAGGAGCGGCGCCGCCTCGGCCGGGCCCATGTCGACGGGGACAGACGCGAGCGACTCGGTGCGGAAGTAGCCATACTCGGCGTGCCCGCCGTCCGAGAGGATGCCGGTGATGTTCTGCGAGACGCAGGTGTTGAACGACCCGCGGAGGCAGCTCTTGCAGACGCCGCAGTGGCCGCCGTGGAAGCCTGCGCACACGAGGGAGGGTCAGTCGGCAGGTTTGTGCGGAGCTAGCAGAAGCGGAGCCCACCTGCACCGACGCGATCTCCCACCTTCCATCTCTTCTCCGACGGTCCGACAGCAGCGACGTCGCCAACGACTTCGTGTCCCGGGACGAGCGGGTGCTTGGCGCCGATCAAGCCGTGGACGGCGGCAGCGTCGGTGTGGCAGACACCCGAAGCGAGGACCTTAACGAGGACTGGGGGAGCAGCGAAGGTCAGCACGTAAGACCAGAAGAAGGACGAGTCGCAACGCACCTTCACCCTCCTTCGGCTCGCGGATAGGGCGGTCGACGAGCACAAACTGTCCGCCGGCAGTCTGGATCTCGGCAGCCTTGTACGTCTTGGGAAGGGACATGGTTGTTCGCGTTTCGTCGATGAATGTAAGGTGGGGTGGGGCTAGCTGGAGACTCGGGGCAAGCTGGAGAGAGCGGATGAGGAGGAGGAAAGGGAAGAGAGACGGAGCAGCCGCCTTCTTGTTCTGTCGAGCATGACCGCGGGAGCACACGCAAGCGAGCCTTGGGTCAGCAGAAGCCGCTCAGCGCCAGCGCGGGACGGGAGGAGCGGGCCGCAAGATCCCTCGGCGCGGGAAGAACGGGCTGGCGGGTGTTCCTCAGCGATGAAGGCGGGCTGGAAGAAGCTGGTCGGTGTCGAGGGGACGTTTCAATGCTGACAGCGTGCTCAGTCAGCGTCCCGCTGGCGTGTAGAGCCGTCGAGCCGTCTTCATCAGTTGCGAGGAGAAGAGGTCGGCGAGGAGGGCATGGCGCGCGGCGGGAGTTGGACTGCCGGGTTCGTGCGGGTCTGCAACTGTCCCTGAGCCATGATATCGAGTCCCTGCAGCAGTAGAGCGGCGTGGTGGAGCAGTGATCCTGGTTGACTCTCCGCCGCGCTGCCCGACCTCGCTCGGACACAACCACTTCGCTTGCTCACCTGGCTGAAGCTATGGATTCGAGTCAGGAGTACCGCTGCCCCGTCTACTCGTCCAGCAGCATCGACGCTGAGAAGCGCGCGCAGCTCCTCGAGCGCCCCGTCAAATCCTCGAAGGACATCCTCGCACTCGTCTCGCCGATTCTGCAGTCGGTGAGGGAGGGCGGCGACGATGGCTTGCGGTCCTGCGTCGTCAAGTTTGACCGGTGTGTCCCAGCGGAGGACGCAAGCTTCCCTTTGACACTGCAGGCGCCCTTCTCCGACGAGCTCGCGAAGATCGACCCCAAGGTGAAGGAGGCTATCGATGTTGCGTACAAGAACATCAAGGTGAGCACTTTACTAGCCGTGTCTGGGACGAGCACGCTGACCGTGTCCCGCTTGCAGGCTTTCCACGGAGCGCAGATGGAGCGGGAGTCTGAGCCGATCCGAGTGGAGACAATGCCCGGCGTTGTATGCCAGCGGTTCGCTCGACCAATCGGCAGTGTCGGTCTCTACATGTGCGTGGTCGTGCCACCAGCGCGAGAGCGCTTGGGCTGACTTCTTTGTCCCGGCAGTCCCGGAGGAACGGCGGTCCTGCCCAGGTGAGCCCGCTTTCCATCCGGTTCTCGCGATGTTGCGCTGACGAGAAGTCACGCAGCACGGCGCTGATGCTCGGCGTCCCCGCCCAAGTCGCTGGCTGCAAGAACATCACCCTCGCCACCCCTCCCCGACCCGACGGCTCCATCTCCCCCGAAATCATCTACATCGCCCAGCTCGTCGGTGCGAAAACGGTCGTCAAGGCCGGCGGTGCGCACGCTATCGCGGCGATGGCGTATGGAACGAAGAGCGTGCCCAAGGCGGACAAGCTGTACGGGCCCGGGAACCAGTTCGTTACGGCGGCGAAGATGGTGCGCTCGCTTCAAGCTTCGGTACCGCGTTGTCAGGTCTGACTGTATCTGCTTGCAGATGGTCGCGATGGACTCGGGTGCGAAGTGCGCGATCGACGTTCCCGCAGGACCTTCCGAGGTTCTCGTTAGTCCTCTATCGAATCCCCTCGCCGCTCCTCGTGCTCACAAGGTCCCCGTCTACAGATCATCGCCGACAAGACCGCAGACCCCGTCCTCGTCGCCTCCGACCTGCTCGGCCAGCAGGAGCACGGCCTCGACTCGCAGTCCGTCCTCGTCACGATCGACTGCGCCGACTCGTACGTCGAAGCGGTCAACGCGGCGGTCGAGCAGCAGGCGCAGGCGCTTCCTCGTGCCGAGATCCTGCGGAAGAGCTTGAGCCAGAGCTTCATCCTGCAGACCCGGAGTGTTGAGGAGGCTTTCGAGTTCTCGAACGACTATGCCCCCGAGCACTTGTTGCTCTACTTGAAGGACGCGGCCAAGACGGTCGAGCTGGTGGAGAACGCTGGATCGGTCTTTGTTGGACCCTGGTCACCTGTCGCGTGCGTCTTCGCTCTCTCTTCCGCAGTTCGACACGGCGCTGATGGCTTTCTCGTCACAGGTGCGGTGACTACGCCTCGGGCACCAACCACACTCTCCGTGCGTCCCAGTCGACCCCTCAGCTCCTCGACTTCAGTGCTGACCTTCCTTCTCCCGCAGCCACCGTCGGCTACGCCAAGCAGTACTCTGGCGTTTCGACCTCTTCCTTCCTCAAGCACTTCACCTCGCAGGAACTCTCTTCCGACGGCCTCAAGAACCTCGGCCCTTACGTCGAGATTCTCGCCGATGTCGAGCAGCTCGGCGCGCACAAGGCGAGCGTCAGCTTGCGGCTGGACAAGATCAAGCGCGAGGACCTGTAGATGAGCGAGAGTGAAGTACTAGACATAGTCGCTGCCCCGAAGAGAGCCCCGAGTCGTATGCGAGACGCGGACGAAGCAAGCGAGCAAAGTTGGCTGTCTTCTCTTCCTCTCCTTCCTCTCGACCCAGAACGCTTCATGCTGCATGAAGACATGTTGCAGTACAACAAACAGCTCGAAAGACCGCCCGAAGAACTCGTGACTACGACATCAGCCGACCCTCTCCTCCTTCCCGTCCCAAATCCCGCCTACTCATCCTTCTCCGCACGCGCCTTCTTGCCCGCCTTGCTCTTGTCCGCCTTCGGGTTCAGTCCCTTGCGCTTCGCGATCTTCCGCCTCGACTCCTCGATGAGCTTGGCGTCCTCCGCATCGTCAAAGGCCGGCGCGTCCTCCTTCGCCTCGGCTGCGTCCTGCTCGTCCTTCTCGTTGAGCGGTAGAGGCTCGTAGGGAAGTGTAGGCGAGGCGGGTTCGGGAACTGCGAGGCGGAGCGGAGGAAGTCAGCCTCGGACCTCGGGGAGACTGGGAACGGCCAAGTCGTCACGTACCCTGCTTCTGCGGCTTCCCAACTTTGAAGACGCTCACGAAGAACCCGTCAACGTTGGCTACGTGCGGGTAGAAGCGCCTGGTGAGCTCGATGCCCTTGCCGAACTCCTTGCCCTTGTAGCTCTTGAACCCAGGCTTGCCGAACGGAAGTCCGGTATCGACGAGCTTGACGTGCGGCCTCTTGCGCAATGCGTACGAAACGACTGCTTCGTTCTCCTCGACGGTGACGGAACAGGTCGAGTAGCAGACGTAGCCGCCCTTTTCGGAGTTGGGAGAGACCGAGTCGATGGCGCAGAGGAGGAGTTGTTTCTGGAGGTGCGAGAGGAGCATAAAGTCGCGCTCGGTCTGCATTCGCATTGGTCAGTACAAAGACGAGCGAAGGAAGCGGAGAGGAGATATGGAAACACACCTTGTTGACCTTGACACTCGGGTCCTTCGAGATGACACCCGTTCCGGAACACGGCGCGTCAAGCAAGACACGGTCGAACCCGCCCATAATCTTGGGGAACTCGCGACCGTCAACGTTGGTGATGACGACGTTTCTGCACCCGAGACGGGCGACGTTTCCTCCGAGACCCTTGATACGGCCACGGGACGAGTCGTTGGCCCAGACTTCGCCCGTGTTGCCCATCAACGCAGACATGTACGTCGTCTTTCCGCCCGGCGCGGCAGACATGTCGAGGCAGCGTTCGTGAGGCTGCGGGTCGAGCGCCATGACGGGCAGGAAGGACGAGGCGGCTTGGAGGATGTAGTGGCCGGCGAGGTATTCGGGCGTCGCCCCGATCGGGACCGACGAGCCGGAAAAGACTTGAAGGCCGACCTTGGACCAGCCGCCTTCGAGAGGCTGGAGGTTGACGCCGCGGTTGATGAGCGCCTGGGCGAGGTCGCGGCGCCGCGTCTTGAGCGTGTTGACGCGGATCGTGAGCGGGCGGGGAGTGTCGGAGGCGGCGAAGAACTCGAGGGCCTGCGAAGGTCCGAGTCAGTGAGGATGAGCGGGAGAGAGGTACGAGCGAAACGCACCTCTTCTGGACCGAAGACCTCGAAGAGCTTCTCGGCGAGGAAGGGAGTGTAGCCGTGGTACTGGCAGATGTCGCTGATAAGCTGCTCGCGAAGATCGGAGCGAGACCTGCGGACCGAGGTGTGTCAGAACAGCATACTCGCGAGGAGAGGGTATCATCGACGCACATGCCAGCCTGCCCTCCAAGTTCCTTCCAGTGCGCCAACACCCTCGCAGCCGTCCTCATCCTCTTCTCGACCTCCCTCAAATCCTCCAGCTTTCCATTCTGCAATCTGCTTATACCGCCATCCTCATCATCGCTGTCCTCCTCCCCTTCGTCGTCGGAACGTGCAGCTTCAAGCTCTTCCATCGTCGCGTCGATTTGGCCTGCGATAGGCTCGGGATCGGGGCGGGCGGGGTTGAGACCGGCGGGGAGGGGCGAGTCGTCTTCGGAGTCTTCGGAGTCCTCCGAGTTGTAGGCGGCGGCGCGTGCGGCTCGCTTCTTCGAGAGACCTTGGTGAGCGAGCGCGTCGTTCCTACGAAACACGGGTCAGCTTCGGAAGGAAAGCAAGGAGACAGTGACGGAACGCACTGGTCTTCCTCCGTAACGCCGTCGACCTCCTCATCTTCGAGGTCAAACTCGTCGTCGAGATCCTCCTCATCGTCGTCGTCAGCCCGGTCGAGGTCGAACTCGTCGTCGAACTCGTCTCCGCCCGCACCAGGCTCTTCGAGGTCGACGTCGTCGAACAAGGCACTGTGAGGACGCACAAACGGTCAGCCTGGCGTCTCCCGCGTAAAGCAAAGGAGTAGTAGAACGCACGAGCGAGCCTTCTCGAGCCCGCTGGCCTCGGCGTCGCTCATCTCGTCCTCCTCGTCGGTCCACCCATCCTCCGCCTTCATTCCCTCGATGTCGTCGTCGTCCGACTCCCACTCGACGCCGTCCGTGACCTTCTTCTTCTGCTCCGCCTTGCCCTTCCCCTTCCCAGCCTTGGCCTTCCCCTTCCCCTTAACCTCTGCGCCTCCCTCACTGACCTTCTTCGCGCGCTTCGCAGCCCTCGGTCCCTGCGCGCGCTCGCCCTTGGCCTCTGCAACGAGTTTGCGCTTGCCCTTGCGCTCGGGCGCGCCGGGGTGCGCCTTGCCTCCGCCTGCGAACGGGAGGGGGTCGGCTTGCTTCGTACGTGCTTGGCGACCCTGTTTGAGCGAGCGGCGAACCCGCCAGTTAGCTTTGCGCGCGCTAGAAAGTGCGTGTGAGCGTGTACGAACCATCGTAAGCCTGTCTGAGAGTGAAGACGAGGCGAGTTGAGCGAGTCGAGCGGCGGCTGAGCTTCGCGGAGAGGGAGTCCAAGCTGGTCCGCTTCCTCGCTCCACAGCGCTTTAGACGGGCTGAAAGTACTTGTATCGTACTCGCAGTGTCGTATTACCCCATCCAGCCTTACCCGCGAATTTCCCCCGAGTCGCCGCCTCCTCCTGCTCCTCCTCGCACACTCTTGCTCTCCTTCTCTTCGAGCGACCATGTCAAATTCCCCTCTGGCCCTCACCAACGACAGAGGGAGCCGAAGTGTCGCTCAGAGCGACCCCTTACAATCGACCAGCTAAGCGCCCATCACGCCTCTCGTTGCCGCAACACTCGCTCAACCTCTCCGACTTGCTCGTCGCTCTCGAGCGCTTGCGGGGCGGAGTCGGGAGAGCGGGTGGGATTGACGGTCGAGAGGACGGGCCGGGAGGTTCGGACATCCAGGAGGGACTCGTATACGGAGCTGGAGAGGGTGGACTTTGGGCGCGAGGACGAGGACGAGTTCGCTTGCAACGGCGCACGCTTGTTCAGACCAGTTTGGCTTGATTGGGAGAGTACGCGAGAGCACTGCTACACCCATCCAGCCCTCCACTGTCCAGCCCTCACCACCTCCCCTCCCTCCCTCCCGCCCTCCATCGAGGCGGTGCACCCTCTCTCGCTCTCCCACGCACGCACCACCCTCACACCCGCTCGCAAACGATGGCCAAGCCCACCAACCCTCCTCCAGCACCCACCAAGCCCTGGCTCAAACTCGTCCTCACCCTCCTCGTCCTCGCCGCGCTCGTGTACGTCGCGAGGTTGGTGGTCGTCGGGATCCAGGAGGCGATGCAGTGCGTTCTCCTCCGTTGCTTGGGACTGCAGCCCTCTGACTGGGACTGACTCGGCTGGGGAGCGCGCAGGTCCACCAAACAAGCGCTGGAGAAACAGGGCGTTTCAGTCTCGAAAGACGGGTGCGTTCTCCCCCGCTCCTCCCTTCTTCGCAAGGCGCTCGAGGAAACTGATGAGGATGAGTTGATGGGAGCAGAGTGGCGGTCAAGACGGAGAAGCGGGCTTTGACGCAGGAAGAGACGGAGGAGAGGTTGCAGCGGTGCGTTCTCGCTTTCCTCGTCGTCTCGTCGCGCTCGCGAGATAGTCACCCGCCCGCCCAATACCGGAGCGGCGAGTGACTGCCCTTGTCCGGCCAGGACACGACGGACGATCGTAAGAACGCGCGCTGACTCCCGCTCGCTTCGCTTCGCTCGCCCTCACCCAGCGGCTTGATGAAAGGCTGGAAAAACAGCCAGTTCAACGTCCCCTGGATGCTCGCCAAGACCACTGGCTTGGGCGGGTCGAGGCACGATAAGAACAAGGACGAGTGGGAGAAGAAGTGTGAGTCCTGCGCGCGTCTTTCTTGTGGGAAAGGGGTAGGAGGGGAGGGAGGCTGATTGGGTTTGAGATGTGCAGATGGACCGAAGCAGAAACGTCGTGTCGACTAGACGCCACCCTTTCCGACGCGCCCCTCGCTGCCGACGCTGTACATCCCCCATTTCTCGCTTCTTCGGCTCTTCGACATTTCGTGTTGCCATACCTCCCGTCTGCTCTTCATCCACCTTCTACTTCTCGGTCCCCATCTCGGCTGTTCGTTCCATGCCTTTCGAAGCAGACGCACAGGGAATACAGACACTTGATGCCTTGACTTGCTGAACGGGCGAAGAGCGAGGAGAGAAGCTTGCGCTGCGGCTTGGTCTTGGCTGCTGGGTGTGGACAACAACGACGTAGGTTGTTGAAGCTAAGCCGGAGAATGCAGGACGTGCGAGAGGCGGACTTTCCTCCTAGCGAGAGCGAGGGCAGCCTTCGCAGAATGGCGACTACGCTCCGCTCCAACGCAGGGCGTCAAATGCCAAAAGCTCGAGAAAAGCGTTTTCAGCCTACAGTATAGCAAGCCGCATCCCTCTCATTCAAGCGTGCGAGGAGGCATTCAAGCACAACAACGGCGTTCCAACCCCCTCCCTCACCTCCTCGCTTCCTCACGCCTCACTCCTCCGGTTCGTGGAACACCAACACCCTCACCTCGATACTCTCCCTCAATTCGACCCCTTCCTTGCCGTAGTACCGCGGGTCGACGAACGCCGTGTGAGGCGTGATCGTACCGACTTTGTTTTCGGGCGAGTATTCCCAGCATTTCAGGAGGAGGACTGCGGCGCAAGCGTCAGCGAGTGACTGCAGAAGGAAAGGAAGGGAAGGAGAGGGAGGAGAGCGTACCCTCGTCCGCCCCCATCTCACTCAAGTAATACCACCTCAGCCCCTCGGCCCACTTGACATTCAACGTCTCGCCCTCCGGCTGTGCGCCTTCTCCTTCGCTCGGGTAGAGTAAGCGCGATTGGACGAGGTCGTTGGAGGGAGAGAGAGTGCGCGCGTCGCAGACGGCGAGGGGGATGTCGAGGACTGGACCGCGAAGGGGGCGCCAGAGGTTGATTAGTTGGGCGCGGCCTGTTGCACATGACAAGGAGTCAGTAAGATGAGGGGGAAAAGGGAGGGAGGAGGGAGAGAGGGGACGAACCGCGTAGGAGACGGTCTGCGTCTGCGCCGGCGTGGCGACGGACTCGGCGCTCGCCCGACGCAGGGGTCTGATCCACATGTACTGTTTGCGCTTACCCATCAGCGTGCGCTCAAGGATTTGAAGAGGGAAGTGGACGCACCCCGCGCGACGGGCTTGCGGTTCGAGGGCGTGTCGGGCGTCTCTTTCCCTTCCGGCTCGGTGCGGCGGATCGTGTGGTCAAAGATGATGGTCCTCGTCGCTCCAAACTCGCGCTTGAAGAGTCTGCGAGTCGCCGTGAGAGAAACAGAGTTAGGTGGTCGATCGGAAGGAAGCGAGTGAAATTCCCGGCAACGCACTCATCAACCTCCTTGTAGTACACACTCCGAACCTTCTCCTCATCCGCCCAATCCTCATAGCTCATCTTGGTCTGTGTCCTCTCACGCGGCAAGATCCCGAACCCAGTCGTCTCGGTCGAGATGCTCTTCGCTGCGTCGGTGCCGATCAAGGGGCGGAGGTCGTGGATCGGTGTACGGTGGGTTTGGAGAATGGCGTTCGTTGGGGGGAGGTGTGGACCGGGGGAGGGGAACTGGAGTTGGTAGGGTTTCTGGCCTGCAATTCACGGCGTCTCGAGGGGTCAGTCTGCCGTTCGAGGGGGAGAGGGAGAGGGAGAGCGCGGCGCACTATCGGTCGTCTGGCCGCTGAAGTAGACGAGGTCCGCCTCGAGAGCGGGCTTGGTAGCGGCTGCGAGTTCAGCAGGCGAGAGGACGGAGGTGGACATGGTGCGAGCAACTGCGGTGGTGGTGGAGAGTGGTCGAGTGAGGAGGGTTCTGAGCATGCAAGAGAGAGCAAAGAGTGCAGCTGAGCGGGATAGCGATGGTGCGAGTGGAGTGGATGAGCAAAGCAGGGCGATGATGCGATGCGAGGGGTTGCTTGGTCAGCGAGCGACGAGGTGGAGGCATGAGCGAGGGTAGCGAGCGAGTTCCGGAGTCGCGGGTCGATGAGCTGTGTCAGCGCGAGCAGGGTGAGCCAGAGTGACAGCAGTGTGAGTGCGAGTGCGAGTTGCTCGCAAGTTGAGTGAAGTTGCGAGCTGCAAAGTGGAAAGCGCGCGTCTCTCTGCACCGAGGGACGCGGGGTTGCGTCGCGGCGAAAGCAGGGTGCGCTCCTTCGCAGCTCAGCCAGCGCCTTCCACCTCGCTCCGACTCCCGACTGCTCACGACTGCTCACACACGCCCGACCCACACTCGAGCCACGCGACCAAGACCCGCGCACACTCGTCCTCGTCCTCCTCCACTGGGCCCTTCGCAACACAACGCTACTCTCGTTGCGTCTCCCATCGACGCCAGACGACCCACAGCGTCGGACGCCAACTCGCCTCGACGCACGATGGTCGCACCAGCAACGCTGCACCTCGCAGCCCTCGCAGCCACAGCCCTCTCGCTCCTCCCCTCGCCCGCCTTGGCTCGCCTCGACCGCCGCGCGCTCCAGCTCAACCGCCGCGCAAACACCACCGATGCAGCGGTGTTGAACGGGCAGACGTTCGACTATGTCGTCGTAGGGTGCGTCCCGACCTCCTTCCTCCTCTTCGGGGATTCCGCGCGAAGAGGTCCTAAGAAGTCCGCTAATTCGCCGTCCCTCGGCTCCGCACAAAAAACAGAGGCGGAACGACCGGTCTCGCGCTCGCCTCTCGTCTCTCGCAAAACTCGACGCTCAAAATCGCCGTTATCGAAGCCGGGTCGACGGGCGATGAAGTACAAGACAAGGTGCTCGCGCCCGCCATGGCCTACTTTGGCGGGATCGCGAATCAAGAGAGCCCGTATGACTGGCAGTATACGACGACGAACCAGAGCGAGTTGGGCGGACGGAGCGTCTTTTGGCCTCGAGGCAAGATCCTCGGTGGGTCGTCCGCTGTCAATGGGTGCGTCCGGCGTCATTCTGCGCGTCCGCAGCGGAGAGTTGACCCCTCCCACGCAGGCTCTACATGATCCGCCAGTCGGCCATCGAGCAAGACTCGTGGGGCTCGCTCGTCGGTGACCCCGAAGGCTGGGGCTGGGACACGATGTACCCCTACCTGAAAAAATCGGAAACCTGGACGCCTCCCTCGGACTCGTACGTCTCTTCCGCGCACATGGTCCTGAACCAGTCGCTCCACGGCCTCGACGGACCGGTGCACTACTCGTACCCCGGCATCTTCTACAACTCGATGTTCGAGTGGATCCCGACGCTCGAGAATATGGGTCTCGACTCGCGCGACCCGGCCGGAGGGGAGAACTGGGGCGCGTTCATCGCTACGAGCGCGATCAACCCGACGAATTGGACGCGCTCGTACGCCAAGAACGGGTACCTCGACCCGGTCAATTATCGACAGAACCTCGTCGTCCTGACGGGATACCAGGCCACGCGCATCGTCTTTGACGGAACGACGGCGACGGGTGTCGAGTTTGCTGCGTCCGCGACGGGTCAGACCTTCACCATCAACGCCAGCAAGGAGGTGATCCTCTCGACCGGCGTGATCGGCACTCCCCAGCTCCTCCAAGTCTCGGGCGTCGGTCCAACAGACCTCCTCTCCTCGCTCCAGATCAACGTCGTCAAGGACCTTCCGGGCGTCGGCATGCACCTGACGGACCACCTCTCCGGCGCCATGACGCTCAACACCTCGTTCCCATTCTCCGGCGACCCCGTCGAGTCCAACACTACGTTCGCGGCGGAACAACTCGCGTTGTGGAAGGCGGGCGATGCGAGTTCGCTCTATACCTCGCCCAACGACGCGGTCGCTTACGTCAACCTCACGACGCTAATGGGAGGCGAGCAGCAGGCGAGCGAGTTCATGCAGCAGATCAAGGCGAACCAGTCGGCTCTCGTGAAGGCTTACTCGAGCGACAAGGCGATCCAGGCGGGGTACAACGCGTCGTACTCGGCTGAATTGAGGGACATCTACCCCTCGGCAGTCGGGATGGCCGAGATCCTCCTCTCCAACACCGGTGCGTTTCCCCCTCCCTTCCCTTCTCTTCCCCTGGCTGACGCTGGGTGAGGACAGGAACGTACGGAGGATACGGAGACGCCGTCACGGTCCAGATCCAGGCGGCGATTCAGCACCCTCTCTCGCGCGGAACGGTCAAGATCAACTCGACGAGCGTGTTTGATAAGCCCCTCATCGACGCGGGCTACCTCACCCAGTGCGTCGCCCTCCTCTCCCTCCCTCCTCCGCACTTCCTCTAACGCTTTGGCGTCCTCAGCCCCGCCGACATCCAGATCCTCCGCCAGGCATTCAAGTTCGCTCGCAACGTCTCTCAGACCGCGCCTCTGAGCGACTACGTCTTGAACGAGCTTTCGCCTGGCTCGGCGGTGCAGACGGACGAGGAATGGGACACGTGGATCAGGGGAGTCGTCTCGACCGAGTGTGCGTTCCCGCTCTGTCTCCCCCGCCTCTCTCGTCGATGCGCGTGTTGACGTTTGCACGGCTCGCGCGCAGACCACCCCGCCGGCACAGCCTCGATGCTCCCCGAATCCGAAGGCGGAGTAGTCGACAACGCCCTCCGAGTCTACGGCCTGACCGGCCTGCGCGTCATCGATTTCTCCATCGTCCCCATGTCATTCTCGGCGCACGCGACCGCCCCAGCATACGGCTTGGCGGAAAGGGCGTACGACCTCCTCCTCTCGACGCCCAAGCTTGCGGGTGGCTCCGAGCCGAGCACGAGCGCGAACGGCTCGAGCTCGGCGGCTGTCAGTGGCGTGCCCGGCGCGGCGAGCAAGACGGCGTCTGCGGCAAGCAACGCAGCAGAGACGGGCAAGGCCAACTCGGCGCCTGCTGGGAGTGCGACTGCGAAGGTCGGCACGGCGGTGCTCGTCGGACTCGTCGGCGCTCTTGCGCTCTTCGCCTGAGCGCCCTTCGCAAGATAGACACTGTACATAGATCTACACTTTCACGACCCCTTTCGCTCGTTAGACACCTCTCGCTTTGCACCACTTTCTCTCGCTATACCCCCTTCGTTCCTTTATTTCCCTCTCTCTCTTTTCGTTCACTCCGAGCAGTATCTCGCATCTCTTAGATTCCCGCGACTAGCGGGCGCCGGGGAACGTAGCTCGACCCCTCGACGGACACTCTCTCCTCTCTCTCTCCCCTCTGTGCGCAGTGCAACCTCGCATCTTCGTCTGCGTCTGAGTAAGTTGCATTGGGATAGAGTAGAGGATGCACAAATACAGAGAGAGAGGGGCTTGTCGCGCTCATGCCCAGATCTCGACGCCGACGTTGATGGCCATCACGCACTGCGGCCCAGAACTCAGTTAGCTCCTGTCACTCGAGAAGATGGCGAAAGGAAGGCGCTCACCATCCAAGCAGCGATCAACGCCGCTCCCACGCGCTTGCTCATCCTGTACGCATTCAGCGGGACAACCACCATCGTCCCGACGAGTATCGCGAACAGCCCCACGCCCGAGACGACGAGCGTCTTGCTCATCGGGACGTGGATGGGTTGGCCGCGCGCTGGGCCGAAGAGGATTAGGTACGTCCCGGAGAGGCCGACGCCGAGGAGGATGTTGAGCATGGGTCCGCCGAAACAGGCTGCGATGGCCATCGTCGGGTAGCCCATGCGCTGCGAGATCAGAACGAGTCAGCGAAGAGCGAGGAAGGAGGAGCGAGCAAACGTACCGCGACGGTGGCATTCGCAACGAGGTCGCCGAGCGAGTTGCCCATGGCGAAGATGGTGAGGCCCAGGATGGCGTCCGAGATGCCAAAAATGTGGCCGAGAGTCTGTACACACAATGTCAGCTCTAGGCTTGGGAGGCAGAGCGGAGCGTAACGCACGAGGAGAACGCCGACGACCTCGTTGACAATCATGAGGATCCAGACCATGGCGATGGCGAAGCCCAAGAAGCAGAGCGACACTCGTCCAGGATGTCGCGAGTTGTGGAAGAAGCGGTAGGCGACCGAGGCGGCGAGAAGACCGACGAGGCCGGCGGCGACCAGGTACCACCATCGCAGCTCCTCAACTGCGGCAAGCTGTCAGCGTCTATCTAAGCACACACGGTTCAAAACGCACCGAAGAGTGCCGACACAACGAAGAGCGGTCCGAGCAGGCACTGCAGGGCCGTCAACACCCTCGTGACATGCTCCTGCGCCAGATCCTCCAACTCCTCCTCGCTCAACCGCCGCACTCCCTTCCCTTCGTCCGTTCTCCGCACACCATCGTCCTCGTCTACCGGTACAGGTGTCACCGTCGCCGAGCCAGTCATTCGGTTCGGGCTGGTGATGCGGAAGTAGTCGAGTGGGCCGGTCGCGAGTGCACGAGCTGGCGTGGGCGAGTCGAGCGGTGTGGTCGACACTTCCTCCCATGCGTGCGAAGGAGAAGGCGCTTCCGCCTCGGCGGCTTCAGCACGGATGTGCTGCAGCCGGTGCGAGGGCGAGTTGTCGTGTGCGACGTGAGAGTGCGAGTGGACGTGAGGATGAGGGTGCGAGTCGGCGTGCGTGTGCGCAATAGCAGGCGAGTGCAGTTGTCGGCCGATGGCCTCAATCGCAGCTTCGGCATCAATCCCGCCTTCACGATCCGCCTTCTCGCCATTCCAGCTCGCATCGCCTTCGTCGCTCGGCTCCTCCACGACCGGCAGGGTCAGGTTGAGGACGAGGAGGGCGGGTACGCATAGCAGCGCTGTACACTTGCCGACGATCGATTTCGAGCGGAAGGACTGAAGGGAGGGGAAGAGCGCGCAGCGCCAGGCGTGGAGGAGTCGTCGGCGGGTCGAGCGATGTTCCGGCTTCTCGCGGGCAGAAGTGGTCGAAGGAGGGGAGGAAGGGTGATCGGCGAGGATCGTGTCCGACCCGCTGTCGGTCGTGAGGAGGATCGAGGGAACCCGTCGAATTGTCGACGAGCGCGAGTCGTCCTGGATCAGCGGCGACTGAGCGTCCTTCCAAGGGTTGTCGACGCCCTTGGAGAGGTCGATCAATCCTTGCTCGTCCTCCTCGTCGTCCACAGTCGCCGATCGGTCCGTCCAGGTTCCTCTCCTTTCGCCTAGCGACATCCTATGTCTTCTTCGCTCAGCATCCGCCATGACCCGCTCCGCGAGTACGTCGTCCGCTCCTCCAAGCTGTAATGCACCCGGGTGCTCCGGCTGACTGAGTGCTCGTCGTCTCCCTCGTGAATCGCTAGCGCCGCCAAAGCCCAGGCCCAACCCCTCCTCGAGCGCATGCTCGTGCTCCTCTGCGACCTCGTCCAGCACGTCGTGCGAATGCGCATGGTGCTGATGTGCACCGCCAAACACCGACAGAATGTTGGCAGCCGACGAGCGGTCGGACGAGAGCGAGTTGACGACGTCGCGAAACTCGATGGCGCCGAGTAGGGAGGGTCGAACAGAGCGAGATCGTCGTCGACCGCCGCCCATGAGAGGAGTAGGTGGAGGACGGGTGTTGAAGCCGGCGGGGCCGGAGAGGGAGGTTGCGCGTGAGCGGGAGTGCGAGGGAGAGAAGGTGGGCGTCATGGGTGGAGAGGCGAAGGGAGAGCCGGGTGGGTGGTAGATGATGGACGAAGAGGAGTATGCGGGAGAAGCGTCGCGGTAGGAGTGTGAGCGGTTCAGGGAGGGTGTCGAAGTGCCGGATGGCGGCAGGGTAATCGCGCCTGCGGAGAAGTGGTTAAGCAGCAGAAGAGAGACTTGGGCGAAGTAAGTGCACCTTCTTCCTCTTCCCATTCGACATCGCCATTCACGATGTTACCGTCCGCCTCGTCGTGCTCGTACTCGCCCCGCGCCTCACGCAGCCGTTTCCGCTTCGCCTCCACCCTTCCTTCCCACCAGGTTCCGACCGCAACGTACAGGACGTAGACGACGTAGAGTCCGACCATGAGGAAAGCCTCCCACAGGTGGATGTGCGAATCGTAAAGGATGCCGAGCGTGAGAAGGACGGCGACGCTGAAGAAGCCGATGTCGCGGAGGAATGTTCGTCGAGCGACGCGGAACGGCTTGATGAGCGCCATCGTACCGCTGCAAGCCTGAGTGTCAGTCTGAGGTGCTTTGTCGCCTCGAAGCGGCAGGAAGGGTCGACTCACGCGACTACCGAGACGATAAAGCTGGCTGTACCGATCAGCTCGCCAATCGCCAAGCTTCCCGAGTCATTCCTGAGGGCGGCAAACGTCGAGAAAACGTCGGGACTGCCGTTGGAGAAGGCGAGGAAGGTGACACCGGCCTGCGAAGGAAGCGTCAACAGGCCTGCACCGCCATCGAGTGAGGTGAAGGGGTACGCACGACGCTCTCGCTGAGCCCGAGTCGGCTGGCGATGTGGCTCAAATTCGGGCAGAAGAACTCGGATGCGCAGATCCCCACAAAGGCGAAGAGGAAGACGAGCCAGATTACCATGAGGGCGAAGATGGCGACTCGGGGAGCGCCTGGTGCCGCGCTCGTGTACCAGGCGAGCCAGTCGATGAGCGCCTCCGACTCGTCTGACCCTCCTCCATCCTCCACGAGCCTTTCCAGCGACCGCTTGGCGAGGTGTGCCGCCGTCGACCGTGATCGGGGCGATGAGGCGAACGCGGAGAGTGGTGCGATGGCGCGCCAGCAGGCGAGGTTGAAGACAGCAGCGAGTGCCAGAACGAGGTACAGCCGGTGTCTCTGGCGCACGCCTGACCCGCTGGACGGTGCCATGGCTGCAGGCGGACGAAGAGGTGGAGCCAAGAACGGAGCCGAAGAACGCGGCGGCGGACAACCACTACCTCGCATTCTCGCTGGGCAGTTCTGCTACGCTCTATGCTCCTTCAAAGCAGTCAGAAGGAAGCTGGTGCAGCGGCGAGGCAAGAGGAGCTGATAAGCGGGCAGGCACCTCCTCCGAGTCGTTCTGAAGAACAACAAGCTGTGTACAGTCAAGCGCCCCGCCAACTCCACTTGCTACCTCAACCGTGGACCCCACTGCCATCGCCGCTGTCAAGCTCGTCGACCTCGTCCTCGCAGACCGGCCCGCGACTCCCGCGTTGCGGAACCCTGACCCGTTCCGTCTCGCCCAGTCGATCGCCGCCGTTTCCGACATGCCGTCCTGCCTTTGCACTCCCTCGAGGTCCCGCGCCAGCACGCTGTAAGCCCATCTGCTGCGCCGCGAACCCCTCAAGCCAGTCGTCCTCCTCCTCGTCCACTCCGCCTACCTCCCCTCCTTCGCTGCCATAGTCCGTCTCCTCTGCGCTCGACTCGAAGAACGACGAGACGACGCTCCCCTCCGCCGCTTCAGCCGCGTCCGCCTCCTCGTCCTCCTCTTCCTCAGACGAAGTATCCGGGATCGAGTCCTCGTAGTACCCCTCCTCCGCCTCGTCCACATACTCTTCTTCCTCTTCTACAGGCGCAGCAGGCGTCTCGAATGTCCCGCCAGTCGAGTATCCCGCCTCGGTCAACGCGCGCGAGATCGCAGCGGTCAACTCGGGGCTGATGACGGCGGTCGGAGGGGGAGGTGTCGGTGCGGGTGCCGAGCTACGAAGGCGAGGAGGGGACTGGCGTCGGTTGTGGATTGGGCGGAGAGGCTGGGCTAGCGGACTGTCGATATTCGGAGGGTCGAAGAGAGAGGATGCGAGCATCTCCCACAGCGTGAGAGGTCGGTCGTACGCAGCAGGGGAAGGAGCAGCCGCTGAGGCTGGAGAAACATGTGAAGTGGGGCGGGGGCCGTGCTGTGATGGATGCGACGAGCTGGTAACGTTCGTAGTGGGCGCAGTCGAGATGTCACCGTTCGCCAAGTACTGCGCTGGAAAAGATAGGAACCTCGACCAGTCATGCGCGGCGGAGAACGCCGTCTGCTGAGCTGTCCACGAAGACGACGAAGACGACGAAGGCGCAGGCGAGACGAGTACAGGTTCGATGCGACGGCCCTTCTTGGGTGGACGAGCAGCGGGAAGAGGCGGAGGCGGCATGATCTCCCGGTCGCGGTCCCGCTTGCGAGCCGTCTTGTCGCGCTGAGGAGGCGGCTGACCGGCCTCTGTGGCCGTGCCGACGACCTGAAAGTCGACTGGCGGCGTGGGAAGGACCGGCTCGAACTGGGCAAAGCCGTCCGACATTGACGCTGGCGCGTCCGATCCTGACTGCACGCTCACTACCGCATCGGGGCGTTCCAGGTCCCCGTTGTCGACGGCTTCAGCGGCCTTCTTCGCCTTGCCCGCCTTGGTTCGTTCCGGCCGTGACCAAGCGGACGCCTTCTTCGACTTGCCTTCGGGACGAAGCGCAATCGTGTACTTGCCGACGTTCTCGTGGTGATAGAAGGTGAGACGGTAGGCGTCGGGAGGAGCGGAAGGCGAGATAGGGTTGAGGATGTAGGCGTAAGTCGGCGAAGGGCGGGCGTCTGTCTGAGCAAGGGCGCGGACGGTACTGCCAGAGCGAGGAGACGTCAGTACAATCCGTTTGAGTGGAACCAGCTGCGCACATCTGCTTGTGAACCCATCCACCCGAGCGAGCGATTCTCTCGACCATGGCGCTGCGGTCTTCCGGCCTCGCGACAACCAGCCAGCTCTCCGGGACGCCCGTCGCGCCTCGCGCAAGCTGAACAGCCTCGTCGCAGACCTCCTGGATGTCCTTGACCTCGCTCGGCGCCCAGTTCGCCGCCTTCTTCGCTTCCGTCCAGTACCACTTGTGTGTCAGGCAGACCTGGTAAGGCTGGAGGTTGGTGATGCGCTGGGGGAAATCGGAGGGCGGCTTGTGCTTCTTGCACTGCGAGCAACGGATCAGCGGCGTCGTCGAGGTGGTCGCGACCGGTTCGTGTTGTCGAGGCTGTGTCGCGGCGTGAGTCCCGCTCGTCATAGGCTGGGCGGGCGCCGCCATTGTGCCATCCGCACGAGTCGCGAGAGCAGGACTGAACAAGCGCGAGCAGCAGACAGGCGAAGCGAGTCGAGTGTGGTGGGGAGAGCGACTTCGACGCGAGCGAACGCGGTCAAGCGATGAAGTTTTGACAAGTGCGAGGGAAGCGCTGCACTAGTCTAGAAAGCATTGCAGTAGTGTGTACGTGACGAGGCGAGTGCAGGAACACGAAAGGAAGAGCGAGAGAGAGAGTGTCTGTTCGTGTGTGTAGAGTTGCGGAAGATGCGAAGTGAATGTCCATCTCCTCCCCGGCGAGCCCACCTTCTATGCCTCGTCGTCCCCTCACATGATTGTACAGTCCTTGTCCTCGCCAGCGTTCTTCCTCCGCTGCAGGACCTTCTCCCTCTCCTGCTTGACGTCCTCACTCGCCGGCAGCGTGAACCCGCCCTTGCCGTTCTGCGGTGTCGGGAGGCGGACCTCGGCGGGCTGGAGCGGTGCGAACGGGCGACCATGCTGAGGCGGTGGACCAGCAAACTCGGGGAAGCCTCCGCCGTTGCCACTGAAACCGACGGTCTGCGACCGCTGGTGCTGTCCCTCGCGGTGGTCGTACGCGAGCGGACCAAAGTCGCCACCTTGCTGCATCGGTCGGAGGTTGTAGTCGAGCGGGACGGGCGGAGGAGCAACCTCGGGTCGAACGGCTGACGGCTGGGAGTAGCTGCGCTGGCGGTGCATAGGCGGCATCGGCGGGACGTCCGGCAAAGTCTTCTCCCTGCCCTTGCCCTTGCGGTCGATTCCAGCCGGGCCAGAGACGGAACGCGCATCGGCGCTGGTCGTGCGCGGGTGGCCAGGCTTCTTGCTCTTCCCGCCGGTGAGCGACATGTTGCTCGGCTCCTTCTTGAGCATCCGCGCAGTCGACAACCTCGACTGCTTCTCCGGAAGCTGGAAACTGCTCGTCGACCATGCCGCGCCTGTCTCGCCTGGACCAGGGCTCGTCCGCTTCGCCGACTTGACGACCTCGGGAACGGGTCGACCAGCCAACCTCAGCCGGTCCTGTGCGCGCTTGTCGCCATGCGAGGCGGCCTTGCGGAACCACTCGAGCGCCTCGCGCTGGTCCTTGTACGTGCCGATGCCGATCTCGGTGAAGTAGCCGCACGCATACTCGGCTTTGGCGAGACCGGCTTCGGCAGCCTTCTTCGCCCAGAGGTAGGCTTCGGTGTCCGATTGAGGCAGGACGCCGGGCGAACCGACGAGGTACCAGGCGGTGAGGGCGAAGCAGGCGGCGGGGTGGTTCTGCTGGGCGGCGATGTCTGCGTGCATGGCGAGGTCAGTCCCTGCAGACACGTGGTCGACTCGCGAGCGGTTCGAGACGCACTGTAGTAGTGGATGCTGAGCGCAGCGTCTTGCGGGCAGCCCATCTTGCCGTACTCGTAGCACTCGCCGAGCCTGTAAGCCGACGGAGCGTACTGCAGCTCAGCCGCTCGCGCGAGAAGTTCGGCGGCGTATTCCTCGTCCTGTGCAAATGAATCATCAGTCCTGAACTGCTTGTATGCATGCGAACAGCAAGAGCGCACCTGGAAGACGACGTTCTCGATGCCCTTCTCGTGCAAGATCGCCAGCTCGTGCAAGCTCTGCGGCTGAGGCGGGTCGACCTGGTCGGCGAGTTCTGCCGCGCGAGTGAGCCACTGGACGCCATCCTTGGGTCGCTTCGAGAGACCGAGTTCGCCGTTGAGCTCAGCGAGGCCAAGGCGGTGCATGGCGCCGACGTGCGAGAGGACGGCAGCTCGGCTGCGATGTGTCACGGTGAGCTCAGGAGACACAGCGCTAGTGCAGGTGAACACACCGGTAGAAGCTGACAGCCTTGCTCAAGTCCTTGCGGGTGCCCCAGCCGAACTCGAGGCACTGCGCCGCGCGGAACGAGCCTGCTGCGTGTCCGTGCTTGCCGGCCGTGAGAAAGAGCGGGAACGCCTTGTCGTAGTCGCGCTTGCCCTGCATGACCGGAACAATTGGTCAAGTCGCGAGGCGTTCAGCGAGAGGTCGAACGAGCGCACCTTGTGCGTCCCAATTCCCTGCGTGTAGCACTCGGCGAGGAAGTACGAACTCTTGACGTGCCCGCGTGTCGCCAGCTTGTTCAGCAAGGCGATGCTCTCAGCGACAAGCGCCTGCTGCTTGTGCATCGCCTCGATCTCCCGCTGCGAAGGCGGCGACTTGTCGCTCCTGTCGACCGCTTTGCCCGCCGCCATCTTTTCCATCACAGTCGAGTGCTCGAGGTCCGCGACGACGTCCATGACGAACGTGCAGAACTCGAACTGGATGTCGGGGTCGTTCGTCTTTTTCGCGTTCTGCCGGTACAGCTCAAGCGTCTTGTCGTGTGAGAGGAGGGAAGCCATGTTGCCGGGTTGCAGGTGGGATTGGTCGAGTAGTTGTGCGGGAGGAGGCGGAGATGGGTCGTTCGAAGTCGAGGAAGAGAAGCCATAGAGGGAGGCGGAGCGAGACGAAGTGATGGGTGCTTGCGAGTACCGGGGGCGGTGCGGCACTTCGTGTGAGGAGTAGGAGCCTGAACCGGAGCCGGACGAGCCGCCGCCACCGAGTTGATGCCGCTTGTCGACGGGAAGCTGTCGCTGAGACTGAGTCGAGGGGGTGGGAGAGTACTCGCGGGAAGAGCCGGAGTCGGGCTGGACGTGCGCGTCGAGTCCGTAGAAAGAAGATCGGCGCTCGTGGTGGTGTTCTGCTCGCGCTGATCTTGCGGTCGCAGGCGGCATGTCCGTCGAGGAGGGGGGGAAGGTGCCGTCGACCGTCGCTGCTGACGGCGGTTCGACGCCGAAGAAGCTATTTGGTCGTCCAGTGACCGCCCCGCCATGCCGCACTGCCGCGCCCTGCGCTACATCGCCGTCACCTCCCCTCGTCCCAACTCCTCCACCTCGAGCGGCAGTCTGCACCACCTCTCCTGCTGACGCGCCCGCTGAGTACAGCCCTGCAGTCGCACCATCCGCATTCACACCCGCAAGGCTCGAAGTCCTCTGCTGCGCCGCTTTGGGTCTTCCGCGATCGAGGACAGAAGAGGCCTCGGAGTTGGGTTGGCCCATCTGCCGGCGCGCCGGCGGCTCGTTGTCCCTCAGGGGAGCAGTCGTTGTCGAGTAAAAGTCTCCGGAGGACTGTCCGCGCCACTGCTGCTGCGAGGGAGGTCCTCGTCCATCTTGATGCCGATGCGGGGTTGCTGTGTCGAGAGCTGGCGAGGGCTCCCCTGGGTACGGGAGGGGCTGAGCGAGAGTTGCCATCGCGCTGAGCAGCTCGATCGCAAGCCTGATGCGAGCGTGTGAGGACGAAGCGGCGAACGAACCTCGTCCAACGTTTCTCTCGCCAGAACGCTCCCCTTCGTCATCCAGCAGAACACGCTCTTCCGGGGGTTTGCGGGTCTATGCTGATGTTCTGACGCTGTTGCTTGTGCCCACTGAGTCGCCAGCTCACTCGGCGCGCTCCCTCGCCGTTTACCGCTCCCTCGGGACGCTCTGCTTTCGGACGGCTGCGAATGAGCACGCGGAACCTGGGCGCCGCTGCCGACAGCTTGAAACCCCCGTGTGCATGGGCTACCTCGGCATCGCTGGCGGCGGGAACTGCCGAGCCCGCTATCCCGCCTGAATCTCCTCGTCGAGACTCGGTTCTCGCGCCGCTGACCGGTACTTCGCCGCAATTCTGTACATTGCGCTCAATGACGGCCTTGGATGCTGAACGGAGACGACTGTGACGCGGAAGGACGTGGCGAGCAGGAGTGGAGGAGGTCGTCAAGGTCCGGCTATTGGGCGGACGAGGTCAGCTACAGTCGGGAGGAAGCGAATGAAGGAAGGGCGGACGCACCAATTGTAACACGTGTCTGATAGGCTGTTGCCTGATTCGCTGAACGGTCGCGCCTACTTCCGCCATAACACCCTCGACAACCGCATCCGGCGTCTCCATCAAGATCCGCCTCGACTTGAACGAGTCCAGGTGCCGTAACCACTGAATTACTTGCGTCTTGCGTTCTCCGAGCTGTCGCGCTCGAAGAGCATTGCCGGCGTTTTCGGCGGCAGACTTCTGGGCGGTCAAGGACTGCAGGAGATTGGCGCTTGAGAAGTGCAGGGTGCGGTAGAAGGCATCGACGGCGCGTGTGTCGACATTCTCCCACTGCGCAGGTGGCAAGGAAGGTAAGTGCAGGCTACCTGGCTGTACAAAGCAAAGCAGGCGGCTGACCGGTCGAACAATACCTTCGAGGAGGTCGTGGCGGGTCGGCTGCCAGAGCACTCGTCAGTCGGCTGCAGATGGCGCTATATGTCGTTGACGGGCGGAAGGACTCGCGAGTACAAAAGTCTTGTCAAGCGGCCACCCCGTGGCGTTGTTGAGCAGAACGGAGACGTTCTCAAAGCGCTGTGCGGCGAGACGCGAGCTTGGCGAGCCCCAGTCCTCGGCAGTCGTCCGATCGAGCACCTCTTGCTTGTACCAACCGAGTTCGTCGACCCTCGTCCTGACAAGCGATATCCACCGGCCCTCAAGCCGCTCGTCCACGGGCACAGGAGCTTGTAATAGGTGAAGGGCGCCTGCGAGCCCTTGTCCCAGCGTCTCCTTCCAAGCAACGAAGTCAAGCCGAGGTCGACCATTCGAGTCAAGCTGATGGGAGGCGATAAAGTCGGAAGGGCGAGAGGAGGAGGAGGTGCGAGTGCCGGGGCGGAAAGGCGAGGTCGTGGTCGACGCTGCGTCCTCGTCGTGCGGAATATGTCGCAACAAGGGCTGTTGTGGAGCGAAGTTGGCGGACTTCTCGAAAGGAAGAAGGGTAAGAAGTGTTGCACCTGGATGTAAGGCAGCATCGCAACTTCTCCTGCAAGCAGCTCCCTGCGGGTCGGCTGGAGACGAAGGATCGGTCACTGGAAGTGAATACAGAAGCGCAGTCTCGTTACTTACCATGAGGCCTTTCAAGTTCTGCTCGAACGGGACATGGAGGAAAAGGTTTCCGACGAGCGCCAGGTTCTCCGAGAGGTATCCGTTTGCTGAGCCGACGTCAGCACCATCGCGGTAGGTGCGGTCCCTGCCCGCTCTCGTCTGCGCATTCACCCAGGAGCTGATTAAAATGAGGCGACGCTGAATCTGTCCCGCTAGTGGACCAGCATTCTTTGCCATCGCTTCCCTCCTCTGGTCGGTAAGAGCATTGGCGGTTTCCGTCATGACCCTGCGAACTTCAGCTTTGTACTGCCTAAACGTGAGGGAAGGGTGCGAGGTCGACGCAGAGTTGCTCGAGGCTGCGCTGCCAGGCGAGTGTTGCGAATGCGACCTCGACCGCGCGGGGGAAGCCATGGTCAATCAGTCGACGTCGAGGCCGGATTTGCTATGGTCGTCGTTGCGGAAGCCAAGCAGCAGAGCGGTTGAGACGAGCAAGACGCGGATGAGAAACAGGAGCGTGCTTGGCGAAGCGTGACCGGAAGATTCATCGGACTTTCCGCGGGGGAAAAGCTTCAATGTCTGTGCGGTGAGGCACGTCGTTCAAGCAGGAGGATGAAGGGCGAGCGAGGAAGACGAGTCTGGGGTCAACCTTCTCAAGCTGAGGTTGCGACTCGCATACTCACGCGCAAAGGCGCGCAGGGTCGATGAGAGCGTGCCGACCGATGATAGCATTGTTTACAAACGCGCAGGAAGCCATTTCTACTTTCCGCGCCTCTCAAAGGCCGCAGTCATTACGGTGGAGTGACGGAGGGACAAAGTTGGAGGCGCGCAAAGAGTTGCTGAAGAGTCGGCTGCACATGCATCAGGTCAGTTGCAATCACATAGCGGAGAATGGCAACAGCAGTACATACGAGCGGCTCAGTAGGCTCCAACACGGGAACTTCTTGAAGACCTTGCGCAACGCGGATAATCTCGGCGGTGAGGCGGTCAAGCTCTGACCCCGACAGCTTCAACAGAGTCGCGCGCGACCCGTTTGAGTGGATGTAGACGAGCCACTGAGTGACCATGTGCAAGCGGATGTGCACAAGCCGGAACCAGTTCCGATCCTTGGCCACCCCCGCAGCGGTCTTGTCACTCGCCAGCTTGTCGTGCTTGATGGTTTGTTGAAGCTGTCGGTAGAAGGCATCAACGTGCCCAGTATTGACAATCATCCACTGCGTATCCGATCTGTGAGCACGAGTTGAATTGGAAGACGGGGACGAAAGCGACGAACGGGCTCGACGACACCGTCAAGAAGTGTGTGCTGATCAGGCTGGGAGCTTGCGACCCATCAGCGATGCAGTCGAGACAAGAGGAAGGCGCGGAACGCACCAGGACGAAGGTCTCCCTCAATGGCCAGCCCGTAAGGTTCTCGAGAAGGGCGTGCGCGTTGACGAAGCGCTGCGTGATGCGCTCTGCTGAAGGTCGGCCCCAAACACGCGCAAGGTTCGGCGCAACCCTTTCTTGCCAGTCTCGAATCTCCTCGCATCTTGCGACAATGAGCGAGACCGCCTCCGTGTGGTTCGAGCGCTGCGCCGCCTGCAACTCGACGGACCAGACTCGAAGAGCGCCGTCGATCCCGTCGTGGATCGTTTTGATCCAGGTGGCGGCGTCCGAGGGATGTCGGCTGCTGTGACGGGCATCGTCAGCAAAATGTGGGTGAGCCATGCGATTGTCGAACGCACGTGAAGTGAGTCGAGCTTGCCTGGTGTTGCTGGTGGCTGCCGAGCGTCGCACGGCCGACAGGGTGAAAGGCAGAAGGGACAGGCGCAGACGGCGGCGAGATAGGCGAAAGATAGCGAGAGATGTACGGCTACCTCGATATGCAGATCAGCGTTGCTCAGTAGACACGGCGAGAATGCAAGCGCACCTTTATTCGGCGGAGGTCGCCTGTGAAAACCTCTCTTGCGTTAGGCTGATGCGCAAGAGCTCAGTCCGCCGGCACGATCAGTCTCGTTTGCGGACTAAACTCACAAGCATGGGAGCGGCCTCTGCCTCGAGAGGCAAGGCTTGCAACACCTGCACGATGTGATCGAGATTGACCTGTACATGGTACGGCTCGATCCCGCTTTCCTCCATTACGGCCTCCCAAGTGCGACCGCCCCTCGCGCCACATAGGGCAGTCTGCCAGTTCGTCAGGTCGCGGAGGCGCCGACTAATCTCCGCAGTCTGCGACGGCGGAGATTTGGCCCGCCAGTCGAGTTCGTAGCGAACAGGCCGGAGCAGGTTATCGGCATAGGCTGTGAAGTCGTTAAACGACCAAATAGGTGCTGAGGAGGCGAGAGTGTGGCCGTAGGCAGGCGATTGTCGGCCGGGATGTTGGGCCATGGGTGGCAGAAGCGACGCGGGAATGAGCAAGCGACCTAGCCGGGCGCTAGTGAGCGAAGGAGGAGACAGAGAAGAAGGGAGAGGAAGGCGGCTTGGGCTGAGCGGCATATCCGTGAAGCGAGACAGGAGCCGGGCTATTGTGCCGGGCGAGCCGAAGGGGCGCTGACTCGATGCCTACAGCGTAGCTTGCCGTGGCCGTGAGATGCGCTTGAAGAGCGAGTCGGCTTGAGTAAGTGCAACTTGAGCGCAACCAGGCGCAGCGAGGTCGCCTGTAGCAAGGCGAAGCGGAGGGGTGTACTTCGATGCGGATTGCGTTAGTCGAGTCTTCGCCGTTACTCAGAGCGCGCGTCTATGCCGCCTCGCCTTCATCCGCCGCTCCCAACTCCCAGCGCGCCAACTCGACGACCTCGAGACCCTGACCCTGAACGCCGCGCACTTCGCTCCACTTCTTCAGGACGTCGCCAACCTTGCTGCCCGCCTCAAACTCAAACTTGGGGCTGGGCGCGAGCGTGATGAGGGATTGCTCGTATAGCGCCGTGCTGGGCTCGCCCGATTCGACCGGAGCCGACGCAGCGGCCGCGCGAACGGAGGTGGTGGGCATGGCAACGACCTGCCGTGCGAGTGCACGCAAGAGACCCTTGACCTCGGTCTTGTCGACATCACCGCCTTCGGCGAGACGGGCGATCAAAAGCCCGCCAAGAGCGCCGGACTGGACACCTGTCGCTGCGGCATCGGCGGGGGTCTTCGAGGCGTGCAGGTAGGAAGAGGCGAGGAAGGTGGCGGATCCGGGTGCAGAGGGGTTGAGGGAGATGCTGGAGGCGCGGCTGAGGTGGATGTTTTCGCCGAGCCGGGAGACGATCTGCGCCAGGCTCGTCTTGACCGTCTCGGGAGGGGAGTCGACTGCCGTCGCTGTCGGGTCGACCTTGTGGGGTGCGGGGACGACGGGCGTGTGGAGCAGCGCGTCGGCCTTGACGTCGTGCTTGACGAGGCCACCCTCCGCCGTCGGCTCGGCGAAGAAAGCCAGACTTCTTGCGATACCCTCCGCCAACTCGCGGAACTCGTCCGTTCGCGCGACGAAATCCGTCTCACAGCGCATCTCGACGAGAGATGCTCGTACACCGACTCCGCCCGTCCCGTCTGCGAGAACAGCGACCGCAACGACACCCTCCTGAGCCTCGCGACCTGCCAATTTCTCCGCCTTTTTCGCGCCAGACTCGGCCGTCTGCTTCGCAATCCATTCGAGTGCCGTGGGAACGTCGTTGTTAGATGCGGCGAGGGCAGAGCGGGCGAGCGTGAGAGGGGTGCCGGGTCGTGCAGATCGGACCTTCGAAATGAGGGCGACGGGGACCTTGACCGGCTCGTCGCGCGCGATGTACGTGGTTGTGAAGGACCTCAAAGGAGCCTGGCGGGCTCGCAAGCCGCTGACTGGCCGTGCGAGGAGTGTGCGGACGAGGGAAGTCGAGGGACGGGACATGGCGGAAGAGGGAGAGACGGGGAAAGCTGCGAGTCGAGCGGGCGGTACGGACGAGGTCTAGAGACTCCGCAAGGCCCTTCTATAGCTGTAAGCAGCCGTTCTAGCGATGCGAGCGAGTTGGTCTCCTTCCAGCCGAGCTCGCCCTCATCGCTTTCGCTTTTGACATCTTTCAAGCTGCCTCATTTCGCTCTTTAGACAGCTGTACGCGCACTGTGATAGTATGGGACAGAGCCAGTCTCAACAGGCGACTCAGCAGGAGCAGCAGGACGGAGTTGTCGCCCCGGTTCCCTCGACTGGCGATGAACAGGACAGCGGCGTCGACGCGGCGATGGGCGGGCAGGAGACCGCTCAGGTGGACGCGAACGATTCGAGGGAAGGCGCTGGCGGCGAGAAAGTGGCTCACTCGGCAGCGGACAGCGTGCCTACACCTCTCTCCGCCGCCGCACCCTCCTCGACGACCGAAACCTTCAAGGTTCCCGCTCTCCCTGCCTCTTCTGCCGTACTGCCCTCAGTCACTTCGCCCTCCGCAACTATGCGCACTCTGCCCGCCGACATCGAACACATCCTCTCGCTCGGAGCAAACCAGCCTGACGAGGCAGAGCGCGCTGCAGCAGCTGCCGAAGGGCGAGGGCGACAGGAGTTGGAACAGACTGTCAGGGAAATGAAGGAGAATGCCCTGAAGGGAGATAGCGAAGTCAAGATGGAGAGCGAGGAGGAGCAGCGGAGACGGGAAGAGCTGCTGCAGGTTGAGGCGGAGATGCGGGAGAAGGGCGTGCAGAGGGGAGCAGAGGTACGGGAAGAAGATGTTGCTGCAACGACACAGGAGTTGGAGGACGTCAGCGGCAGTGTCGAGGTCACAAAGGAGGATCAGATGGCGGACGAGTGCGTTTCCTTGCCTCACAGACTACGATTTCCCCAGCTGATCCTATCTCACAGTTCGAGCAGCGACTCGAGCGATTCCGACTCCGATTCTTCCTCTGCCGAATCCGATTCGACGACTGCTGCGCCTCAAGGCGGACGGCGAAACCGGCGGAACCGCCAGCGCGCCGCCTCTGTCGCTTCCGACATTGACGACGACGAGTCTGGCATCGTCTCCTCGAAGACGGCTCCGAAGACTGAGCACGAGGTGGTCGAGCCGGACGTCGCTCCTCCCGCCGTCCAAAAACTCGACGAGAGCGCCGAGATCGCCAAGTTTGGCAAGGTCGAGAGCGTTATCGAGAACGTGGTAGTTGTCAAGGCGGACACGGGCGGAGACTGGCGTGTGCTTGACGAGGGCACCGTCGTCTGCTGGGAGGACAAGACCGTGATCGGAACTGTGCGTACTTCTACGGCTCACATCGATCTTGAGCTGACCCTTCGTCTTGTGTAGATCTTTGAGACGTTTGGCTCCGTCCAGCAGCCGTTCTACTCGATCCGCTTCCCCTCTTCAGCTCCTCCCGACCGCACCGTCTTCACCATCTCCCGCCCGGTCTTCTACTCGCCCAACCTCGCCTCGTTCGTCTTCACTCGCGATTTGCGACACATCAAAGGCAGCGACGCGAGTAACATCTGGGACGAAGAGGTCGCAGCGCATGAAGTCGAGTTCAGCGACGACGAGGAAGAGGCGGAGTACAGGAAGAGGATCAAGGCAGAGCACGTCTCGATTGCTCTGTACACTTCGCCCAAGGCTGACGATTTGCATTTTGCAGGCGCCGCGCACGCACGCAGTCCGCCACACCTGGACCTTCGAACCCTCGCAATCCTCGCGCATCCCGACCACCCGCTTCTCTGCCTCAAGCTCCTCCTCCTCCCGCTCATCTTCCTGCATCTCTTCCTGCACGACCAGCCGTATCATACGCCGATACCGTCGACGAACCCTCATCCGCCACGACCCCTTCACTTCCTCCCATTGGCCCGATGGCAGCTCAGCCATCTCGAGCAATGGTAGGTGAGAAGCCGCCACCTGGACGAGTCGGTCGTCGGATGTTCGAGCGGGATACGGGAGTGGCGCTGGATAAGGGTGACGAGGTGGAGTTCGAGTTCAGCAGCGGCGAGGGGAGCGACGACGATGACCGCGCGAGCGTTGTCAGCGCCGCGTCGTCGTCGGGACGTGGTGGTGCGCGGGGTGGGAGGGGTGGAAGGGGTCGAGGGCGAGGAGGCCAACGGGGCGGAGGTCAGCAAGGCGGACGAGGAGGCGGACGGCCTGTCGCCCCCCTTCCAGCTCGCGCTTCGCCGACCCAACAACGGCCACCGCTCTCTGCCCCCTCCGCGCAGCCTCCGTATTCAGCCGCACCAGCCGACTCGCCTTCGAATCTTCCTCCCCGCCAGCCCGCAACCGACTACTACGCCCAGCCTCAACAGCAGGCGCAGCCATACGCCTTCGGAGTGGCTGGCGACTCGTCAGCGGGCGCGTTCAACTTTGGCGGCGCGATGCAGTGGCCTTACGCGCCCGCATGGCCAGCGATGGGTGGAGCGTACGGATACGGCGGTGGCGCGGCGGCAGCGGGCTTCTACGGCGGGGTGGGAGCGGCTGGAGCATATCAAGCGCCGTATGGAGGAGGAGCTGCGTCGGCGGGATACTCGCCTCATCAGCCGCACGCAGGAAACGACGATGCGTATCGGCAGCAAGGAGCAAATGGCGCGAACGGAGGGTACGGCAATGGTCAGTATCAGGGACAGAGGGGCCCGCAGGGAGGCTACGGGCAGGGCCAGGGACAGGGAGGACAAAGCCAGACCGGTTGGTACGCTGGTCCAGGAGGAGGCGGAGGCGGGTGGTGAGGCTTGCATTGGTCAGCCGCTTTGGCCCTGGTTGCGCGACTGGTCCATCTGCCTCATGAGATGTCAAGGTGAACTTCCACCTCAACTGTCCTGGCTGCCATCCGCGAGCGAGTTTGCGAAGGTCTTCGCGAGAAAGCGTTCGTCTCGCTCCGTCCCTCGCGCCTCACGGCTCCTTGAGGCTACAAAGGCTTCGACAGTTTCGTACGGCTCTGTACAAGTCGCAGACCGCGGGTCTGGTGGTTCGTCGTCTCGTCTGCTTTCGTTCCGCCTCGTTCTCCTCGACATTCCACCCGCTCGTCACGCTCGCACGCCCTGCCCGCCCCTCCACCTACGCGCCACTCCCAGTGTACTGAAAAATGGCCGACTCGCCCGTCCAGTCCACCCCTGCGCCTATCGAGAAACTCCCCACCAACTCCTCATCAACCGACGCGTCGCCCGCTCCCGCATCCACCTCTGCGAGCACGCCTGCCGCGACTGAGGCACCAGCAGCGAAGCCTACGAGCGTGCAGCAGCCGGACGAGTCGGACGGGGACAGCGAGGACGAGGACGATGAGGAGGACGGCCCGGGGCTGAGCTTCCTGATCCAAGAGGTGCGCTCGCGATGAGCTCGCTTGCTGCTGACCCGTGCATGCTGATGAGCTTTCGAGTGGACAGGGCGGAGACGACGACAGTGACGAGGACGAGGACGACGCAGACTTCGATGCGGCAGCAGCGGCAACAGTTGAGGAGCCCGACGACGACGAGATCGATCCTGAAGACCTCGAGGCAGACGAGAGCTTTGTCGCCACACCGGCGGTCGAGGACGCGGACGCGGAAGAGCAGCCGAGGAAGAGGAGGAGGGTTGCGACGGGCAAGAAGGACGCGTGAAGCGTCTGAAAGCGGCGGGCGAACGACAAGCAGTATCGTAAAACTGTCTGTAGTGCTTGTACAAAAGGGAAAGGGTATACTACGCCGGACTGGATCAACCGAAGACCTGCCAGAGGAGAATGACCGCCATCAACCCGAGCACGACGCCCCAGATCATGGCGTTCTTCTGCCGCCGGTTGTTGATCATACCAATGACCGAGTTGAGGCCGGGTACTTGAGCTGCAAGGCGAGGGATTCAGCGAAGGAGCGGGAGAAACAGGGTAACAAGACGCACAAGCGACCCCGTTCATCCTCTGCTGGATGCGCGACAGGTTGCTCCGCTGCGCCGAGAACTCGGCACGGGTCGCATATGCTTGCCTGAGTGCACAAGATTCAGTGGAGTTGCTGAGATGGGAAGAAGCGAAGTCCAGCTTACTCGAGGGTCTCATCAGCCATGCGATGCGAGTTGTCGATCCTCCCTCGTTCAGCCAGCAGCGAGTCGGTTACTGAAGAGCCCGATGCAGTCTTGAAGGCGCTGTGAACGGACACCGTCAGACTGTCATTCATGGCCTGAGGGAAAGCGAACGAACCTGATCTCTTGTCGCACGGAACCCAGCAAGTTCGCCCTCTGTTCTGCATCTCGTAAGCTCGCCTGTGCGTAGGGAGAACAGGTCAGTCGAGCTATTGAGATCGTGGGGCCAGTTGAGCGCACCTGCGTCCGCTGGAAATCCCGCCTATACTCTGCGAGGACATCTCGGTGCCGCTCGAGCGCGTGCGTCGCAGATGCAGAAGGTGGAGGGTGGGAAGTTGCGTGCAGGTTGGCGAGGCGGTCTATTTGCGCCGAGAACTGCGAGCAGAGGAGGGTGAGCATGAGGAGCGTTTCGAGCGGAACTTCCGTACGGCATCGGATGCGCGTTTGTAATGTCAGAAGTAAACGTACAGTGTCCAGCGCGCCCGTCAGTTCCTCCTCGAGCTCCTCCTTCCGCCGTCCCACATCATCCTTGAGCAGTCCGGATGAGCTGTACGAAGTCGACGCCTGGGCCGCAAGCTTCGAATACCGGGTCAAGAGAGAGCTGCATTGAGCTGTCGAAGCGTGCAAGTCGCGCCTAAGAGTTTCCATGGTCTGTCGTCAGGTTGGAGGTCGAGGCGGGGGAGTTGGGCGATGAGGGCGGGAGGTGAAAGGTGAGGGCGGGGAGGTCTGGCGGTAGTCTGGGCCTGTGTACGCAAGACTGGCAAGCTCTAGCAGGCAGTCCAGCAGCAACAGCTCGAAGCGCCTGAGGTGTCGCGGTCGAACCCCCTCTTCCACTCCTTCCGTTCACTGCTGTGCCCGTCAAACTCGCTGAGGGACTGCTTGCTGCGCCAAGAAGCTCGAGACGACTACCATGGTGCGATCCAATGCGGCCGGGTACTCGCAACTCGCGGAACAAACGCCCTTCGACCCCTCTCTCGACACTGAGGGAGCGACACCGGTCGACCCTCTCCTCTCGAGCGCAATCTCGCTCGCTGGATCGGAGCCAGTCTTTCCGTTGATTCAGAGGATTCGGGTGGAAGTTGAAAAGGTGGTCGACACGGCGCTCTCCTGGGATCAATTGCGCTCGCCCACGCTCAATTTCTCGGTCGTGAGGCCTTTGACGGTCAAGCTCAGCAAAGGCGACAGGCCCGCCATCTCGCTCATCTTCGCTCTCATCGTCTGCCGCGCGCATTTCCTGGAGAGGAGCGACGAGGACCTCGCCTTTGCGTGCGTTTCCTTCCTCTCGCTACTGGCGTGCCCTCTTTTGCAGACCCTGCGATACTGATGAAATCGACACCTTACAGCGCCGTCAATACGTCGCGCGCCGACCTCTGCGAGCTTTTGGCGATCAAGCTTCTGTCCGCCTATGGAACGGCCCCTAACAGCTACGAACTCCTTCACGTCCTCACGACATCCTTCAGCCCCTTCGCCGGCGTTTCGAGCGACATGTTCCACGCGGACGAGGACGTCGACCTGGAAGAGCTGAAGCGACTCGAAGAGTTCGGCAAGGAGGAGAGCGCGAACGCGCTCGAGCTGGCCATCTTCTCTAAAGCAAAGCGTTTCGTCAAGAGCCCGCTCGTCCAGCAGGTCATCAAGGCTATTGACACTGGCGAGGTGATCTACACGCCCGAGTCGAACCAGTCAGTCGTGCGCATCGTCTCCCCTCCTTGACTAGGCTGACCTGGGTCCGATCTGCAGCGCTCTGTTGCAAGACAACTACAAGTCGAAGCCCGTCGTCGAGGTCTACGACTGGCGTCGCCGCCCTTTCCTCGACCATCACCGGCTCCGCGTCCCAGCAATTCGAGGCCGCCTCGAGTTCATGACCTTCTCCTTCCTGCTCGCCCTCTTCCTCCTCACCCAGTCGACCTACTCTCTCGACTGCATCAATGTGTGGGAAGGCCTGTTCATCGCGTGGTCGATCGGATTCGCCCTCGACGAATGGTCGTCGGTGCAAGAAGTCGGCCTTTCGAACTACTATGGCGCATCCTTCAACATCCTCGACTCGCTCTTCTGCATCGACTTCTTCGCCTTTCTCGGCATGCGAATCGCCGGCTTGCGCTCGCACGACCCGGAGATGAGCCAGCTCGCGTTCGACACGCTCGGCCTCGCTGGTTGCGTCCTCCTGCCGCGCTTAACCATCTCCCTTCTGCGCGGCAACGTCATCCTCCTCGCGCTGAGCAAGATGATACGCGAGTTCAGCCTCTTCATGGTGCGTCTCGTTCAACTCGCTCAGACCGGCCGCTGCTAACGCTCGTTCCGCAGGGCCTGGCTTTCCTCACTGCGTCCGGCTTCCTCTGCACCTTCCGCATCCTCTCGCGCGGGACATGGGATGTCGGCCACATCGCCTGGCTCATGCTCAAGGTCCGTAAATTAATCGCCGAGAAGCGTTGCTCCTTTCCAACTGACGGACTCGCCAATTCTCCCACAGATCTGGCTAGGCTCCGCCTTCCTTGGCTTCGACGCGGCTCAGCAGTTCCACCCCTTCTTCGGCCCCTTCCTCATGGTCCTTTTCGCCGTCCTCGCTCAAACTCTTCGTACGTTTCGCTCCTCCGGAGAACGACCGATGCTTTGCTGACGACCTCTCCTGCCAGTCCTCACGATCCTCATCTCGCTCCTCTCCAACACTTTCTCCGCTGTTCAGGCAAACGCCGAGACCGAAATTCTCTACCAGATGGCGCTGCGTTCGTCGACCCTTCCTTCCATTCGTCCGAACTCAATCTGACCACATCTCGCCTGGCAGGTACGATCGAGCGCGCGAAAGCAGACCCGCTCACCTGCTACGTCCCGCCTTTCAACATTCTCGCGCTCATCGTCCTCTTCCCGCTCCGTTGGCTTGCCTCGCCTCGGTATGTGCGCTCCTTCGATCCATCCAGAGCAGCACTGACGTATCCGATTGCCTTGCAGCTGGTTCCACAAGTCGCAAGTCTACCTCGCTCGCCTCCTCAACCTCCCTTTCCTTCTCTTCCTCGCCCTCCAAACCCGCGCGCTCCACCAAAAACGCTCGCCTCTCTACCTCGCTACGCAACGCACGCAGCGCGCGTGGGAGAAGCTCCCGCGCACGATACTGGGCGGGATGGTACCCATGTGGGAGGGGAGTGTCGAGGCTGTTGTGGGCAAGGTGTTTGAGAGGGAAGTGACGGAGGAGGGAAGGAGGGTTGCGAGTATCGATGAGGCGACACCGACGGCGGCGGGGGAGGCCGAGGCGGAGCAGCAGGGGAAGGGGAAGAAGAAAGCTCAGCCGCCTTCACCGCTCAAGCAGCGTCGCGGCGGAGCGGGCGGAACGGTCGGTGACAGGCTCGGGTCGCTCACTTCGCCTCTCGCTCGCATCTTCGGACCCAGCGCCATCGCCTCGTCCGCTTCGTCGTCCGCTGTTGAGTCACAGAAGTCACTCAAGGCGGCGCCTCCCTCGACAGATGAGAAGGCGCTCAACGACCGCCTCACGCGCATCGAAGAGGCGCTCCAGATCCTCCTCGGCGAAGTCGTGAAGTCTGGACAAGCGGGCGACGAGGACGACGAGAAGAAGACGGTGCCGTTGACGAGCTTGTCGGGCGAGATTGAGCCGAGCTATGCGGACGAGGAGAAGTAGGGACTTCGAGCGGTTCTCACGCGCCGTGTAAGACTATGCATGTTTTGCATGAGATGCGAGTTGCGTGTTGTGAGGGTTGTTGTTGCGTCTAGAGCGAGCCAGGACAGTCTACGGGTCGTGCTTCTTCACCCACGCCAACAATGTCGGACACCGCTCGAGCGCTGGTCGAAGGGTCGAGTCGCACTTAGGCGGGAGGATGCGAACGATCGAGAGGAGGGCGTAAAGTAGCGCATCGAGGCGTGACGGCGTGCTGCAGCGAACGAACAGTCAGCGAATTCGAGGTGCGGGAGGGAGAGGAGACGAGACGCACCTCCCTCCGCCAAACCACTCTCCCTCTCCCTGTTGCGCCTTCAACTTCCCCTCAAGTACCTCGATAGCCTCCACCGCCTCCCTCTCAATCTCCTCCAGATCCAGCGCCGTCTCCTTCCCTACCTTTCCGCCTCGCAACCGCTTGATCTCGTCGATCCGGGTGGAGCGGTTGTTCCATGTCAAGTAAATCTGGGCGAGGGAGGAGAGGAAGGGACGGGAGGGAATGGGAACGACGGAGGGTGCGAAGGTTGAGGGGGAGAGGTAGAGTGCGGCGAGGACGGCGGGGAGGAGGGTGGTCGTCAGGAGGGAGAGGTACGCTTGGTGGGTCGCGTCATTCGTAGTGTCTGTGAGAGGGGCACGTTCTTCCATCAGCATCCTGGAAAGCCTGCAGACCTCCTCACAGCGGAAGACCCAGTTGACACAGACTCACCCTTCCCGCCCGCCTTCTCAGCCAGCCAAGCTTCGAGCTCCTCCCCACCGAACAAGTCTCCCTCACTCGTATGCAACGCAGGCACCTGTCCGCCCGGCGCGCCCTCCCTCCCCTCCCATCCAATCCACCTAACCTCGCACTTCTGGCCCGCAAACCTCGCGTACGCCTGCGCTGCCCGACACGAGGGATCGAGTGATTCGGAGTGACCTGAGGGAGGAGGACCGTATGCCCAGATTGTGGGATGAGAGGGCGCGGGAGTCGTGAGGTGCGGTGAGGGGAGGGTGAGGAGGGGGAAGTGGGAGTAGAAGCGGGCGAGAGGGGAGGGGATGCGCAGGTGTGCAGAAGTCGTGCTGCGTCGGCCGGGCATCTCTGGCGAGTCTCGGGAGCAGCGGAGACGGAGCGAAGTGAGATGACGGAGTTAAAGAGGAGAGGAGAATGGCAAAGTGCACGGCTTCCGCTCTTTCAGAGGCGCCTCACAGCGCTTTTGAGCTCTGGAACACAGCTACAGATACGCGAGACGCAGCAGCCCAAGTGAGCAAGAAGCGGAACGAACAGACTTCCTCTCTCCCTCAGCATTCGCTCGTCTCGTGATGGTACAACGCGTTGCAGGCGAATCCGCCATACCCACGCTCCGCCTCACGTCGATGAGGTACTGCTGAAATGAAACGTATAGGGTCGAGAGAAAGGGAAAGAGAGGGCCGCGTCGAGGTTGGCGACCTTTACATGGCGAGGATGGCGGCGGTCGAGACAGCCGTGGCGCCGAGGACGGCGTAGCCGGCCATGTACGACGTCTTGAGGTTGAGGACTGCGCGACTAAGGGTCAGCATGACGCCCTCAACGAGGATGCGAGAGCCGCGGCAGAACGAGCATTCCCGCCGCAACACAGCCTGGGAAGAGACGCACAGTAGCCCATGTCCCAGCTCAGGTGACGGAGACCGTTGAAGGTGTGGTAGGTGGTCGCGCCGACGACGGCGGTCTTGGTGGTGAGCTGGAGGAAGGAGGGGAGGGCCGTCCAGGCGTCGATGAGGGCGGCTGAGTCGACCGACGCGCCGAAGACGGGGGCGATGACGTGGCTGAGGAAGATGCCATAGAACGCTGTGTCGTATGGAAAAGGTCAGCATAGCGAGAGGAGAGACCGCGGATGTGCGAGGCGACGAGAGCGTACCGACAGAGAGGCCAGTGCCGGTCACACGGTTGGCGATCGACGAGATGCTGGTCAACTGAGGCTGGTAGATGTGCCAGGGCGACGATGCTCGCTTCGCACGCTGCTGGTTGAGGTACTCGAGCGCCTCCTCCTTCGACATGGGCTGCGTCGAGACAGACCTGCCAGCACAACGCTCCGGGTCAGCTCGAGCGGTTCCGTCGTACTACAGCAGTCTCCAACAACTCCTGAGTCACTCACCGCGCCGGAACGAGGGCCGCGGGGCGGGCAAAGGTGCGGCGGAGCGCCTGGTCTGGTGGAGCAGGATCGGGTGGTCAGCGTGCGTCGGGACAAGCGCGACGCCGTCTGGGCGAGTGCTCACTGGTGAACGACTGCCTCGCGAGTGCCTGCATTGCTGTCAGCTGGGCCAGTAGCGTGAGCAGAGGTGAGCGAATGAGCGTCGGGCGTGTTCGCAGGCCAGGCGAACGACGATGCCGAACACTCTGCTCGCTGGCTTGCTGGAATGCTTTCTAGCGACTTGTAAGAGTGTAGAATGGATTGTCCATTGCAAGCAGACTGAATCGGAGGGGATTGTCATGGCCTTGTCCCTTCGTCCGCTTCCTTGCCGGCTCCCCTTCGCCCGCCCGCGGTCCGTAAGTCGTGTGCAGGCCCTCCGGAGACGCGCCGTCTTGTATGTAACCCGGGCAGGCAAGGCGCACGACAAAGAGGCTCGCCGGGTGGAAGCGAAGCCCACGAAGCGTCGTCCCTGAACCCAGCAGAAGTCGAGCGCGACCCACGAGGTCCTGTCGATATGCGACGTCTCGTAGTGAGTGTTTGAGCAGTGGACAATGCCTGCTCATCCTGCTGGCCTTTGACGAAGGACTGCAGGACGAGGAACGGAGCCCGCGACCGGCAAGGCTCGCACGCCAGCGGGAGACTCAAGCTAGCGTGAGGCTGGCAGAGTGAGACAATAACGAGGGTACACTGACAGTCAGGGCGCTCGGATCGAGCAGAAGGAGTAGTCGAGGGGAAAGTCGAGGGCAAATCGAGAGAGCGGTAAGCTGCACAACTGCCTCTGCGCAGGCCTGCACCCGGGACCAATCCCTAGCCTCAACTCAGTGCGACCGGTTGCGTTTCCGTCCAGTCCTGCCAACGATACGAGCGTTGTGAAGGTTGAGTCGAGGTCGTCGAGGAGGAAGGCGAGAGAGCGACAACAAGAACTCGCGCGTGTACGAGAGCAGCACATGCGGATCTGTCGACGCAAGTAAGCGGACTGGACAGTCCAGCAAGCCATCCCAGCGTGAGGCAGTGAGCGGACCGAAACCAAGCGACCAAGTCCTGCTCGAGCTGCTCGAGTCCGGCTCCGTCGCCTGTTCGCACCGCTGTCCGCCGCCATGAACCGCTTTGTGCCTGCGCTGCGCTCACAACTACCACGGGTAGCGCCCGCACCAGCTCGCGCTTTCGCCTCGTCCTCGCGCCGAGCAGCAGAGGACTCCGCCAACCCTGCCGCCGACAACTCGTCCTCCAGCGCGCAGGCGGGTCTTGCGGCCGACCAGGACGGTGCAGCAGCCCCAACGGAGGAGATCAAGCCCGGAACGAAGATCACGTACTCGAAGTGGATGCGGACTTCGGAGGCGCAGCGGTACAGGCGACCCACACCTGGCAAGCCCAACTGGATCGGCGAGACGGTGCGTGTTACTCTCTCGTGGACTTTTTGTGCGGGTGCAAGGCGGCGGCGAGGCAGGAGGCGCGGACGTCGCCGATGTACTCCTCCGCGACCCGCTTCGAGGCGATGAAGTGCTTCACGAGCCCTTCGTCGAGGCTACGCCTTAGCAACGACAAAGAACTGTTGAGACGAAGGCTGACAAGCTTGCGCGCCACCCGCAGCCGTTCCCGATGAACCCCTCCTTCAACCCCCTCCCTCCCCTCGCCGACACGATCAAGGAGCGAATCTACACCGCCTACGCCTACAACATTCGCATCAAGGATGCGACGGACAGGCAGGTCGTGCGGGCGGTCAGCAGCAAGTTTGGTGTCTCGATGGACCGCGTCAGGGCGATCATTCGGCTGAAGGAGCTTGAGGAGCAGTGGAGGAAGGAGGTGCGCTCTCCTGTTCCGTCTGCTACAGAACCCTCGCGCTGACGAAGGCAAACTCTTCACGCAGGGCAAGGCGCTGCAGACGAACCTGCTGAAGGGAATGGAGGAGGTGCTCGGCGTCCAGCAGCCTGTGAACGACAGTTGGCGGGGTATCGAGACTCCCGAGCCTGCACAAGTCCTGCTCGCGAGCCGTCGGACGCTATTCGAGATGGTCGATGTCGAGAACGTGCGTTGCAGCGCTTCTCGTTCCCTCATCGTTTCGCTTGGCTAACTCTCGTTGCTTTTGCTCGTAGGGCGACTCCCCCGTCTTCCTCCCCCTCCTCACGCAAGTGCCCAACCGCGCCACTCCCCTCCTCGAGACTCCCCGCATCTCCAAGACCGACTCCGCCTCTCGCAAGCCCGAACCGAAGGTCCTCGTCGCGCCCGCCTCTCGCGAAGGCCGCGCACCAACCGTCTTCACCGACTTGAGCGGCACAGAAGACGGCGACAAGCTTGCGTCGTCGTACAACACGAACAGGACGAGGAGGGGTAACGCGCGCAAGAGGGCGGCCGGTCGTGAGGACTACTTGCGGAAGATGGAGAAGAGTGCCAGGGCGAAGGCGGCGGGTGGGCGGGCACAGGCAAAGGCATAGCGGAGCAGTAGGCGGATGTAGACTCCGTTGGACAGTTTGCGCAAGAACGGCATTGCACCATTGCCTCTGGTCTCGACGAGTGCGAGTGCGAATGAAGCGAACGGATGGAAGACGAGATAGAGCGTTACGGAGGATACCAAGTAGCAACCTAACGTGAGCAAAGGAATTTGCTGAGCTTTGGAGCACGCTCTGGGCTTCACGCCGCGTTCCCCTCCTGCGCGAGCCGCTGTACCGGGCCCCGACGACAATTTCCTCCAATAGCCACCCTCGCGTACCCTTCTGGCGGTGGACCAGCGGGCACGGCCGGGCGCCGCGGGCGGGGGTCGAAGACGTTGGCGAGCCTGCAGCGGATGTATCCGGGAGGCGGAGGAGGAGCGGGAGTGGCGGTTGCGAAGTCGATGGGAGGTTTGCGCAGAACGCGATTGTTGCTGAAGTCTTCCTCGACTCGGTGTGCCCAGTCTGCCAGGACTTGGTCTGTGCGAAAGAAGACGGTCAACAGACGCTCGTATGGCGGAACGAGGGCTACGCACCTGGCAAGAGGTAGGCGGAGCCAGGTTGCGAGGGATCTTCCACCAAGAAGGCGTGTTCTTGGGTCAACTGTAGGAAGCAGTGATGCTCAGGGGCTTCGTAGAGGAGGAAGGCGCCGTAGAGCTGCTCTTCGAGTGCCAAGCCGGCGTCGCGGTAGAAGGGTGTGGGGCTGCTGTTGCTGCTGGAGTCAGGAGTCCCTAGCAAGTATCGCGCTGTAGACCGGACCAGCTCATGTGTGAAGTGAATATGGAGGAGCAAGCGATAGGCGAGCAAGTTGTGGTACTCGACAGAGGACGGGCTTGTGAAGCAGGGCATCGCGCTCATAATGAGGAACCCCTCGAGATAAAGGACATTCGGAGGCGCTTTCCACCCGCAATTCCGTTCAAAGAACGTCTCGATGCGCACGACCGGGAAAGAATGCTCGAGGTATCTGACGATGTCCTCGCGAACCGGACGCCGTTGTGGGCGCTGCTCAGGCTCAAGGCGCTCCCAGGCCTCGCCGATGACTCGAGCGAAGACCTCGGCAAGCTGATTATGGTGAACAGACGAGGAGGCTAGCTTGCGCAGAGCCCGTACGAAGCCGGGATACTTGTCCTCGGTGACGTCGATATTGTGCCAGACATCGAAGAAGAAGATCTTGAGGGTAGAGGCATCGTGCGAGTCCTTCTTGGGCTCCTGCATGGGAGATGCGGGAGGGGAGTAGGGAGGAGGAGGTGCGGAGGCTTCAGAGCGCGCGGGAAGGTGTAGGCGGCGAAGCCAGGTTTTGAAAGAGTTCCGAGAGCGTTCAGCAGATTGCTTCTGACCCATCTTGCCAGCGAGCAATGCGGCAAGAGGGAAAGCGGTCTTCGACAGGCGGGACCGTTGTTCGCCCGTCTCACCGCTCCTCTATCAGGCCTGCAAAGCCAGGGCGAAGTCGACGGGCCATTAGCTGCCGCCGGCGCATGCTACGCTGTCTCTCGCGCCTCAGCTCGCTGTTCTCCCGCTCCTCGATTCTTCATCAGCTCGACTTTCGACGGGCGATGGCAGCTCTTCCGGGGGCAAGCGAGAAGCCCAGGCTGGTCGCTGTCATCGGTACGACCGGCGTGGGCAAGACGGACCTCGGCGTTGAGCTCGCGAAGGCGTTGCAGAGGCGGGAAAGAGCGCCGTTCGAGGGGGAGGTTGTCAACCACGACTCGATGCAGTGCTATCGAGGTCTGGACGTCATCACGAATAAGGCGACGGTTGAGGAGATGCAAGGAGTCCCCCACCACTTGATGGGCTTTCTCGAGCCGGGCGAAGAGTGGAGTGTGAACGAGTTCTTGCGGGATGCGCTCGACAGGGTGCGTGCCGTGCCTCCCTTCTCGTCCTGCTGCCGGTCTGACTGTCGCTCGACCCAGACGCGAGAGCTACGACAGCGCGGCGCAGTTCCCATCGCGGTCGGCGGCACGTCCTACTACCTTCAGCACCTCGTCTTCCCCGACCGGTTGGCCGGTCCCCTTCCTCCTTCTCGCCCAGCGACCCCGCCTGCCGAGTTCTCCGCCTCTGCGGATACAGCTGAGCGGCGTTCTCTAGCCGACGTGGCGCAGTTCCCGCCCGACCTCCGTACTTGCATCGAATCTCTGCCCGCCGAACTTCTCGACCTCTTTCTCGCCTTTCCGGCTCTCCCCGCCATCTCAACACCCGACGAGTTTCCTCCCCGCTTCCCTCTTCAGCTCCTTCCGCCGCGCCTACGCTCTCCCGCAACTCTCGCACCCGCCTTGTACAGCCTGCTGCAAGCTGTCGACCCGAAGAGCGCAGAGCGATGGCATTGGCGGGATATCCGGAAGGTGCAGAGGTCGCTTGCGATTGTGTGGGAAGGCCGAAGATGGGACGAGGTTGTACAGGAGCAGCGGGAGACGCCGAGTGAAGGACCGAGGTTCGCCCACTCCTTTGTCTCGCTGGGTACGCCAGCTTGACATTTCTCGCAGATTCAAGACGCTCATCTTCTGGCTCTACGCTCGGAAGGATTCCCTGCATCCGCGCCTGAACGCTCGAGTCGACAAGATGATCGAGGTTCGCTTTTTTCTCCCTCGTGCTTAACGACCGGATGCCTGACGCAGCATGTCTTTCAGCGTGGCTTGCTGTCCGAAATCGACGAGCTCTGGCAGATCGCGCATGCTCCTGGTGCGGAACCGACGAACTACTCGAAGGGAATCTATCAAGCAATCGGCACGCTCGCCTCTCCCGCAACTAAAAGCGCAGCTAGCTGACTCCGCTCTTCATCAGGCTACAAGGAGTTCGACCCTTTCCTTTCCCTCCAGCACCGCGACCCCTCTCGTACGCTCGACAACGACCCAGAGCTGCGACGGCTGTTCGACCAGGGCGTTGAGGAGATGAAGGCATCCACGCGGCAGTATGCCAAGCGTCAGGTGCAGTGGATCAAGAACAAGCTGCTGCCGGTCGTGCGCGAGTCGGGCGGCGAAGTCACGGTCGTTCTGCTAGATGCGACAGGTGAGCCGGTCCTCTTCGCTCGTTCTCCTTGCCTTGGTTTACATGACGTGCGCAGATCTCTCGCGATGGAGCGAGGATGTGAGGATCCCTGCTATGAAGCTACTGAATGGTAAGCTGCAGTCCGCCGCCGCCTCAACGTCTGCGAGAGTCTAATGATTCGAGTCTTTGCAGCGTTTCTCGACGACAAGCCTTTACCCGACCCTGCGACTCTCTCGTGTACGGCTGCAGAACAGCTTGCTCCGCCGGAACCGGTCTCGTGCGCTCTCGATGCTCAGCACACCGCTTGGCACGCTAATCCAAGTCCGCCTGCAGTGCGTCCGCTCGCATCAAGCGCCCATGTCTTGTCTGCACGCGCGATCCTGGCCAGCCTTTCCTCGTCGAAGAGCGACTCTGGGACGAGCACGTCAAGACGCGAACGCATCGAATGGCGCTGCGGCGGCAGAACAAGGCGCAATGGAAAGGGCAGCGGCGGGAGCAGGAGACAAGGGAGGCAGCGGCGGTCGAAGCGGAATCGGCAGTCAGCGATGCTGAATGATTGATGCATTGATGCGATACAACAAACGATGCGTGTGGCGAGAGGGTCTATGTCATTTCTAAGCCGTCGTTCGCGCGAGGTTCTGGGCAATGTTTCGTCAGTATAGCTCGTTCTCAAAGTCGTCCTGGAGCTCACCGCTTTGCCGGACATGCAGAAAGAACGGCGCAATGCCCGCCACGCAGAAGGCGAACGCAGCGAACGATTGGATCGGTCGCGAGAAGCAAGAGAGGACGATGAGGAAGAGTGCCGTGCTTGCGAACAGGATAGGCGTGACGAGGAAGGTGCGGTATGGTCTGCACGGACGGCGAGGTGAGCAAGGAAAGAGGCGGGGTGAGGAGAGAAGACAGGACGAACCGCTTGAGAGTCGGTTCCGTTCTCCGCAAGACGAGCAGCCCTATCACGGCGGAAAAGTTCCACGTCCATGCGGCGACCTATGCATGCAACGCCTATCAGCACAGTGTCGAGCCGAGCCAGGAAGCGCAACGCACGCCGTAAAAGAGGGTCAAGCTGGAAAAGTCGCCAAGGCAGATGAAGATGGTCGAAAGAGTGGAGCTGAGGAGGATGCCGTTGATTGGCGTTTTGCGGCCCTTGTGGAAGTTGGAGAAAGCGCGAGGGAGGAAGCCTTGCTCGCTCGCTGCAACGATGAGGCGGCTGAGAAGCAGGACAAGTCAGCGCACCTGTCCTCCACCCGACTGAGAAGCGAAACGCACGAGGAAGTGTAGAGCGTCCCGTTGAGAGCACCAAGAGCTGATATCGAGATGACAATCGCAAACAGCAAGCCGCCAACGGGACCAGCCAGCGCGCGGCCGAAGTCGAGGCCGATTGTCGTCGTCGCCGTTGCGATGTCGAAAGGGAGGACAAGGAAGTAGGACACGTTGGCGGCGAGGAAGAGGACGACGATCACAGCCATGCTGCTGTTGATCATAAGCCTGCGCGAAGTGAAGGATGAGCCGGATGCGAAGGAATGGCTTTCGAGGCGGGACTCACGGTAAGACGCCCGGTGCGACGTCTTTGGCGACATAGTTGGCGGCATCCCAGCCGTCGAACGTCCAGAGCGCCGAAAAAAGCGCGAGTGCGTAACCCGCCGGCTTGTGCGAGGACCCGCTGAACGAGAAGTCGGAGGCTGGCTTGGCGGTGATGAGGTAGACGATACCGCCGATGAAGACGAGTAGGAGGGCGAGAACCTTGAAGACCGTCACGACTAGCTGCGTCCGAGTGCCCGCCTTGGTGCTCCAGGCGTGGACGGCGGAGATGAGGAAGAGACCGGCGATCGCGACGAGCTTGATGGCGACGGTCGGGATGGTTCGGACGGCTGCGCGAGGATCGGGTTCGAACGCGGTGTGCCAGAAGATGCGGCAGAGGTATTCGGCGGAGCTGCGAGATGAGTGTGTTAGCTTCGTGGTACGCTCGCCCGAGTGACCGCGACGTACATGAGGGAGATGATGGCTTGTGAGCCGGGCTTGAGGGCAGTGACCGCCGAGAAGGAGTAGCAGTAGGCAGCGAGAGGGCCGAATGCCGCGTTCAGGTAGACCTGATGGCCGCCGTTTCCTGGCAGCGCCGTGCCTAGTTCGGCGAAGCTCGACCCTCCTGCCCAAGAGAGGACGACTGCAATCGCCCAGACAAGTAACGCCGTTCCCACGCTGCCCGTCTCTGCCGCAACGACGCCTGGCGAGGAGAAGATGCCCGACCCAATGACAATCCCGACGATCAAAGCCACGCCACCGACGAACGAGACGTGCTCCTTGACCTTGCCGCCATTCACTCCGCGCTCTGCCGACGAAAGCTCGTCCGAAGCCTCGAGTTGGAGGAGTCGCGAGCTGAAATCGAAGGAGAACGAGGCTGTTCGTGCGCGAGCTCGTCGTGGGAAGCCTGCATGCTTCTCTTCCACCCCTGCTGCGCCATCTGCGCGCGCCAAGAGTCCCTCTGCCGCGTCCTCCTCGTCGCTCGGATGTTCATCGTATTCGGCGGTTCGAAGGGGAGTGTGTGACGGTGAGATCGGTTCTGAGGACAGAGAGGGTCGTCCGGGGGATCCTGAGCGGTCTTCTAGCGGCACAGCATCGCTCGACATGGCTGGAGCAGGATGAGGCGGCAGACAGACCTCGCGTCCCTTGGTGGGGGCTCTCCTCGTCCTCGACCATTCACCGACCAGCTCTGCCTGGGCTTGAGAATTCTTTATTCGCGCCATCTCAGCTCTTGCTGCGCCATCGGCCGGCTCGCGATGCCATCGCTGCTCCGTCTCGCGTTTCCTCCTCCTCCTCCTCGACTCGAGACAAGCAGTGTATTCGCCTCGGGGCCTGCGGGACGGCGACAGCTCGCAAGCGCACGAGCAAGTTCCAAGCCATCGGACTGATGTCCTGCGGATACCATATGCAGAAAGGGGAAGAGAAGGGCTTGTCGAGGCGGGCGGGACGACTTTACTTCTTGCTCTTGGCCATGTGGTTGAGGGCAGAGCCGGCACGGTGCCAGGTGATCTGTCCGGCATTGAAGGTATGCTGGAGAGGGGCGTCCTCCGACTTGCCGCTGAGTTTGTGGACGTTCGGGACGAGGAGAGGGCAGGGAGGAGGCGGAAGGCGCGGGCGGCGGAAGCGCCAATTGCCGTGCTGCTGTCTCTTGGACTCGCCACCACAACGCTTTCGAGTGCCGCGCATGGGCTGTCGTACCGCGGCACCCGACTCCACATGTCCGTCGCCGTCACGCTGCATCCAACAGCTCTTCCGCTTTCCCTCCTCTCGCTCTCCGTGATCACAGAGCGGGCCCCTCGCGTGAGCATGCTGCTCTTGAGCCAAGGTTCCTAGGCGGCACGGCAAGTCCTAGCGATTTCACCTGAGTCCTCCTCATGTCGGCGCGCTCGACTGACACTTTGCGCGTACAGTATGTAGGCCGTCATCAAGCGCTCGTTCGCTCGGTGCGTTCTCTCACGCAGTCCACGACGACTCTCTTGACGTGCTACAAAGACTGACAAACCCGCTTCAGAACCCCGCAGTATCCACGAGACCTTGAAGAAGCAGCGCGTGTTGTCGCCAAGTCTCGAGACGCGTTCGACCAGCTTTCCTCGCCCTGCCTCTTCTTGCACGGACATTCATTTGCCTGACCTGATCAAGCAGCATCTACAACTTGTTACAACGCTTCGCAGCGCCTTCCTCACCTCGCCGTTTGCCGCCCCTCCATCTCTCGTCAGTTTTCACCTCTTTCTCCCGTCAACCATACCTTCACCAGTCAACGCATTGCTCGCTGCAGCCGCCCGCACAGCGTAAGAAGGACGGCGCGACTGGCTATCAGCCTCCCTTGATGCTCCCGCTAAAGCTTCTCGTCCAGCTCGCCACTCACTGCTCCTTTGCCTGAGCTTCGCTCCATCCGCTATCGTCTAGTGTTCACTGCGCACAGGCCGCTCATCTGCCAGCGCTGAGATGCTCGCTTGTCTCGCTTGACTTCTCTCGCTGGAAGCACTTATCCAAGACTGTCTGTCTCGCTCCTCAGCTTCGCTCTCTGCATTGCTCGATGACCTGCTTGAGTATGCTCTCGCACCACGAGCGTGCAGCTGGGCGTAAGAAGAACATTAGACGCTGCGCTCGCCTTCTCACGTTTCTGCTCCGCTAAAGCTCGCGCGACATCGACAGCAAACGCCGCCCGCCATGCTCGCCGACGCTAATCGCTTGTTGAGACGTTGATTTCTGTATGCGGGAAGCAGCCAGGGCGATGAAGGGTACTTGTCCTCGCAGGCTTCACCTCCATCCCAGCTTCGAGCTTCCTTCAACCAAGCGGCTCCGTCTTTCCGTCTCGCTACTTCTCCGCTGCGCACTCTCAACCGAATGAGCGCATGACAAGCCGCCGCAGCCTCCGCGAAGGTCGGTCAAAAGTACAGCTATGTTTCGATTCGTGCAACGCTCAAACGATACGAGAGATGGGAGTGGGACCGATGAAGAAGGATAGGAGAGAGAAGAGTGTGAAGGGCGACGGGAAGAGCGAAACCATATGCAGAAAGGGGAAGAGAAGGGCTTGTCGAGGCGGGCGGGACGACTTTACTTCTTGCTCTTGGCCATGTGGTTGAGGGCAGAGCCGGCACGGTGCCAGGTGATCTGCCCGGCATTAAAGGTATGCTGGAGAGGGATGTCCTCCGACTTGCCGCTGAGTTTGTGGACGTCCGGGACGAGGAGAGGGCAGGGAGGAGGCGGGAAGGCGGCGGCCGGCGGCGGCGGCGGCGGCGATGAGGGACGTGGAGCGATCGCGGCGGGGTGCAGAGAGGTGTGATGAGGTGCAAATCGATAGTGGAAGGCGGGCGGCGGCGCGTACAGAGGGAAAGACGGAAGTCGGAGGCGGAGGGGTGAGGAGGAGGTCAAAGGCGATTTTGGCGAGACGCGGCGGGACGACAACAGGCGTGCGCAAGTAGCGTAGTCGAGTCGATAGAGAGCAACGGGAGAGAGAGAATGGACGAGGAGAATCAGTAAAAAGCGAGACTTGGAGTCTTCAAGTGACTCCGAACGCACTCCTTGTGGTGGAGACGGAGGGTAACCTCCGATCCCTCCTTCAAGTCCTTGACGCCGATGAGGTCAACCTTGTCGTCGGGGCGGACCTTCTCGTAGTCCTTGGCGTCCTTGAAGGTGAGGGGGAGCATGCCCTGCTTCTTCAAGTTGGTCTCGTGGATACTGCGGGGCGTGCGAGAGGGGTCCGTCAGTCTCTTTGACAGATCGATAGACTCGCTAGAGCGCGTGTGGGAGCGTACCGAGCGAACGAGCGGGTGATGACGGCCTGCAAACGCGCAAAGTGTCAGTCGAAGCGAACCGACATGAAGGCGACTGAGAGGGATCGGAACTTGCCGTGCCACCAAGGAACCTCGGCTCAAGAGCAGCGTGCTCGCGCGAGGAGCCCTCTCCGTAGTTCTAGAGACGGAAGGGAAGGGAAAGAGAAGGGTCAGTTTGGGATCCGACGATGATGGCGGAGCTGTTGAATCGAGTCGAGCGAGACGGTGTGCGTGCAACGGCGCGTCGTAGAGTTGAGAACGCTGGCCAGGTGATCGTAGAGTTGAGAATGCTGGCGAGGTGATCGGAGAGGGAAGAGGCGAAGTCGTTCTCGGCCGATCCCCATCCACCGCTTCCGCCGCTCGCCGCGCAACAAATCCGAGCCAATCGCATCGACGACCTGCATCGAGAGGTGGCGCGAGGAGAGCAAGAACGCACCTCGTCACCAATGACGACCCATCCCGTGTGGTGCTTGTCGCGGTACTCCTTCGCCGTCTCAGGGACCGTGTTCCACTCGCCGCTGCTCACACGCACCCATCAGCTCGCGCACGAGGAAGGAGAGAAGGATGAGCTGGGACAAACGTGAAGACGTTCTGGACCTTGTTGGCCTCGCCGTTGGCCTCGTTGATGGCGCCGATCAAGCCTGTGCGAGCGCGAGCGTCAGCGAGTAGGTCCGAGAGCGAAGAGGGGAGGATAAGCCTGCAGTTGTTCGAGATGTTCTCGAGGTGGCCACGGTACTTGAGCCAGGGACCGCCGGCCGAGACTGCCCAAGCGAAATCGTCAGCTCACTCGCCCAAAATAAGTCGAGAAGAGAGCGCGGGGGCGTACTGTGGTCGGTGGTGCACTTGCCCTTGGCCTTGATGAGGACGGGCAAACCCTGGGGGTCCTTTCCGTCCCACGGCTTGAACGGCTCGAGGAGCTGGAGGCGGTCCGACTTGGGGTCAACAGCGACGTTGACGGCGGCGCGGTCCTGCGGCGGGGCCTGGTACGTGTTCTCTCCCGGGTCGTATCCGCGCGGCGGGAGCTCCTTGCCAGACGGGTCGGAGAACTTGAACTCTTGGCCGTCTGCGCCCTTGAGCGAGTCCTTCATCGGGTTGAAGGTGAGCGATCCGCCAAAGACCATGGCGGTGACGAGGTCAGGCGAGGCGACAAAGGCGTGAGTGGCCGGGTTGGCGTCATTGCGTCCGGTGAAGTTGCGGTTGTAACTCGTGATGATCGAGTTCTTGGTCCCCTTCGGGACGTCCTTGCGGTCCCACTGTCCGATGCAGGGGCCGCACGCGTTGGCGAGGACGACGCCGCCGGCCTTCTCGAGCGACTGCATCTGTCCGTCGCGCTCGATCGTCGCGCGGATCTGCTCCGAGCCGGGCGTGACGATGAAGCCCGACTGGGCCTTGAGGCCGTGCGAGGCAGCCTCGTCGGCGATCGACGCCGCGCGCGACATGTCCTCGTACGACGAGTTGGTGCACGAGCCGATCAAGCCGACCGAGAGCTTCTCCGGCCAGTTGTTGTCCTTGACGGCCTGGGCAAACTTGGAGAGCGGGGTCGCGAGGTCGGGCGTGTAGGGACCGTTGATGTGCGGCTCGAGCTCCGAGAGGTTGATCTCGATGACCTGGTCGTACTCGGCGTTCTGGTCCGGGCGCAAGTTGTGCGCGAACGACTCGGCGTACTGGCGGATCGGCGTGCGGTTCGTCGCGTCGAGGTACTGGCCCATGCGCTCGTTGTACGGGAAGACCGAGGTCGTCGCGCCAATCTCGGCGCCCATGTTGCAGATCGTCGCCATGCCCGTGCACGAGAGCGACGTGACGCCCTCGCCAAAGTACTCGATGATGGCGCCCGTGCCACCCTTGACGGTGAGGATGCCAGCGACCTTGAGGATGACGTCTGCACCGAGCGAGCGAGCCAGACCATCCTTGTCAGTTCTTGCCGCTCTCTCTCTCAAGCTCAAAAGCGACGCGGGAACGCACCCTTGGGGGTAGTCCATCCCGAGATTTTGCCGGTGAGGTGAACACCGATCCTCTTGGGGCACTTGAGCTCCCAGGGGATGTCGGCCATGACATCGACGGCGTCGGCGCCTCCGACTCCGACGGCGACCATGCCGAGACCGCCGGCGTTGGGGGTGTGCGAGTCGGTGCCGATCATGAGACCACCGGGGAAGGCGTAGTTCTCGAGGATGATCTGCCGCGAGAGGAAGGGAGGAGCGAGGGATCAGTATGACGGAAGGAAAGACCCGAGTCTTTGCGCTCGCGCTGCTCGCTTGGGACGCACCTGGTGGATGATACCGGATCCAGGCTTCCAGAAGCCAATGCCGTACTTGGCGGTGGCGGTCGCAAGGAAGTCGTAGACCTCCTTGTTGATGTCGTTGGCGCGGGCCAAGTCCTTTGCGCCGCCGACCTGCGCCTCGATCAGGTGGTCGCAGTGGACGGTGGTGGGGACAGCGACGGTCGGGAGACCGGCCGACATGAATTGGAGGAGGGCCATCTGCGCCGTCGCATCCTGGCAGGCGACGCGCTGTTTCCGGTCCGAATGAGCGAGTCAGCACGGGTGTGAGGCTCGGTTGGGAGAGAAGGAGAGCGCACGTCGGGACGGAGCTTGAGGTAGGACGCGCCCGGGCGGATGTCGGCCTCGTGCGGGTTGTCGAGGTGGCCGTAGACAATCTTCTCCGAGAGGGTGAGCGGGCGGTTCAAGCTGCGAATGGGTGGGTGTGAGGGGTCAGCAGTCGGTTCGTGTGCGTCTTCTAGTGATAGCAGTGAGTCTGGCAGGCGAGTCGAGGGGCGGGAGTGCCATGTGCAAGCGGGTGTGATGCGGCGTGGGCGGGCCGGGGGCTCGCAGGCAGACGAGCGAGATGAGCGGGGAGACTGACCGGGAGCGGACGACCTGGAGGTTGTCCTCGATGCGCTGGTAGTTGATGCTGTGGCCCTTGTCGAACGCCGACATCTGGACCTTGGTCTGTCCAATGTTGGCGCTCGAGGGGGTCGCGAGCGAGCGCGCCAAGGTGGGCGCGCGGAGGGACGCCTTGCGGGCGGTTGAGAGCAGGACCATGGTAGCTTGCTCTTAGCTGGTCGAGTGCGTGGGACGGGCGAGTGGGCCACACGAGAGAGAGAGAGGGAGGGAGGGAGGAGGAGCGAGGAGCAAGCCGGGACAACGCCGGCGCTTCTTCACACGCTCACCCATTGGCTCACCCGCGCACCTCATCTCGCTTACTGGTCATACTGGCACATTGCTAGTCTGACTGCCCGAGTCTGGCTCACCCTGCCAACCCGATAACCCAACTCGCAGCGCAATTGCCGCCTCGTCCCTCCCACCGACCCGAGTTGCCCTCGGCCTGCCTCTCACGCTTCTGCACTCGCTCGTGGGGATTTGCAGAGGGCGGAACAGCCTCAGGAGGAAAGGTGGGCACAGACGATAGCAGGCGAATCGCTCGAACGAATCCTCGGCGACTCTCTCGCCTACTTCCTCCTCGACTCCCTCTGCGTCCTCTATCGCTCACCTCCACACACTTATTCGCGCACCCACTCCTTCCAACACCGTCTTGACCCTACTCTTGAGCTGAGGACCACGCCGCCCGCCAAACGGACCCTCCTCGCCCGCTCCGCAGGCAGACCCGCTTCATTCCCTCGGGAAATCACTTTCCTCCTCACTCGCTCACCAGGACCGCTTTCTCCTTGGCGTTCGGGTTTGATGGGTTGGGTTTGTGCTGCGCTGGAGGTGAACGGACCCGGACGGAGACGGAGAGGGGTAGAGTGAGCGAACCGCGGCTTCGAGGAACACTAACTCGCCAGACGTTTCACGCCTACGAGCAGAGCGCTAGCTTTCTTTCTGCTATGAGGCGTGCCTGCTTGACACCACTCGCTACATACTGCTCCTGACGGTGCAGGTATGGTGCCCTCACCCAGTCGGATACTCGGCGTCACCGACATCGAGAAGGTCCGAAGGAGCGTTCGGGCGAGACGACCGCGTCTGTCCTGCTCGACCCGACGTGCAGTCAGGCACGGCCAGCTGTACCGCGCAAGAACAAGCGCGCCAATTCGACGACGTCGTCGGCCCTGGACGACTTTCCACGGGAAGATGGCGTGAGTTGGTACGGTACGGTACGCTCAGCGGCGAAGGTTGAGGACATTCGGAGGAGAAGGATTGGATGGGTCGGGACAGCGAGGTATGAGGCTGAGTGACCTCTTCGCGGGAGTCGAGCAACTTCGATGAGAGGAAGAGTTGCGCGAGCGCAGAGCTTCAAGCGTCAAGCGCGGCGTCTCGTCCTACGTCTGACAGAGCTTTTGTCGTCGTCAGGAGCGTGTATGAAGCAAAAGCCCAATCGAGACGCAGCGAACGAGTTATCGAGCGGCGTCGAGGCGACACACCTCCTCAGCAAACCCCTCCTTCCCTCGTACGGCCCCGCTTCGAGCTACATACCATCTTCGATCCCGATCAAGCCTTTTCCCGCCTGTCCAAACCGCCAGATAAGCCCTTTGAGTGGGTTGCGCGCGACGAGACGCGTGTGCGGGAGTGCAGAGGGGTTGTGAAGCGATGGGACGGGGTTCGTTGGGCGTACTGGCTGGAGCGTAGAGTCGAGCAGAGTAGAGTGCACGTCTTGAAATTGTCCAAGTAGCGCAGGAGCGAGAGTGCGAGCGGTGTGAGCGGGACAGGCGATCCAAGCCACGCGTGCCATCTCGCTCGCTCGCTCCCTTTCTCCTCCCCTCCTCCTCCCTCTCACCTTACTCCCTGCTAAAGAACCCAATCAACCATGTCCGCCGACCTCCACACCGGAAAGACCCCCGCCTCGCGCTCGTCCGCCGCTCAGCAAGGCCACACCAAAGGCGGACTGTCGATGCACATCAAGGACGGGTACGCCCTCGCTGCTGGGACCAAGTTGTCCCCCGAGGAGTACTTCAAGCGCAAGGTCGCGCTCTTGACTGGTACGTCCGACTTGCACTCTTCCACGGCCTCGACGAGGAGAGGTCGACTTCCCACTGCCACGCGATCGGCACCCTTCTTCCCGTCTCGCGAGCTGACCGCACATCCGGTTGTCGTGGGACAGGTATCACCGGTCAGGACGGCTCGTACCTCACCGAGTTGCTCCTCGAGAAGGGCTACGAGGTTCACGGCATGTGCGTCCTCCCCTTCTCCCCTTCTCGCTCGGTCCTCTTCGCTTCTATTGCAAGATGCAGCGCGCTCGTTGCAAGGTATACTGACAGTGGGACTTTGTGCGCAGTATCCGTCGCTCGTCGTCGTTCAACACGGGACGCATTGAGCACCTGTACAAGGATGTTCACGAGCGTGCGTCTTTTGGCTTTTCTCGCTTGTTGTGCTGTCGAACTCGATGAACAGAGTCGAGGAGACGGTTTTGGGAAGTGGAGACATGCTGACGCGATTCTTGACCCGCTCCAACAGGCCCCAAGATGGTTCTCCACTACGGCGGTTCGTCCCCCTCCCCTCTCCCGCTCTCTTCCTGCGCTCACTGACGGAACGAACGAACGCAGACTTGACCGACACGACCAACCTCGTCTCGATCATCTCGTCCGTCCAGCCGACCGAGATCTACAACCTCGCCGCCCAGTCGCACGTCAAGGTCTCGTTCGACATGGCCGAGTACACTGTGCGCCGCCCTCCCTAATTGAGTGAGAGGGAATGCGAGCTGATGAGTCTGTGGAGACAGGGCGACGTCGACGGACTCGGAACGCTCCGTCTTCTTGACGCGATCCGCACTTGCGGCTTGACCAACCATGTCCGCTTCTACCAGGTGCCTACCCTTCCCCTCTCCTTCCTCGCTCTCCTCGAATTGACGTTGTGTGACGCGCAGGCCTCGACCTCTGAGCTTTACGGCAAGGTTGTCGAGACCCCTCAGACCGAGACGACCCCCTTCTACCCCCGCTCTCCCTACGGCGTCGCAAAGCTCTACGGTTTCTGGATCGTCAAGAACTACCGTACGTCCCCCGTCATCCCCTTCCCTTCCCTGAGCTCAAGCTGACACGCGAGGGGGACAGGCGAGTCGTACGGCATGCACGCCTCGAACGGCATCCTCTTCAACCACGAGTCGCCCCGTCGTGGACGGACGTTCGTCACGCGCAAGATCTCCCGCGCGGTCGCCGAGATCTCGCTGGGACAGCAGGACTGCCTCGTGCGTTTCACTCCCTCACTCCCCCGCTCCTCCCTCCGCCTCCGTTGCTGACGGGAACGAGGGGGCGCACAGTACCTCGGCAACCTCGATGCCAAGCGCGACTGGGGCCACGCGCGCGACTACGTCGAAGGCATGTGGCGCATGTTGCAGCAAGACCAGCCGGACGACTATGTCCTCGCAACCGGCGAGACGCACCCCGTCCGCGAGTTTGTCGAGAAGGCGTTCGCGATTGTGGGCACGAGCATCGAGTGGGAGGGAGAGAGGGATACGGTTAATGAGGTTGGGAAGTGCAAGCAGACGGGTAAGGTGCTCGTGAGGGTTGATGAGCGCTACTTCGTGAGTCGGAGCTTCGCCTTCTCTCGTCTCCGCTTCAGCGTGAAGGAACGTTCGACTGATGGTGATTTCTTGATGAACCCAGCGTCCCGCCGAGGTCGACCTCCTCCACGGCAACCCCGCCAAGGCCGAAGCTACTCTCGTGCGTCTCCGCATTTCAATCATTCCCCTTCTACTCTTGTTGACGGGCATGACGGTTGGCAGGGCTGGAAGCGCAAGTGCTCGTTCGACGAGCTCGTCAAGGAGATGGTCGAGGCCGACGTCGAGGGTGTACGTCCGCGCTTCTCCCCTTTCCCTTACTTTCCCTCCGATGGCTGATCTTGTCGTGTACCGTAGGCCAAGCGCGCCAACCACGACTAAGCCCCTCTCGCGCGCTCGATATCCCTCGTTCTTTACCCTGCATACCTTCGCTCGCTCGCTCGCTTTCGCATCTGCAACCCATCCAACCCTCGCAGCGCTCTCTCTATCTCTCAACTAGATTTGCCCTCTCTCTCTCTCTCTCGCTCGTTCAGTTCTTTGCAGGTTCTTCTCACTCGTTTTCTGCCGTTCGTAGTCTCTCCCTCGCTCCGCTACAAAACGCGGCGGAGTTTCTCTGGGTTCTTCCGCAGCGGCGTTGTAACCCAGCTGGTTGGCTGTGCCTTCCCACCCGCTTTTCCAGCTCAGCGAGAGTTTGCGAGCGAGTCGACACCGCCTTACCGGCCCCGCTTCACAAGCTTTCGCTCGTCTACATCACCCTCTGGCTCGAAAGGAAGGATGGCGACCATCAATGTCACAGTACAGATGAGGTGCGCCTTCTCTCTCTTCCTCCAAGCGCCCCGTCGCGTGCTCACGAAGCTCGCATCCTCATTCAGCGGCGGGATGGAACTCCTCTTTTCCAACCAATCAACCCACAAGCTCCTCCTTCCACGCTTCTACGACCCCTCCACCACGCTTTCCGGTCCAACGCCGCCTTCTTCCAAGCCTGAACCGAGAGAAGAGGGGCACGGGTCGAAGGAGACGGATGTCAGGTTCTTGGTTTGGTGGTTGAGGTGGTTTTGTTTGGAGGATAGGGAGAGACCTGAGTTGTTTAGTCAGGGAGAGACTGTGTGCGTTGCCTTCCTCTCCCTCTCGTCCTGAGGAAGCTGACAGTAAGGCGTGGTGAGCGCAGTCGACCCGGTATCCTGGTGTTGATCAACTCGACAGACTGGGAACTCGAAGGCGAGTTGGACTACGTCCTCGAAGACAAGGACGAGATCGTCTTCATCTCGACCCTTCACGGCGGATGAGGCGGCGCTCTCCCTTTCCTTCTCTCACTGGACCTCTTCGAGCGAAGATAGAAAGAGGATTGTTGTAACGATACATGAAGGGATGTTTTGCACGAATACGCATACGAGCACGACACGGATCGGAGGGGATAAGTATGAGAGACGTGAGGCGAGAGCGAAGGGAGTGTCGGAGGGCGGTTACTTGCCCGTAACCATGTTGTGCAACTTGTCGAGCTCGCCGACGAACTTGTACTTCTGCATCTGGACTTCGTTGCGGGCGTCCTGCGGTGGGGCGAGACGGTCAGGGTGGTTCATTCGAGCGGGGGAGAAGAAGAGACGTACGGTGATGGTCTCGTGCGTCTTGCCGACCTGCGAGCCGTAATACGCGCAACGTCAGCGAGAGATCGGGTGAGAGATGAGACGGAACCACGCACTTTGGCGACAAACCACCTGTAATAGTCCGGCCCGCTCCTCAAGCTAGGCAGCAACAAGTGCGCAAAGTGAGGCGTGACAAGGTGGTCACTCAATCCGCTCTCGATGATCTTGACCATCTGCTTGGCGAGCCACGGCGCCGAGAGGGTCGGGGTGAGGAATTGGACGTCGGTGTCTTTCATCGCGTCGCCCATTTGCGTCGAGACTTTGGTGGGGCAGATCACCGAGGTGCGGACTTTCGGTGCGTTGTAGCTGCGAGAACACGCTGTCAGGAGAGATCAGGAGGAGCAAGAGGGAGGAGCGCAACGCACCGGTATCGAAGCTCGCCGGTCAAGGCCTCGTGAAGAGCGAGGACGGCAGCTTTGCTGCATGCGTACTCGCTGAGTTGCGGGATCGAGGCGTACGAAGCGGAGGAGGCGGTAGTCATGATGTGGCCGTGGCTGTGCGGGCGAGCGGAAGATTGGGAAGGTTAGCGGGAACACAAGGGACAGGGCGTTTTCGCGGCTACGCACTTGCGCTTGACGACTGCGAAGTTCCCGTTGCCAGATTAGCGAGAGAAGCTTGAACGAGCAAGGAGAAGACGCACTGTAAGGCAGGAACTCGCGGAGGATGTTGTGTGCGCCGAGTACGTTGACCTTGTAGGTCAGCATGAACTCCTCAGGCTTGGTGTCCAGGATGGTCTTGCCGCGCGCGATACCGGCGTTGTTGACCTGCCGAGGAGAGTCTTTCAGCTCGCATCGGTGGACCGTGAGGGAACAGAGCGCACGATGATGGTAGGATTGCCGACCTGCAGAGGAAAGCTGTCAGTCGAACTTCTCGACCCTCGAGAACGGGATACTCACGTCTGCACGGATCTTCTTGGCGACTTCTGCGATAGCTGCCGGGTCGGTGATGTCACACTTGTAGTAGTGGACGCCGTCTGCGGAGGAGGACAAGTCGTGTGAGCGTACCGGCTGCTGCGGGAGCCTGACTCGGACTTACGGGCGTCGTAGGTTGGCGGCGCAAGGTCAATGACGGCAATCTTGTTCGTCTTGCGCGCGAGAATCTCGACCATCTCCTTGCCAATGCCCGTCGAGCCGCCAGTAATGAGGACGACGTCGCCCTTTCCCTTGTCAAAGCTCCACACCGGCGGGTCCGCCTTCCAACCGTGATTGCGTGTGAGGCGGTTGAGTGTCCTGTGGAGGGTCTTGAGAGCGACAAAAGCAAGGAGGAGGGAGAGCCAGCGGTTCGCGCGGACATGGTCGAGGAAGTGGAGCGAGGGGCCGAGGATGGACCGCGCCTTGAAGAAGGAGTAGGCTGCGATGGCTGCTGCGCCGGGCACGGAGAAGGGCACGCGGTCGAGGAAGCGGTTGACGCTGGAGTTTTGACGAGGATGTGGGGAGAACGGTCAGCGAGAGGGAGAGGACGCCGGGGTGGGCCGTGAACGCACTCGTCGATGCTGAACTTGGGAGGAGAGGCCATCGTTGCGGTCGAAGTGACTTGCGAGAGCGAGAGAGGCGGAGGAAGGCAAAGACGGGACTCGAGGCGAACGGAGCGGCGAGGTGCGCTGACCTTGCCGGCCTCACCAGAACACCTTCACGGTGATCTGTACTGCTCTATGAGGCTGTGGTCTATTGGTACCCGCCAGTCCGGGAAAATCCAGCAGCGTGAGGAGCGAGTTGGCGAGTTTCACCGGACTTTGCACCGGACTCCGCCTTGTCTCCGCGATCCGTCATCTCCTCCGTTCGCCTCTCGCACGCTTCTTCAACCCGACGCCAGTGCACACACGCTGCTGCGTTCATCCAGCCCCGCTCCACCCGTCTCCCCTCGTCTCGCCGCGCCCGCTCGTCTCTCCCCGCCCCTCGCCATGCCAGTCGACTCTGCCTCGCTCGAAGCCAAGATCCGGGAAAGCTGGCCTGACGCGACTCACGTGGTGCGTACAGGACGAGCTCGAGCGGTGCGGCACCAGTAACTGACTGCTCTTCGGCGCTTCCTCTCTGTCTCCTGCTCTCACAGCAAGTCTTCGATGTCAGCGGTGCGTTCCGCTCCTCCTACTGTTCTGGCCCTGCGTTGTCCTTGCTGACAGAGTTTGGGACGTGCAGGTGGCTGCGGTGCCGTCCGTCCTTCCCCCCTCTTACCGGCCGACCTCTCGCTAACCTGGCTTCCCTCCTCCTCCCTCCTCCCGTCGTCCTTCGACGCCTCCGACAGTCCTACGAAGTAATCATCGTCTCTCCGTCCTTCGCGGGCAAGACCACACTGAAGAAGCATCGAGAGGGTGCGTGAGCGAACCGCTTCTTCGCAGTGTCCTCTATCTTCGAAGTCGAGCTGATTACGGCGCAATCCCTGCTGCAGTCAACGACAAGCTCAAGGACGAGATCGCACAATTGCACGCCTTCACACAAGTGCGCTTGTCTACGCCGGATCTTCTCAAGCAAAGGAGAGAAACTGACTTGCGATCTTCGCGCAGAAAACGTTCACGCCCGAGCAGTTCGAGAACGTCAAGATTGTTACGCAGTAGAGAGAGAGCAACGAGCGGGGAGCGATGCAGCGGGGGGTAGCAGGACCGTGGAGACGCCTTGTTGTAACCTATCGGGTTCGTATCTCTCGTCACCGTCTAGAGAAGCCTGTATGATCGAAAAGCGCGTTATCAGACCTACTGCGCCTGTCCAACCGCATCATCTCTCGCAAATCCTGCCCCACTCGCAGGTCTCCCTCTCCCGTCCTCCCCCTCCGCCTTGAGCACCTCCTTCGGTCTCGGCACGCCGTTTCCCACGCCCGCCTGGCCCTGCTGAAGGAAGATACTCTGTCGCGCCATCGCCACGGCTGAGGTGGGCGCTGCTGAAGCAGAGGATTTGGGAGGGCGGAGGTGTGAGCCGGAGAGGGCATCGTCGCGCAAACGGGTGGAGGAGGAGGATGAGCGTGCGGTCGTGGTGTTTGGTCTTTGGGGTCGTAAGAGGCCGTCGAGAAGAAAGGTGAAGTCGAGACCGACATCGCGCAACTACGTAGAATTCCTCGTCAGTTTGGGGTAAGAAGGCAGGGCGACGCGGAACGCACCATCGCGCCGTGCGCCTTGGTCACCTCGAGCGACTCCTCGATGACCTTGCCGTTCTGGTCTGCGCCGTAGACTTGTCGTCGGAACGTCTCGGCGTAGATCTCAACCTGCTCGCTCGCCCACCGTACGAAGCCTGTTCCGCCAGCAATGTCAGCACTGAAAGTCGTTGTGTAAGGCAATGGGAGCGCACCGGAAGCCATCGAGTTGTCCTTGAAAGCCGCCATGTACCACTCGCACGTATTCTTGATGAGCGTGAAGCAAACCATCGCAAGCTCCGAGATGTACATGCTGATGTCTCCTTCAAACTTGATCTGCCTCGCGCGTTTCCTCACGAGTGCACCGCGAGCGCTGAGGAACGTCTCGCGGGCGCGCTCGCCCTGCCCGAGACGGAGAAGCCAGGAGGTGGTTCGCACGACGCCGGATTTGCGGATTGAGTGGTCGGAGAGGTCGTTCAGGAGGGCGGAGACGAGTTCGGAGGTACGGGAGTCGAGTTTGGAGCGGAAGAGCTGAGAGGCGTGCGCGTCGCCGCTGATCTTGGGGAGGATCGACTTGCCTGTGAGACGTGACAGTTAGCGTGTGAGCGTCATATGCGGCAACAAATGAGGCGACGCACCCTTCTCGATGAGCACGACAGCATCCTCAAACTCCCGCGTCGAGATGTCGACTGCGAGCTCGTCGGAGAAGTCGCCAATCCAGGACAGGTCTCGACTCGGCACGTCGCCCGAGACGAGGCCAAGTGCTGCGGCGGGGTTGAAGTTGGACGAGGAGAAAGAGCCATCGTAGTCGCGGTAGCCTCGCAGGCTCGATGGCTGCATCGTGGGAGAAGGTTAGCTAATGCTTCGGCAGCCGGAGGTCACGACTCACGTCGCCCTTTCGAGCCTCTGCCTCATTCAGCATCTCTTTCCGCTTCTTGTTCATCAGCTCCTCGGCGACCTTCTTGAAGGCGAGGAGGAGCATCTTCTTTTCCTCGGGCTTGTCCGTTCGGAAGATGATCGTCTCCTTGCCGCGCTTGATCTTAACGGCGTTCTGCAGGTCTGCGGCAGAGCGATTCGCTCGCGTTAGCGGAAGACAAGCTCGAATGGATGGGATGCGCACCTCCGCCATCCTTCAAGTCGACCACCACAATCTCGCTCAGGTTGAAGCACCTTTCCGCGACAAGCCTGACGGGTCCACCTATGCCCGGTCCTCTCCGTTTCTTGACGCTGACGAGCATCGCGTCATTCAGCAAGACGAGGTGGACAGGCTGTCTAGGCTTGTACGTTGCCGGGTTGAGCTCGACGAAAGAGGGCGCTTCGGTGATGATGTGTCGGCCGGGCGTGTAGGGGAGGAACTTTTGCGAGCCTTCGACGTTCTCCCAGAGAGCAGAGAGCTGCGATTTGTAGAGGGTTGCGAGGTCGGCGATCGAGTTGCGTTGGGCGCGTCGGCCAGCGGCGCCTGCGGGGATCATCGACCAGAGGCGTACATCAGCTGTCGCACTCTTTCCAGTGGGTCTCGCCGAACGCGGGGTCTGGTCTGACTCACCGCCCATGAGCAAGTCATCGTCCCCCGAACCGCCTTCGAGCAACTCCGGCACCGCTCGCCATTCCTCCAAGACGCCCTTCAGCTCGATCATCTCGTTCTCGAGCGTCGCGATCTCTTTCGAGATGAGCACAAAGTCGGCGTAGTTGCTGGATGAAGCGGATCGTCAGTCACCTCCGCGAGAAAGCGAAAGAAAGGAAAGACGTGGCGTACTTGAAGACGCTCTTCTGCAGCTCCGTCTCCGCAATCTTCATCGCACCCTCGAGACGGCCTTTCAGTCGCCGCAGGTCGTCCATCTGAGCCGGTGCGTCGCTTCGTCCGCCTGGGAGGTTCTGCTTCAGAACTGTGCGATCCCGACGATGTCAACGCGCATTCGTCAGCATCCGATACTGTTTGAGCAGCAATCAATGTCGCACGCACAGTCTTCCGGCTTGAAGCCCTCGCTTGCAAGCTGGTCGACATCGAGTCCCGTCGCGAGTAGCTGACTCTCTGCCTCGTTCCGCGCCGAAAGGGGTTGCGCCTGCGCCTGAGGCTGCTCCTGCCGCTCCTTCACTGCCAATGCTCCGATCTGCGCTGCTGGCGAGGGTGCCCTCGCCGCGAAAGGTGCAAGACCTGGCAAGACAGCCGCGCCTCCTCCCATTCCCGTCGGCGTTGGGACCCGCTCGACCGACCCAGCGACCGGTCCTAGCTTTGGCAAGCTGGGAACAGCCGGTACAGAGCCTGCCTCGTATGCCGGATGAGCGCTGTACGCGACACTCTGCCGCTTCTTCAACAACTTGGCTCCGACGTTGCTTTGAGCGCGGGCGCGGCCTGTATCTGGTCTGGGGTCATTGAAGCGAACGCCTGATGGAGAGGAGGGACCGGCTGGGCGGGAGGATGAGGAGGAAGAGGACGCGGATGGTGGGGCGCGAGATGAGGACGAGGAAGGGGGAGGATTGCGCGAGTCGCCGTCGTTAGAGCGCGAGGACGAGCCTTGGGAGGTAGGAGCCATGCCTAGCAGAGGACTTGAGCGAGAACAGCCGATGCGAGTGTGTGGTCGACCGTGAACGAACGACGAGGTGGAGCCTCTCCCGAGCGACACTCGCAGGACACGACTGGGTGGAATAGAATCAGAAGGGCTGTTTTTCGGTTCAACGCCTCGTGCACAAACTACCGAAACAAGCGTCCACAGCTAGAGAAATGTTCTATCTCCTCTCCCTCTCCTCCCTCTCGCTCTTCCTTTTACAACGGCTTAGAGGCCGAGCGAGTCGGCGTCTGCGGCAAGACAAAGTCAGCGAGTGCAACGAGCGAGCAGCTGGAGTTGACGCACAGGGAAGAGCGTGGGTGTTGCCGACGGCAACGGTGGTGGGCTTGCTTGCGAGAGCGTTCTTGGCGGCCTGCACGCGCAAAAGGTCAGTCTCCGCTCGGCTGTCTGCAAGCACAGGTAACGCACCTTGGCGAGCGACTCGCCGGTGACCTTGTCGAGCTTGGCAAAGATGTCGTCGATCGCAGGGGCCTCGCCGCCGGACGCGAGCTGCTCGCCGAGGACCAAGGTCTTGCCCTCCCTCGTCTCGAGCGCAGCAGCGGCCGCGAACTTGGCCTTTGCGACAGCCTGCTTGACGAGCTCGTCGCTGACGCCGTTGGCGACGTTCTTGAGCTCGGAGAGAGCCTTGGTCGCGACATCGGCCACGTCGTTCGTCTTTGCCGACACCGAGATACCGAAGAGACCGGCGTCCGAGTAGCCGAGGTTGAACGCCTTGGCGGACGAGGTCGACGTCGCGAGCTTGGCGAGAGGCGAAGCGCCTGCACCCCACTTGACGGATGCCTGGCCGCCGAGGAGAACAGCGAGGACGGCGTAGTCGACCTCGGTGCGGGCGGCGCCCTTGAACGCGATCAAGAGCTCGTCGGTCGACGAGTGGCCGACGGCGGGGATGCGGACCTCACCGCCGTAGTACTGCGACTGAGGGGTCGAGATGGAGGAGGACGAGGAGCCGAAGGCGAAGAAGTCGGAGACGAGCGAGGCGAGCTTGCCGGCGTCGACGTTCTGGCCAAAGACGGCGATGTTGGAGGGAGCGAACGAGGCCTGCGCGAACGAGACGAGGGTGGAGTGGTCGACGGCGGTGTGAGGCGAGGCGAAGAGCGAGTTGCCGAGTCCCTTGCGGAACGCGAGCTGGTGGGCGAGGTCGAACGCGTACACGCGCGAGTCGTGGATCGCCTGCTCGTACTCGGCCTGCACCTGCGGCACAACCTCCTCGTTGTACTCGTAAACCGGGAACTTGGGCTGCGTGACGGCGTCGCCCAGTGCCTCCGCAAAGTACGCCCTGCACGAGTCGCCCAGTCAGCTCCGCCAGCCTTGCAGAGCTCGTAAGAGCCACGCACTCGTCACCCTTGAGGAATTCGGCCGTCAAGACAAGGTGCTCCCGCGAAAGCGAAGTCGAGAGGACACCTCCGAGCGCCTCCGTCTCGCGCACCAACCGGATCTGGCTGCGCTTGTTGGTGGCCTGCAAGCATACGACCACTCTGGTCAGCCACTCTGCGCAGACTTGAGGCCCGGCAAGCGAGCGTGAGAGGGCCAGTGCCGGGGTCGGGGCGATGAGGATGGGCGGGTGAGCGCACCTTGAAGACCGAGTTCTTGAGGACGTGCGCGACGCCAGGGGCGGGCTCGTAGCGTGCACCGCTCTTGACGACGACAGAGATCGAGCTCGTCCGCGAGCCGTCCTCGCTGCTCGCGACCTTGACACCGCCAGCGTTCTGAGTGGTGAAGGCGGGCGTCGCGAGGCCGCGGGCGAGGGCGGGCGCGGCCTTGCGGGCCGACTGGGAGCGCAGAGCTTGCTGGATGAGAACCATGGCCCTGCCTGACAAGCACGAGAGAAGCGGAGCGGGTGAGGGAAACGACAGCCAATGCGGCGCGAGGAGGAGGACCACTCTCGCCTCGACCGCTCACGGCTCACTCAGACTGGCTGCTAAATGACAGTTTGGCTGCTCTACGGCGAGCTGGCGAAGCAGGACTGGCCAAGGACGAATCGCGCCCGAGTTGAGGACACCTCCTTCTCCTCCTCGCCGGTCCACGAAGCGTCTCCTGTCAACGCGACCAGTGCGAACGCCCAGTTAGCAAGGCGCGTAACTGGGCGTAGGGGTCTAGTACGCTTCTGCTCTGACGGGAACACCTCGGCACGACGTCGTGCAGAGCTCGCGACTCCGGTATTGAGATCTGGAACGTCTCCCAATCCAGAAGCGCTCCTCCGACAGGATGCGCTCCGCTTTGATGGTGCCGACTGGACGACGACCCCTTTGCGCTTTCACTGCTACCCGTCCGCCTTCGTTGCGAGCGACGCCGCGCGTCCAGCCTCCCTTGGTCCGCTCCATCCTGCTTGCTCTGCTCCGACATGGCGGACGCTGCCATCCCCGCTGCTCAGTTGGCGGCGTTGCGGCACGTCGCCCTCGTGCGGACACATGCGGCGGTCCTCGTCCTGTTGTTCCAAAGCATCTTCTACGTGCGTCTCGTACCTCTCACTCACCTGGTCTGCGAGGAGGCTGACAGCCGCCCCACTTTTCGCAGGGCACCTTTGTCGGTCTCGCTTGGGAATACTACAGGAGGTTCCGTCGACGAGACGGCGAGCGGCTATTCCTGCAGGTCTTCGTGGCCGTCCTGCTCGTCGTGTCGACAGCCTTTCTCGCGTTGTGCGCTGCAGTACGTTCTCAGGCATCTTCGTCCATGGATGCAACTGACGTTCTGGCGGTGCAGGTTGCATACCAGTACATCTCGCAACTGGTCGCGAACGGAGGAACACTCGCCTTCCGCCCAACGATCGCCGCGACCGTTCAACCTTTCCTACTGACCGTCGTGCGTCTTCTGATCGCGCCTCTGACATGCGCTCAAGCTGATGAAGTTTTCTCCGTAGTTCTCGGCGGTAGCGGAGGTTTACTGGGTGTATCGAGCAGTCCAGGTCGCGCGAAGCTGGTTCTCTCGCGCGCTCGCAGCGGGATTGTGGATTCTTTCGCTCGCGGCATTCTCCGGCCATTGCTCGATCGTCTTACGCATGCGGATGGGTGAGACGTTTAGCACACGGAGGGTGAGTCTCGGAGGGTGTCTGCGAGAGACGGTGCAGAGTTTGGCTGACTGACCTCTTCCACAGACGCTTGACTACCTCCTCGCAGTACGTCTCATTTCTTTCACTGCGTCTCTGACAACGCTGACGAGTTTTCGCTCTCCAGGGAACCTGGGTACGCCCTCCGTCTTGCGCGACACGCGGCTCAAGCGGACCAGGACTGACAACCTCACCCTCCCCTCTCTCAGCTCTTCCTCGCCGACTCCTTCTTCTGCGCCGGTGTCCTCGTGTACGAGCTTGTCTACAAGCGGCGCAACGAGCTGGCGAAATCGTCGCTCGTTCAACAGTTTACCGCTTTGGCGCTCAAGACGTCCCTCGCGATCGGTGCGTGCGGCCTTCACACTTTCTCATGTGCCACAAAACTGACGGCATGTGTGGCAGTCATCTTCGTCCTAATTGGCGCGATCGCAATAACGCACGCCTTCGTTTACGGCAGCCTAGTCTCGGGACAGGTGCGTCTCTCTGCGCCCATCCGTTATGCGCCGGGCGTGACCGGAGATGCCAAATGCAGGTCTCTCTGGCCATGGCCAACTTGTTCTCCTTCGCTTCGTGCTGCTGTGTCGCCATCTGTGCGTTTTGAGCTTCACCATGCTCGTCTTCCTCGCGCTCGGCTGACGCTCTCCTCCACAGCACTTCTCCAGCGCTGCTCGCTCCGCAACCAGTACTCCCAAGACATGTCACGTCACGACGCCAGCAACTTCGGCGCGCCCGCTTCCTACGCCTACCCGCCCATGTCCGCCCATCGACCTGTCTCGACTTCGTTCGGCCGCATCGATTTCGGGAAGGAGGGCGACTCGAAGATGTCGAGCGGGAGCGAGGTAGAGAAACGGAGTGCGGAGAAAGACGGCCGGCACCTTTCTGCGGCACGAGACTCGGCTCCTGCGATCACGCAGCGCGTTTTGCTTCCCCGACGGGTAGCAACGGTGGACGACGTTGAGCAGCAACAAGCGGAGCGGCGGCTCAAACCCCTTCGACCGTGGGACCTTGTGCGTTCGAAAAGTTCGGGCTCTTTGCGGCGCGGAGGAGTCGGGACGACATTGGGCGTGATGGTAAATGTCGAGGTTGAACGGAGTATCGACCACGGCGAAGAAGAAGGAGCGGCGGTAAGGGAAGGAAGGGACGAGTTGGTTTGAAGGAGGAGGTTTGTGGGTCTCTTCGCACCGCGCTTCATGTATCGCCTCTTTCGCCTCTTTTTGGCTGTTGTCATATCGCACCGTTCTCGCATTCTCGAGCTTGTAAGGCGTGAATGGTCGTGAGAGACTGTTTGCCCTCGCTGCGGACGATAGTCTCCCTCTTCCTGCCTCCTCGGCCATTCGCAACCCGCTGCAACCGGCGCTCGACCCAGCCGGTCACGCGCCTGCCATCTCATCAGTCTCTCGCGCTCGTGTGCTCGCTGAGTCCCGCATGCAGGAACTCGCCCGCCGATCCCTCCTCCTCCCGTCGCTCATTCCCGATCGAATTCGCCTCGTACAGGCTGGGCTGGCTTGCTTGCTCCTCATCGCGCTACTTCTCCTGCTCATCGCGCCTGTCTGCGCCCTGCTCACCGGTCAACGAGGACGGCGATGGCTTCACCCGCCGCTTCCTCTCCCGCCGCTGCCGCGCTGGCTTCGATGAAGCAACTGGTCCTCCTACGACTGCACAGCTCCGTCCTGGCACTCTTGTTCGCAGCGGTCTTCTACGTGCGTGTCCTCCCATCACTCGACTCGACGAGTACCGTGAGGCTGACTTCTCAGTTTGGTCTGCGCAGGGAATCGCCATCTCGCTCGCAGCCAGCTACTTCCGACGCTCCGCCGGGCAGAGAAGCGAACCGGTGTTTGTGCGGGTCTATGTACTCGCGATCGTCGCGGGCGGAACGGCGTATCTTGCGATCCAGGCGACCGTGAGTGCGCTCGCGGTTCGAAGTTGCGGCGATGCACTGACCTGCTCGTGCGTGCAGATGCTGTACCAGCTCTTGACTGCCCTTTCGACGGGCGTACCGCCACTGCCAGGCGCCCGACCAACCGTCGCGCAGACACTCGAAACTTGGGTCGTCTTCCTCGTGCGTACCTTCGTCCTCCGGTTCCCTCTTTGAACCAACCTCCCCCCATTCGCGCAGTTCGCACTCACCGTCGAGTCGTACTACGTCTACCGCGCCGTACGCGTCACCCACAACCGTTTCCTCCAAGCCCTTGCGATTCTCCTCGAACTCGGAGCGCTGAGCGGATTCCTTGGGTTCGCGGTGACCAATACGCGGATACGGTTCGGGGCGGTCGTACCGCCTAGACAGGTGCGCTGCGAGGCGAGGCGGGGAGGTATGAGCGAACCGGGCTGACGGTTTCTGACGGATGCGAGCAGGTCCTGACTTACATCTTCGCTGTTCGTTTCCTCCTTCCCTCGTCTTCTTCCACTTGCTGACCCCGCCCCTCGCATAGGCCACCTGGGTCCGTTCCCCCTCCCCTCTCATTCCCTCTCCGCGCGCTCCCTCGCTCACCCGCTTCGACTCGCGCGCAGGCATTCACGACCGACGGCCTGCTCTGCGCCTCGATCCTCCTCTACGAACTAGTCTACAAGCGTCGCTCGAGCGTCGTCAGGAGTTCGGTCGTGCAGCAGTTTACGGTCGTCGCTGTGAGGAGTAGCGGGTTGGTTGGTGCGTTCTCAACTCGCTCTCAGGTGTTGGGGTTGGGGAGGGGCTGATGGATTGGAGGAGGACAGCGTTGTTGCTTGTTAGCACGGCGACGATGGGTACGATTGGTTACGTCTCCCAAGATCCCGTGTACATCCAGGTACGCCACCTTCGCTTCTCCCTCTCTCACACAGCGGACAGCGGAACTGACGATTGCATGGTCGGGCGCAGACGGGTTTCGCTACGTCGCGCATCTTTCCTTTCGTCTCGTGCTGTATAGTCCTCACCTGTCTGTCCCGCATCCCCTTACTACTCCTCCTCAACCTCCCTCGTCTCTCGCTGACATGCTGACGCTCGCTCGAACGCCCGCAGGCCTCCTCGAACGCTCATCTCTCACGAAGCGCTACACCACCTCCACTACCTCCGCCTCCGCGACGACGAATCCGACTTTCACACTCCCCAGCACCGGCGCAGCGCTCCACCTGCGAAATCATCAGTTGGAGAGGGAGGTGTATGCCGTTCCGATCGTACGCGCCGACGCAAACGAGGAGGATGAGGAGCCGAGAGGGATGGAGGAGAAGCGTTCGTCGCGAGGAGAAGGGAATGGGAAGACGGATCTCTCGCCCGCCTTGTCGTCTTCCGAAACGGAATCATGGGAGGAGGGCGGGTCGCAGTGGGAGAAGGACGGTGTGCGGAATAGCTTAGCAGACGGGAGAGGTGGAGCGATGGTCTAGCGAGGGTTACGGAGGGCGGCGAAGTCTCAGCGATGGCGGGTTGGTCAGTTGGAGGTTGTTGTCAATACTAGCATCTTCTCCTTCGCATTGTGCGAGGCGGAAGAGGCGAGCGAGAGGAGCAAGGACGGATTTGAGAAAGCCTTCTCAAGCAGCAGGAGGTGAAGCGACTTGTCCCTGCTCGTCTGCCCTCCGGCAGACCGCTCATCAAAGGCTCGGCGTCGTTTCCGACCAGTACTCCCGGTCGAAGCCGAGCAAGCGCAGAGAGGTAACCAGCAAGAACGTTCCGTCCTCGTCCTCCTGCTCGCCCGGAGGTTCGGCGAGCAGCGCTTCAACGTTCTGTGATCGCAGAATCAGCAGGAGTCGCAGATCGCCGAACCTGAAGAAGCGGTTGTTGGCCTGCGCTGCTGGGATGCGCGGGTTCGGGCGGGCAGGCGCGGCGTTGCGGTGAGCTCGCGACGGAGCTGGGGGATGTTCGCGCCCGTTCGCTCGTTGGGTCGAAGGGGTTCGCAAGCGAGGGAGCGTGAGTGTCCAGTGCGAGAGAGCGGAGTTCGGCGGTGAGAGCGAGAGGAGAGAGAAGCAAGGCAAGCCGGGGGTGTGGTGCTGCTGGATTCGGCCAAGTGCGAGTGCGGGTCGGCTCACAGGGCCGCAACTCGCCGACAAACACCTGCTCACGGGACCACCACAGCCTAAGCCAAGCTAGCTCACTTAGGGCCCGACGCAGCCCGACCTCGCCGTCTCGACCGTCCTCGCGTCCTCCCCCACCCGCGCCTCCGCCAGATCCGGGGCCACCGCTCACCTCGACTTCGCTCTCTCGCGCACTCGCTCAAGCCACACTCGCACTCGCCAGATCCACCCTGATCTCGCACCGCGACCCCACTCACCCCGCGCCAACTCTCCTCGCACTCCCACCGGACCTCCAGCTGAGCTCGTGACAATAACCCGCGACAGAGGCGAACTCACATCCACCCAGCTCGAGCGCACGCGGGGGACGAAAGGGAACAAGATGCACACGGCACTCTCGACGCACGTACTCGCTCTCGCACCAGACTCGCTCGCCAGCCTCGGACAACTCGACCTCGACTCGCTGTCCGAACTGTGGTCTCGTGAGTCCTCGCCTCTCTCCGCGGTAGGTCCGGCTGACGAGTGGGATGCGCGTGACAGTCTTCACCCGCTGCAAGGACAACTTGCAGAATGGCAGGCGGTTGGAGAACCTCTCGTGGAGGCTGTGGTACGAGTCGGGCGGGTGCAGGCGCGACGGCGTGCCCCTTCCCAGGTCCGCCCAGGGCTCTCCCAAAGCCGTCGAGGCGGATTGGAGCGATCCAGAGTGGGAAGAGGCGTCGGATACGGATACCGGGGCGAGTTTCAGTGTCGACGAGAAGGAGGAGGACGAGTCGGTCCCGCCCGCTTCTCCACCACGCACTCGCGCCTCTCCTCCCTCCACAAGCACCCACAAGCACCCCTCCCCATCCATCTCTCCCCGATCCGCAACCGAAACCGACACGTCCCGCGGGCGGACATCGACTACCGTTCCTCCTCGACCGCCTCTCGCGCGACGAGGCGTCTCGCGCGAGTGGGGCGGCGCACCGGTCATCAGTGGCGGGTCGCTGCAGCGCATGATTGCGGACTTGCAGAGGTTGCCGGAGATACCCGTCCCCGGTCGAGCGAGGAGCGTCGATGGCGCCACGGTCAACGGGCTGAACAAGCCACCGCTCGGATCGAGGGGTTCGAGTGCGCCGGATAATCTCAACGCGGCGTCGTTGCAGGCTTCGAGGGCGGCGTCGCCTACCCCCGCCGCAGCGGACCTCACGCGATCGAGTTCGTCGGCTTCGACTTCGGCGCGGCAGCGCAGTCGAGCCAACTCGTCGAGTATCTCCCGCTCCGCCTCGACGCCCGCAGCGAACGCACCCGAAGAACCGCACCAGCCTGCTCCGCCTCCGCCTCCCGCGCCGCCGAACCGCCGCGTCCCCTCCGGCCTCGCAATGTCGACTATGCCCGCCACCGCCGCTCGTCGTCCAGCCGCCGTCTCTCCCTCCCCTCCTACGCCCGAGGAGGTGATCCGCATGACCCCCTCGGAAACAGCCATGCTCGCACTCTCCAACTCGCGCAACAGATCCGACCTCTCCCTCTCCCGTCGAGCCCAATCGACAGCCGAACTGGCAGCGTCCTTCAAGCCTGCGAGTTTCGTAAAGGGGTTCGAGCCCTCTCCCCCGCAGGCGCGGCAGCAGGCTCAGGTTGTCGTACCCGCGTCCGTCGAGGCGAGACCCGGACCAGGCGCGATCGCCCCTCCCCCGACGCCCGCTACGACCCTCGCTTCTCTCGGTCCGAGTCCGCCCAAATCGGCGCTCAAATCTCCCTCTTCAGCCTCGTCCTCGCGCAGCACCTCGACCCCCGCCAAAGTTCCCCCTCCACCATCCGCTCAAGTCCAGAGAACAGGTCCCGGCCCATCCGCGTTCCGCCACCCTCCACCCGCCGCAGGCCCAGGGGCAGGGGGAGACAGAGCGAAAAAGATCTTTTTCATCTCGTCGCCCGAGTCGGATGAGGAGGGCAGTCGGTCGAGTGCTGGAGGTGGAGGTGGACGGTCGGGAGGGAGTGGTGCGGGGATGAAGGTGGTTGTTTCGCCGCCTTCGGCTGTGAAGAAGAGCGTGCAGGTGGGGGACAAGGGGAAGGGGAAGGAGGTCGAGCGGAAGGGAGGAAGGGGCGAGGCGGAGGAAGTGGACGAGTGGGCGAGCGAGACTGAGTCCGACGAGCAGGAGGAGGAGGACGACGACTCGTCGGGCTGGGGATCCGAGTACTCGACCGAATCCGATATCGCGCGCGACTCGGCTCGTCGAGCAGGAGCGCGAGCGTCCGACTCGACCAACCTCTTTGCCAAGCAGCGCACCGCATCGACTGCGACGCTCAATAACGGCGCCAACACCGGTGGGCCGGGCGAACTTACCCGCCGACCGCCCGGCTTGCTCTCGCAGCTGTTCCACCCGGACCAATTCATCGACGACTCGGACCGCAACCCCTCGACCGCGGACTTGATGCGCAGGAACCACAAGAGCATGTCGGCTCTCCCGACGCTCGGGAGGTTGCAGCAGAGTGAGAAGTCGACGGCTGGACGGTTGGGCGCGAATGGCAGGAGCAAGAGTTTCTTGAAGGGCAAGCCGGAGCATGTCGAGCTCGAGTCGAGTTCGGATGAGGGTGAGGGCTACGGCGGGCGGGGACCACCGGTTGCGGAGCGGGAAGAGGAGGAGGAGGGATCGTCCGAGTACGAGGACGTCGATGCGGATGCCGAGGCCAAGGCCGCCGCAGCTGCCGCTCTCGCACGCCGCCAGCGCGAGTTGGAGGAAGTCGTCGCCCCTCCCCAAACGCCCCGAACGACCCGCCGCGCCATGCTCGCGACAGAACTGAGCGAGTCCCTCCGCCGCAACTTGCTCTGGGAACGCCAGACGCGCAACCGCATCATGGGCGGCATGCCTCGTCGTCCGACGATGCCGGGCGAACCGCTCCCCCAGCGACCGGCGAGCTCGACCAACCTCGCTGCGGCGATGCAACAGCAAGGACCTCCTTCTGCGCCCGCCGTCCCGCCTTCGCAGCTTCAGCAGCCTCACCAGCCGACTGTCACCCGCGCACAGACGGACGAAGGCGGCGTGCGCGCACCGAATCCCTCGCCTGCGACTCGGCATTCCCCTCCCCTCTCGAAACGCTCGCCGCCGACTCAGCCGCAGCGTCCGCACGCGCCTCAGCACCACCACACCCAGCACGCCCCGCGCCATCCGGGCACGACCAACCTCCCTCGCCGTCACACGACCGGGACGGGCCTGTACCTCCAGGCTCTCAACGGCGGGTCCTTCCGCCGCGCTCGAGCGGCCGACACCGATTCGGAGCTCAGCCAGAGCAGCGACGACGAGGACGACGGACGCGCGTCACCTGCCGATGTCTTCGGTAGCTCGATTGGCGGTCAGAGGGTGTGGTGAGGGGGTTTCTCATTCGACGTTTTTGTGCTTTCTCGTTCTCGCGTTGTTGTCGGATTCTTTTGACGAAGGGTTGTACCGTCTCCTCGTGTTCTCGCCTTTGGCCGTCTCGCCTACTGCAGCCTTGTACCTGTACTTCTCACGCCTCACTCATCGCAATCCATCTGGCCAACGAGCCTTGCATGCACGATGCGAGTCGCGAGCGTTTTCTCTGCTCGACCCTTCACCCTCTCTTACGGGCCATCTCACGATGCTGAGCGGAAGTCATCGCGATAGACGGGTATATTGGCAAGGCTACAGGACTAGTACTGGCACCATGTCTTCTGCCGGAGATGGACGGAGGAAACAGACTGCGAGGTCGGAAAAGAGTCTGGGAAGGTCATCCGCCTCAGACGGGACTCGGCGCAAGCAAGCCTCGCAGGCTGATCTGCTCATCGTCAGCCTCATCCTTCGTCTCGTCGCTCGACCTGCGCTCGCCTCGAATCGCTCGAGCAGGTTGCGCCGACGCTCCTGGGCCCGTCAGCGGCGGCGTATGCGGGTTGCTGCCAAACTTCTTGTCGCGCGGCGCTTCGCAGCCGCCCGTACCCTCCTTTAAAGCGTCATCGAGGCGGCAAGGCGGATATTCGGCGGAGAGGACCGCAACGTCGTAGAGTTGCTGCGAAGGGCGGTCGTGGAGGGATGGGTGCGAGGCTGACTGCTTCGTGCCCTCCCTCCGAGTGCAGGACGTGTTGGAGACAGTTGCGCTGACGTAGCGGACGCCGAGCGAGGGGCGTTCGACCAGGCCTGTAGGGTTCCGAGCGGTTCGATTGGCGCGCTGGCCTCGTCAGCCGTCAACTTTGCGTGAGCGAGGCTGTGGGGTCGCGCACAGGTGAAGACGATGCAGCACGAGACGAAGGGGAAGATGCGCGACATGGCAAAGCCCGTCTGCAAGCAGGAAAGAAGGACGTCAGTTCCGGTCCACTCCCGCTCGTCCCGCTCGCGCACCTGAACATGGACCGGCTTCTGCGTGACGTAGGCGACGGTATCCATGACGGCCATGCTGAAGAGTAGCGGCACTGCACAAGCGAGAGGATGGCGAGCGGAGATCCAAACCGGATGGGACGAGTCGGGCGCACGCAGAGCTACGCTGCTGCTCACCGCCACCACGGTGAACTGATGCATCGACAAGCTTCTAACAATGGCAGCGCGACGCTTGTAGACGAGCTCGTAGACCAGTACCGACGCGCAGAGAAGTCCGTCGGCTGCGAAGGCCTGAAATATGTAGAATTAAGCTTGTTTCGTCGCTGACGGGGACGCTCGGCGTACCCAGGCGGACTACACGATGCATTGCGTTAGACGGTGCGGGAGTGAAGGCGAGAAGTGACGCACTGCGAGCATCCAGGCAACAGCCTGTTCGCATCCGCCGAAATGGTCAGCTCGCATCGCTCGAGCAAAAGGAGCCGCCGGGACGTACCTGTCTGGGCGGGATAGTAGCACCAAGGCGGATTTGCAAGGTGACGACGGCGCAGCCGAGGAAACCACAGACCGTACCGAGCCAGAGCAGGATAGCGAGAGCTTGGAGGAAGCGGTGCTTCGTGACGCGGACTGCGCGGTAGACGTAGTACGCCTTGACTTCGACGGCGAACTGCGGAAACCAAGCGGGTCAGGACTCGGCCGTCGCGCAAAGAGAGCGCGGAAAGGCTTGCGGACCATCGCGCACACCCAGGCTTCCAGCGTCTGTGGGACGGTGATCCGCGAAGACGGCAACGTGCTTATCGTGACGAGAGTCGTAATGTCCTGGCTCAGAACCTGGGAGGAGTTGATCGTCAGCGCCTTTCACACGAAGCGAGGTTCAAGGCAGACGCGCCGTCGCCTGGATCGCAAGACAGATTGCACCGCCAGCGAGCGTTGTCCAAACGTAGGCTCGCACGAAAAGCGGTTCGTGGATCTGGCCGGCGGAGCGTCGAAAGTAGCAGACGGCGAGGGAGAGGGCGATGCCCTGCGAGACGGCACGAAGCGAGGTCAGCTCGATGTGATCGCTGCGAGTAAGGCGAGCGTACTCACGTAGAACACCGCTGCGAATAGCAGAGCGAGTATGGCGCTGTGCGCCTTCAGGAGGATGATTTGCTGCTCCGCAAGTACCGCCGCGGAGGAAGGAGCGGAGTCGGCGGCCGCCATCTCGCCCTGTGAGCTTCCGCCGTCTGGTGCAGCACTCGGCGCGAAGGAAGCAAGAAGAAGAGCGCAGGAGCGAGAAGGACCATCGAGAGGAGATTGCTCGCGAAAGAGCGAGGGGATGAGAACGGGAGGATCGGGGCGCGAGCGGGTCCACTGCAGCGATGGTTTCGCCTGCGGCATCGGTCTTGAGCGTTAGCCGTTCCAGTGTGCGCGAAGCCTGCAGGCACGACAGGACAGAGGCTTTGAGCGGAGGTCACGTATGCCACCCGTCCAAGCGAGCGAAACGCCGACTGATCCTCCGCCGACTCCCGCGTTGAAAGCCGGCCGGATCTGCGAGAACGCTGAGGAGTATGGTTACAAGTACGCTTCGAAGCGATGCGAGGCGAGTACGACTAGAACGTGAGGAGGTATGTGGCGGGAAGGGCAGACAGCGGCTTCTACTCGAGCTCGATCTCCTCGACGACGGGCTCGGCGTTGGCGAGGGTGCTGGGGAAGACGATCAAAGTCAGTACCTCGAGCTCACAAGCGAGAGAAGCGGGAGAGGCGGAACGCACCTGCTCGGCGTCCAGATCTGCAACACGTTGTCCTCCGCCGCGCTGCACAATGTCCAGGGCTCGTTCGGGCTCCACGCCAGATCCGTCGGCCTCGCCGTGTGTCCTCCATGCACAAACATGAGCTCGGGCGGACCGTCTTCGGCATCTTCGGGCGTCTGCTCGAGCCCAATCTTGCTGACATCCCACAGGTTGATCCGTCGGTCGCCTGATGCGGACGCGAAGATGGTCTCGTTCGTGGGAGACCAGGCGAGCTGGAGAACCTCTTCTTGGTGCGACTCGAACGTGTGAAGCTTGAATTTGAGGTTGCGCAAGTCCCACAGCGCGACGGTCTGGGAGGCGGGAGTCGTCAGCTTGGAAGGCTTGCGGAGTGGGCTCGCCTGCACGCACCTTGTCCGCCGAACCGGTGATAAGGATGTTCTCGTTGTGCGGCGCAAAAGCGACGGCGTTGACTTCCGCCTCGTGAGCCTGCACCCGTGCCGTCGGCTTCATCGCGCCCTGCTGGCCCCTCGTGTCCCACCTGTCGACGCACAGAGAGACTTCATCAGCGAGAGGAGACTGAGGAAGCCCGGAGGGAAACGCACAGCAACAGCATGCGGTCATCGCCGACCGACGCAAAGACGTCCTCCTGCAGGTTGTGCCACGCGACGTCTTCGACGATCGCGGTGTGCCCTCGGTAGACGTTGAGCGGGTCCATCGACGAATTGCCCTTCGTATAACCACGGATGTCCCTACAAGGGCAAAGCGAAAGGTGAGGAGGATCCGAAAAGAGCGGCGAGGAATCGAGACGAACCAGTGGCAGACGGTCGTGTCCTCCGACGCACTCAGCACATGTCCCTCCCTGGATTTGAGCGGGTTCCACGACAGGCCGTATCTGCACAAGGGGGAAAAGGAGCCGTCAGTCGCCGTTCCGCCTCCTCGAACTGCCAGCTTCGGTACTCACCCCTCCTTCGAGTGACCCCTCAGCGTGATGTTGGGCTTGCACTCGTTGCCAATCGGCTGGCTCGGGTGCTTCGTTCGGTCAAAGACGTAGACGTCGCCCATCACCGTCTTGGTCGCGATGAGGTCGGGATTTTGAGGCATGTAGCGGGCGCGGTTGACTTCGCCGGTGTGGTTGATCGACTGCGTGATCTGGACGCGAGGCTCGGTAGCGGTGTGCGCGCCAATCTCTGCAGAGAACGGACAACGAGTCGGTACGAGGCTCGGCAGTCGATAGGAGCCGCCCCTTTACGCACCTCCGCGCTCATCGTCGTACTTGTCGAGGCTCAGCTCGGCTTGAGGCTTCGGCAGGTGGACAGTCGCGATCTGGAGGTAGTTGTTGTCCTCGCCCGAGGTGTGGGTAGCGAGGAGGAGGCGGTGGACGGTGTAGTCCTTGTCGGCAGGGCTGCGGTCGGACCTGGTCAGCCTTCGTCACGGCTCACGGAACGGGTTGTCCGCCACGCACGTCTCCTTGTCTGGCAGCCATTGGCAAGTGAGGGAAGGCCAGTCGAGGGCGTGGGTGATGACAAGGTCGTAGAGGAAGGGCGAATTCTTCTTCCAGATCTTGTACTCCTGTAGCGAGTTTCGCGAAGGTGTCAGCGTTCCTTTCAGCCTGCTCAGCCTCCAGCGGCCTGCGATGCACCTCATTGATACTCTTGTAGAGCTGTGAAGGGCGATGAACGGGTCAGCCTGGCCCGCGAGCGCGTACATGGTCATTCAAACGCACCGTGGACGTTTCGTCTGCCTCGGTAGCCATCTCTGCGGGTTGTCACGCGAGTTTCGAGGGACGCGTCGAGACGAGGCGGAGGGGAGATTCAGGGAAGGCGGAGCGAGCTGCGAGCGGTGCGGGCGGGCTGTGGTGGCTGTCTAGAGCAGTCTGAGCGCGTGTCAAGCCTGTCTCGAGCAGCAAGAGCGGAAGGTCGCGCAAGGTCAAGCGGCAGAGAGTCGCCTTCCTCTTCGATCGTGAACGGCTCACATCCTGCAGCTTCCTCAGCTCGTGGGACTTTTTGCTTGAGCCCTACAGACTCGCACAGCTCTGTACTCTACCCAGCCTGTCCTACAGCTTCGCTAGCCGTCTGCTCCCCGATCTCGCTTTCTCATCTCTCCAAGCGCCCGCTCCGTCAGAACACCCCGAGAAGCAGCCATGGTGCGTCACGGTCCTCTCTGTGACCCCGAAGCCCACAGATGATGCCCCGCGCTGACCTCCTACCGCCTCAGCCGAGCGTATTTCGCCCTTGCATCGACCTGCACAACGGCGCGGTCAAGCAGATTGTTGGCGGTTCCCTCGACACTGACAACCTCAAGACCAACTTTGTCTCCGAGTGCGTTAAGCATCGCTGAAGGGGTTGGACAAGAGTCGGCGCCTGCTAACTCCGCTCCTCACAGACACCCATCCTCCTACTATGCCGACTTGTATCGCAAGCACAACCTCACTGGGGGACACGTGATCAAGCTGGGACCCGGCAACGACAAGGCGGCTCGCGAGGCGTTGCAGGCATGGCCAGGTTCGCCCGCTTTCCGCAATCTTCCCTACAGAATGATGGACTGATTCGGGCTCCGCTTCACCTCGTGCAGGAGGACTGCAGATTGGCGGCGGGATCACCGAGGAGAACGCGCAAGAATGGCTGGACGCCGGAGCGGAGAAGGTGCGCCTCGCTGTCCTGGTACTGGTCTCGGGCTTCGCTGACTCGGCACTCCTCTGCAGATCATCGTCACCTCCTACCTCTTCCCCGGCGCAAAATTCGACGAGGAACGACTGCGGCGTCTCGCCGAGAAGGTTGGCAAAGAGCGACTGGTCGTTGACGTGAGGTGCGATGGCCGCTTCACCCCTTCCGCCTCCTCGAGCTTATATGTGCTTGAACTGTAGCTGCCGGCGACGAGACGACCGATGGATTGTCGCGATGGACCGGTGGCAGGTCATGACGGACATGGAGGTCAACGCAGGTGTGCCTTGCCTCCTTCCCCTCATTTCTTAGAGGACTTACTGACTCGTCTCTCGCACGATAGAATCGCTCGCACGGTTATCTCAGTTCTGCAGGTGCGTCGCCCTGTCCGGCTCTTCGTTGAGCGAGTCTTGACCTTGGCTCGATCCGCACCTCGCAGCGAGTTCCTCATTCACGCCGCGGATGTTGAAGGCTTGTGCAAGGGCATCGACGAGCAGCTTGTTACGAGTACGTCACGGCGGCGGTGGTTTCACGAGCGACGAAGCTGATCAGATCCGCTCGCAGAACTCGGCGAATGGACGACCATCCCGACGACGTACGCTGGAGGAGCGAAGAGTGCGTCTCCTTGCTCCTGCGCCTCGCTCTCTCGCTGACGACAACTTACAGGCGCCGACGACCTCGCCCTCGTCGAGCGGCTCTCGAACGGCAAGGTCGATCTCACGTTCGGTTCGGCCCTCGACATCTTTGGCGGCACACAGGTCAAGTTTGACGAGCTGGTCGAGTACAACGAGCGGGCTTTGCGGAAGTAGCGAGGTCTCTTAAACGTAGAGATGGCGTCCTCTCACTCGCAGCAAATTCAAGCGAACAACCTTGTACGTTTCAAGCGAAGCTCAACAAGCGCGACAAGCGGTCCTCCTCCTCCTCAGTAGTAAAGAGCCCTGTCCTTGAGCGAGTATTCGATGCCGCGCTCGTCGCAGATCGCCTGAATCGTCCTGATCGTCGAGCCTGTCCAGTCGGTCCTTCCCCTCGCTGGGGCTCGCGGGCGGCTCCACAGTCCGGCCGACGAGCCTGTCACGTCCCCGCTGAGGTTGAGCCGTTTGAGAGCAGGAAAGCTGTGCTTCAAGGCCCAGAGGAAGGTCGCCGCAGGCGTGCTGTGCGGCGCGCCGCTCATCTCGAGATGCTGGAGGTGGGCGAGCGACGAGACGGTGCTGATGAAAGTCGGGCCGGTGTAGCACCAGTCGATCGATAGGGTACGGAGTGCGGAGATGATCGCGAAGGTGGCGTCAAAATCGGAGACTGGCGGAGCAGGCGTTAGCTGGGAGGAAGTAGGAGAAAGAGACTGCGGAACGCACATGAATGGGCGGAAAGCGGACTCGCCTGCATTGCGTGCGTAAGTGTCGTTGCTCTCGTGGAAGGGACTGCGAGACGCACCCGTCCCGTCTCAGCGGTGTCATTGAGAATGAGAACCTCGGTAGCGCTACCGTTCAGCTGGAGCAGCGCTTCAACCTCCGAGCTGGCGAAAGACGGTCCCGCGACCTGATTCCCGTCGAGCACATATACGTGCAACTCGAGCTCGCGCAGAGAACGGGCGGAACAAGGCGGACGAAGAAGCCAGGCGAGCTGGGCGGGCTGGACGTCGCTCCCGCTGTTCGGACGGTCGCGACCCACGCGGAACGAAGCAAGACGTGTTGCGGAGTGGTCGACGCTCGACGAGATGGCGCCGGTCTCGGAGAAGTCGCTGATGGCTTGAGCAGCGAAACGCCGGAGAAGCGGGAGATTGAGGAAGATGGCCTCGAGGTCTTCGAAGTCGATCCCGCAGGAGAACGTGAGCGACGTAAGTTGTGAAAGGCCAGTCAAGGCGGAAAAGAGAGCCTGGATGAGCGATTGCAAGAGGAGTCAGTTCAGGGAATGTGCTGGAGGAGCCGGCGTGAGTGGTACGCACCGGTGCGAGGTAGTCTTGGGCATTGCGGTAGGGATAATTGCCGTGGAACAGCTGCATAAGCAAGGTGAGCGCGATTCCCTCTCGTAAGTGAAAGGCTGGAAAGGCTTACATTAATCTTGGCGCGAGCGGGAAAGAGGGCGATCTCGAGCTTCTGCAGGTTGGGGAGCATCGAAAGAATGTGGGCGCACACGGGCAGCGCATCCACCTGCTTGCCGTTCTCGACGGGCGCTCCGGGCATGCGCACGTCGTCATAGCGATTGTACGCCGGTGCATCGAGGCCGGTGATGACAAGCACTTTGAGCTCGGCGATCTGAGACGCGTAGGCGCTCTTAAACGACGACGTCGGGAGGAGCGTCATCACGTCGCGGAGAGCAGCGCCGGACGGCAGGACGATGCTGCGCAGCGCGGCCTGAGAAGAGGACCTACCTCAGTCCCACAGCTCGCAAAGCGAAGAGGACGAGAACTTACCGCAATTGCCGGAGTGCGCCAACTCCTGCAGACGTTCGCGAGGCCGAGAGAAAAGTAGAAGGCGCCTTTCGCGTCGGTCGAGAACGCGTACGAACGGGTTGTTTTCGGCGGCTGGAAGCGTTCGTCTTGGCTGACAGGCTCGGTCTCCTCCGCCATGTGCATGTCGCGGGCGAGAAGGAAGATGCTGAGGAGAATCTCGGCCGGGAGGCGCACCATGCAGGACGACTTGAGCGGTGCAGGGACAATCTGGCGGTCACGAGCGCCTTCGAAGACAGGGTCGCGAGGGGAGTCAGTCGACGACGCAGGCGAGTACAAAGGAGTCGTTGTGCGTTCATAGGCGATCGGACGGGGAACGGGCGTGATGTCGGCGAGCAGGCCGTTGAGACGGTCGATGATATCCGAGTAAGTCTGGAGGGAGAGGCGCAGATCTCCCGAGTCGCCGTGCGCCATCGGACTGCTTGAGAGATCCCTGATGCACTTGACGAGACGTTCGGCCGCGTCACTGGGGCGAAAATGCGGCAGGTATGGGAGCGGAGAGGGAGAACGCGTTCGACGGCGACGATGTGCGACGCTCTCGTCCTGACGGTGTTGCTCTTGCTCATCCTGCGGCTTCGGGACGTTGCGCACCGCAAGAGATGCAGTCATCGTGGTCGGATGCGGCTTCTCTCCTCCCTCCCCCTCCCTCGCCGGTCCAGCTGGCGGAGTCGACGACATGAAGCGGTGCCACGTCGAGTCGGGGAGCCAATACTGGTAGGAATCCGTGTCTGCAAATGATCCGAGGACTCCCATCGCGTCGACTCGCTTGCGAGCGTCGAGAGACCTGTGTAACTGATGAAGGGGCCGGTTCGTCCGACAAGGCTTGCGGACGAAGTAAGGTTGACGATGCAGTACTGGCGACTCTGAGCAACAGCTGCGCGGCCAAAATAGCGGGCAAAGCAGGTGTGGAGCGAAGGCCAGCGTGATGAAGGAGGGCAAGAGGAGAAACGGGTGAGTGGGCCAACGTCAAGCTGCAAACTCGGTACTCGACGCTCTGGCGAGGTTTCCAATGACACTGTTGCGCTCTCGAGAGCGTCCAGCTGCCGCGCGGAGATCCGAGTCGAGCGGCGGGAACCAGCTGTTCGCTTGAAGGTCAAGTCAAGACCCTCTCGCTCGTTCGCAAGCAAGGCCAACTCTAGCAAATAGACACGTTACAACGCATACATGCTTGCGCGGCGGCTGAGACGACGAGCAGGGAGAAGCAGCGAGAAACTCAATCTTTAGTAGTACCGCCCGCCGTATCCTCCTGTTGCGCGCAAGGGTCGTGAGCTTCGTCGAGAGCACAGTAAGTGCTCAGACTCACCTCCGACGAACCCGCCCGGCATTGGACGCGCCATCAGGTCCCCCGCCGCATTCTCCAGCCGCTGGATGCCCCTCTGCTCCGCCATCTCCTCCCTCATCTCCCTTCGCTCCGCTTCGGCTTCTCGTGCGGCAAGGAGGGCATCAGTGCGGCGCTCGGCGCGGTCGATGTCGCGGGCTAGGCGAGACTCGGCGTTGAGCTCGGCTCGAAGGCGGCGGGCGTCGTCGAGGCTGTGGATCGCTCGAACGACGAGCATCAGGAGGAGGTAGGGTGACCGAAGGCGGTGAAATGAGTATGACGCACGCTTGAGCACGCTGAGCAGGCGAGAGTCCGGTCAAAGAAGCTGCGTGCGAACGAGGTCAGCTTCAGGCTGCGAGATACGGTCGAGACGCCAGCTCACCCCTCATCTCCGCCACTCTCAGCCTGCTCCTCAACTCCTGCTCCCTCAGGCTCAACCCCGTGCCGTTGCCGTACGAAAGTCTCGTCGAGCGGTAGCTGGCGCTCGGCAACGGATTGATCGGCGGTCCAGCGAAACCGCGGAAACGGTTGCGGGAGAAGTAGGGCGAGTAGCGGCGGGCGAGGGCTGCACGAGAGTCGATCTTCGGTCGGTTCGCTCAGCGGTCGAGGAGGAGAAGCGGGACTCACTGGGAAAGCGGGTGAAGGACGACCTGTAGCTCGGCGCAAACAAGCCCCGCTCGAGCGGGACGTTCCTCAAGTAGCTCAAGTCGAGATCCCTCCCGCCGAACCTACGTCCCCAGAACCCGCTCGAAAGCCCGAGCACACCGAGACTGCCAGCAGCTGCGAGTTCGCGGTACCGCAAAGCCCGCTCCTCCTCGTTCAGCTCTTCCCATGCGAGACGTTCTTCCCAGCGATGGAGGCGTTCGGACTCGGAGAGCGCGTTGTCGAGGTCGAGTTGGCGTTGAAAATACTGCGAGCGCAGGAGTGATCACGAAAAAGCAGAGGACTTGTGAGCTACGCGTTTCAGACAGAACGGGAGACTTCGAGCGCACCATCAGGTCGGCCAGGGCGTACTATAGATCGGTAAGATCAGCTCGCGCTCATCCCCGTACGAAAGAGCCGAGACGCACCTGTTCCTCTTCCCATGAATCGTCACCCCACGCGTCGTACAGCGGCATTGAGTGGTCGACGAAGCTCGTGTAGTCGTACAGGTCCGGGTAGTAGCCCTCCTCGTACCCCCAGAGCGGCTCATCGTACCCGTACCCTCCCAACCCGAGTCCTCCCTCGTAACCGTACAATTCGCCTCCCGATCCGTAGTACGAGTCTCCGTACGAATCGCCGTAGTAGCCCGTGTGGTATGGGTAGGAGTCGGAGAGAACCGTGTCGGCGTAGCCGTCGCCATCGAGGTCGTAGGTGTGGATCGACATGGGAAAGAGCCGAAGTTGAAGGTGCTGGAGACGCGAGCGAGTGGGCGGATATGCAAGTCGCCTCTGAAGAGCTTTGTGTGAGGTCTCGAGCAGGCGCGCAAGCTCGAAAGACGAACGACGGCAAGTGATGAGCGAGTGAAGGGTGAGGGGACAAGGGAGACAAGGCAACAAACCTGCGAGGCAATGGACTGTACCACAGCCTTGTTGGCACAGACCTATGCAGTCGGAAACAGTGACACGGGCGAAAGAGAGCAGTAGAAACTGCGAGCGGCGAGGAGGACATCCTCGAGAGGAGACAGGAGGTCGAGGGGCCCGAGGTAAAGCCGAAGCAACGAAGATCGAGCTTGTGCCGCCTTGCAGGCCGCTGTAGCAGTAAAGAAAAGACCTGTCATCTGCCTCTACACGCGCTCCAGCGCCCTGCTTCATCCCTCAGACGCGCTGTTGACTTCGAGGAGGTCGGGGGTCGACGAGGGCGAGAGTGGACGGTCGAGCGCTCGGACGGGCGCGCGTCGAACTGCCTGGAGCTCTGCAGGGCCCTTCAGCCCATCGAAAGTACTCATCAAGCCAGTTGAGCGAAGTGTACTTCATCAACAGACGCCGGCAAAGGTCAATCTCGACCACGAAGCTCGCTCTCTTCGCTGTGACTTGCTGGCTAGCTGAGACTGCCGCTCTGATACGCCTGACCATGCCCAGCAAGGCAGCAAACGGCTGTGCGTCCTTCTCGCGATTCCCTCACCGCCGTCACCACTCACTCGCGCGACAACAACTCTGCAGACGCTGTCCCGCAGCCAGAGCTGTCGGCCAACTTTGAGTGGCAGCCGACGTTCGATGAGCTGCTCGAGCAGACGGCTTCGACGAACGTGGTCGAGTGAGTCGGGTCCGGGATCGAGTCGCGCGATGTGGGCTGACAGTACTCGCTTGACGCAGCGCCGACTGGCCTATACTGAAGGACATGATCAAGCACAAGCTGGCAGAGGTGCGTGCGTTTCCGCTAGAACGTGTTGCGGTCAGCTGACCCTCCTCGTCTCGACAGGCCATCTCCAACTTCCTTGCGATGGGTCCACCCTGGCCGCTCGCTCCAGAAGACGCGCTGCAGGCACGAGGGAGGGCTTACAACACGCTCGACTCTTTCACCGGGTGCGTAGGCAGGATTGGCGGCATACTGGACGAAACTCACGATTCTCACCCGCAGACCTCCCTTCACCATCCAGCGACTATGCGAACTCTCCCTTTACCCTCGACGACAATACACGTCCCTCCCAAAGTACCTGCGTGCCGTCAATCGCATCCTGAGCGTGACGTCTGAAAAGTCCGCCTTCAGCGAGGATTGGGATTCGGAAGAACCGCTCGCGTCCACCTCGGCGACTACCATCGAGAACTCGCTCGGCGTCGTCAGCCAAGGAGTGGTTCTCTCTCCCGCGCATCCCTCCGTCTCGCCTTCAGCCGTTGCGACCCGAAGACCTGCACCTTCTCCCTCCGCCAGCCCTCGAGCATCTCCGAAAGTTGTCCCCCTCCTCAGCCCTATACCCTGGCTTCGAAAGTCAGACACCGTATCCGAGAACGGCGACGTCGACCCTATGTCCCTCTCTTCCCCGCCGCCAGCCTCTTCACCTCGGAACCCTCCAATCTCCCTTCCTCCGACCATCCCGCCCGGCTCAGCGACAGATCCGCAGCTCTCGCCGCCTAAAGCACTACACGAAACAGCGACGCCGACAGGAGGACTGGTTGATGAGGTCGACCCCGGCAGCGGAGGGAAAGAGACGGCGGAACCGGTCGCGTTGAGCAGCGCGACGACACTCAGCCCGGAGCGGGAAAGGAATGGCGCGGCGAACCCGGGCACGGCGCTGAGTCCGAAGGATCTGCTGGAGGGGTCGACGCTGCAGCAGCGGTTTGTGCGCGCGAGCAGTCCGAAGGTCGAGATGCCGCTAGACCCGGAGGCGGGCGAGAAGGGCGCGGCGGCGGCAGAGCAGGCGGACCGGATGGAAGAGGACCGGTAGTACCCCTCGTGCCATCATTTTACTGCATGCACTGCGCCACGCAACCGTTGTCGTCGAGAGTTGTCTGCTGTCCTGACCTTCCCTTCTCTCTCGCTGCTCCACTCATCCTCGCTCGCAGCTCGCACGCCTCGCCCACCATGCAGACTGATTCTGGTGTTTCACTCGAGCACGTACACCGCGCCCACGTCGCCTCGCTCGCCTCGCAGCTCGTTCCGGACGCCCTCACCTCGACTGACCACCTCCTCTCGCTCGCCCTCCCCTCGCCCTCGCGGCCTTTGACGCCCCTCGCGATCGGTCACGACGAACGCAATATCGATTTCTGGGATGATCGGAAGGTGCGCGAGTGGGAGAAGGGGGCGAGCGAGGTCGAGCGCTGGGAGATGAGCAAGGGACAGGTCGAGGAGGTCAAGCGGGTGCGGAAGGATCTGGCGGACGCAGTCAAGGATGCCCAGGAGTTCGAAGCGACGTCTCTGACAGCAGGTGCGTCGGTACGTTGTCGCGAAGCGGGCAGCGCTGACCTTCCTCTCGTGCAGACGCCTGGCTCTTCCCGCCCCGAGTCTCGGACGATCTCCTACTCGCTCGAACCGACAGATCAAGGTGGGAGACGGGCATGGCGACATTCGACCCGAGCGAAGTCGTCCCGAACTTGCTGAAGCCGCTGGCGGAAGCGCTTCCTCCCGACTTCGACGGCGACTTGCTCGCGCTTGAGCGAGTCCCTCCTCCTGCCGAGCTCTAGTGCGTCTCCGTTCCATCTCCGTTGTACGCTCGCTGAACTTTCACGCACACAGCGAGCTCAAGCTCGTCGCTACGCCTGAACAGCTCGCGCACGTCAAGGAGACGCGGCTCGACTTCGTCCAGAGAGCTAAAGAGGCGAAGTCTTCTGCGCTCGCTAATGTTGATGAGGAGGAGTGGCGCGACATGGTCGGCTCGCTGGACCTGCCAAAGGTGCGTCTTGCGTTCTAGAATTGCCGTTCCGCACCTCACCCTCATTCGCCTCGCAGTCGCCTCGCATCGGCTCGCCACCCATCTTCCCTCGTCCCAAATCTGCGTTCGTCGACCCCGCCGCCGACACGATCCACGCTTTCCTGCCGTCGGAAGTCAGCGCCTACCCTTCTTCGCCTCGAGGAGCAGACTACCTGCGTGCTGAGTGGGACAGGGAAGGTGAGCAGCTTCGTCCTCTGCTGAAATGAATTTTGCTGACGATTGTGATCCGCGCAGACGCACTCACCCTTCCACCTTCCTCGCCGCCAACGTCGACTCGGTCTGAGAAGGTCAACGGCCCTCAGCAAGTCTGGTCGAGCTCGCAGGTTGGCGACTTGCCGCAGAACAACGACTTGAGCATCGGCGAGTGCTGCTCGTCCTGCTTGGAGCTATGCAGAGCTGACGGCTCCATGCGCAGAGTTGCCTGCCTTCGGGCGCGAGAAGCGGATCAAGTCGGCGCAAGTCGAGGCTGGGAGGTCAGTCTCCGTCGCTCGCGCTACAGTTTCAATGCTCACCGTGCGCTCTTCCGCTCGCAGCTGGTGGGAGGACGTCAGCGCCTTTGCCGAGGATGAGGTCGAGGTCGACCAGCTCGATTCCGACTACGAAGACGACGCGCCGAGTGTTACCACGACCAGCGACGCGTATGCGCACGGCAAGCGGAGATGGGATGTGCTGAGCTCGGATCAGACGATCGGCGAGCATCGACCGGACGATGAAGGCGCCGTAATCGCCCAAGCCCGTCTTCCTGGTGCGCCCCCCTTCTCTCACTGTAGGACACTCGCGCTTACGAGCAAGTGGGCAGTCCCGAAGCTCGCCTTGGTTTCGGCAACGCTTCCCGCCGCCCCAAGTCTGCCTCGCCCAGCCGACTTTGCGCGCAAGTCCGGCACGCCCTTCGCCCAGTCTCTGCTTCCCGGCCTTCGCTCCCTCACGATCGAACTCAGCTGGCAAGCATGGAGGCTGCCGCCCGGCGAGACGCTCGAGGATGTCCTCGACGACGGCGGCGCCGACTTGGCTGCACCAGACGAGAGCGCCGGTCTTCTCCCGTCAATCGACACCGCTCAGCAACCAGACGATGACTTCGACTTCGCCTCCAAAGCGCTAACAATGAGCGCGACGTGCCGCCGAAGCTCGTCCGACGAGACTCTCTCGCCTCGAGTCAAAGCGTTCGGCTTGGACAGCAAGTATCTCGAACGCCAGCAGCCGAACGTCGCCCCGTCTGGAGAAGAAGTGGAGCAAGGGTCGCAGCTGTGGGCGGCCATTGACGAGGCAGAGCAGGACGAGGCGGAGACTGGCGCACTCGCGCTCATCCAGCTAGCCTCGTCTGAATCGTCTGCGTCGCCTAGGTCGCCTGAGGCAGCAGTCTCGCCCGCGCACGATCAACTACCGCCTGATGGCGAGCCGCAGGCCGGCCCGAGCGACGACTCGAGCGACTTCGGCTTCATCTTTCCCTCGTCCAGTCTCGACAAGGAGGAAGGCGGGAGTGTCGACCCGGAAGCGGGCGAGGCGGAGGCCGGTTTGCACGCCACGGAGCACGACACGCGGGCACCGCCACCCGCTCACCTCGATGAGCCTGTTGCGTCGACCGGTTCGCCAACGGCTGAGCCTGCGGTCTCTCCCCTGCCGGTTCCGACCTGGTCAATGGCTAGCGCGCTCGACCACTTCCTCGCAGCTCGAGGAGCGCCTCTGCCGACTAGCTTCGCTAAGACGCCGCCAACGAAGCACAAGAAACAGTCGGCGTCTACCAAGCCCCCCGTCGCTCCTCAGCAGCGGTCATCCCCTCCGCCAGGCGCCATCCCGTTCACGGCACCTTCTTTCGTCGCTCGTTCCAGCCATCTCCGTTCTGCCAGCGACACCATCCGAGTCGTCGGCTTCGACTCGATCTTTCAGATGCGGTCGCACTTCCTCGCCTTTCAGCACAACGGCATCGTGCCCGTCCACCGTCCTTCTCGCTTCCCTACATCGTCCAACGAGATCTTCGAGCCGCATCTGATCATCAACCCCTCCGCCGCCGTCCTGTACATCAAGCTCGCCTCGCTCATCGGAAATGCGGTCCCTTCTCCGACGCAGTCCACCTCAGCTCGCGCAGAACCCGTCTTCACGACCCTCGCGCGTCTCTCCGAGCGCTTCGACCGCCTTGTCGTCATCCTCGAGGAACAGCAGACCCGCGTCGGATCGGTCAAAAGCTACTCCTTCACGCCGCCCGTACTCGCCGCGCTCAACCAGCTTGCGACTGCTCTCTCCGAATACCGTGACGGACAGCATGGCATCGAATTTGCACTCTCGAAGGGCGCAGACCATTCAGCAGAGTTGACGAGGTGGTTCATCGAGTGGTCGCGAGAGAAGGACGCCGAAAAGGCAGACCTGCCGGTCGTGGATCTGTGGGACGGGCGAGCATGGCTTTGCGACGACCCGACGGAGGTGCGTATCGTTTGTCCATCCGATACGACGCGACTGATACCCTGGTCACCCCAGGACGAAGCAGCGCTGCTTCAGCAGCCCGACCTAAACGAGCTCTCCGCGTCCGCCATCCTCGCCATCGCATCGCTCAACGACTTTCTCGGCATGTCGGCGAGTGACAGGCGCGCCATCTTCGGCTCAATCATTGGCTTCGACCGCATCGTGCGTATCGCCCTCATCTCGGTCCTCGAAACGCGCTGACTGTCTCCCTCTCAGGACCGCATCTCGCACGCTCTCAGTGGCCAGTCCCGCCCTGGCTCCACCGCTTCTTTCGGGTCACGCGAGCTCGACGCTCAGCCTGTCCAGCCACTCTCGGCCATGGCAGCAAGCGGACAAGACGGCTTGTGGAATAACGAGGACGACTTCGACTTTTCCGAGTTCGTAGACATCTCGCAATGAGCATCAACGGCATCTCTGCGTATCCTTTAGCCCGTAGCGATCCAGCGATGAAGCAGAGTGGCGGATTGGACACTGATTCTACCTTGCATTCTTCGGTATCCTGCTGCTACTCAATCGCTCAACCGAAGAGCGAGTTCTGTACGTGCTCGTTCTTCATGTAGCGGACGCCCTTGACCTCGAAGCTGTCGACGACTTTGCGGATTTCGGCGAGCTCGTCGGGAGTGAACGTGATGTCTGCGGCCTCAAGGCACTGCTTTGCGCGCTGAGGGTTGGTCTGTATCGTGACGACACGGTCAGCCGGACCACGAGTGGCAGAGGAACAAAGGAACGCACCGAGCCGGGAAGAACCGAGATGCCCGCCCACTGCGCGCCAACCCATGCGATGGAGAGCTGCGCTGGCGTGACACCCTTCTTCTCGGCGATCGAGGTAAGCTTGCGGACGAGCTCCATGTTGTGCTCGAAGTGCTCGTCGGAGAACCTGGAGAGGAGGAGAGAAGGTCAGTTCCAGGTGCAGCGAGAGGATCACGATAAGGAGGGCTGGAGTCGCTTGACCCGCTGTGGACGTACTTGTCAAAGTTCCGACGCATGTCGCCCTCGGGGATATCATCCTTCGACTTCCAGTTGTTGCCGAGGAAGCCAGCGCCGAGCGGAGAGTAGGCGGCGATAGGGATGCCCAGCTCCTTGCAGGCATCGAGGACGCCGTTCTTCTCGATTTCGGTCGCGAAGGGCGAGTACTCGAGCTCGACAGCGGCGACGGGACCAACGGCGGCAGAGCGGCGGATGGTGTCGGCGGAAGCTCTGCGCGTTCGGCAAACCTGGTCAGCTTCTACTGTCCTGTCTGAGCGACACGAGGGCGGACGCACTCAGAGATGCCGATGTACTTGAAGTGGCCTTCGTCGCGAAGGGTGAGCAGGTTTTGCATCGACTGTTTACAGAGTGGATGTTAGCGGATCAGGATGCAAAGTCGGACATTCAGCAAGGACTCACCTTCTCGGGACCAGCCTCCTTGTCGACGCGAGCGATCTCAAAGAGGTCCATCTTGCGGTGCTTGAGGATCTCGTTGACCTCAGTGACTTGCTTGCGGAGGAAGTCGACGTCGGCGTTCGGCTTCATCTGCGGCGTGATACCTCCCTTGACGGAGAGGAAGAACTTGTCTGCACAAGGAAGAGCGTCAGCAGGGCGGGAGGAAAGGAGGAAGGAGGGGGCGCACCCTTGTAGTCGGGGTACTTCTCGCAGAAGCGCGAGATCAGCTTCAGGTTGGCCGTGATGTCGGGCGGGGTGCCGTAGAAGTAGCCGCTGATTGGTGAACGAGCAGACGAGCCATGGATAAGGCGGGCAGCCAATGCAGGCAGAGCAAGGACAGTGTCGAATGGAAGAAGAGAGGATCGATGTCAGCAAGAGTCCGCCCGATCGAGCAGATGGCTTCATACGCACGAGTTGAAGGTCGTCGAGCCTTCGTCGATGGCCATCTTCATAAGCTCGAAGGCCTGCTCGTCCGGCGTCTACAGGAGGTGGAGGAAAACAAGGTCAGCTCTACCGTTCCAATCGGCGGCTCATAGCGATTCGTAACGTACGTGCTTTGGAGCCCAGGTGAGGCGCATCAGGCCGGTAGCGACTTTGGCGAGAGGGACGGGGCCGACAGTCACGGAGGGGACGGGCATTCTGTGGAGAGGGGTGTGGACGGGTGCAATCGGTGCTGAAGGCGGGCGAGGGTAGCTGTGGAGTGCTATTGGAGACCGGAGAGCTGCTCGAGTGCGCTGCGAGTGATGGAAAGGAAGGAGAGAGGCGTCTCCGCTCACGACGTCGCTTTATCCCTCCTCCTCCACTCTGCGCCCGCCCGAGGCCCGGTAGGCCTTACGAGAGCACAGTAGAGCAACTCAGGGGCGCAGCGCGGTCCAGGACGGCCCACGAAGCCAGGAAGGCGCTCGACAGCACGTCGCGAAGTGGAGGCACTCCCGCTTCCGATCGAGCCTGGACGGAGATTGTGCGGGCTCCATGGAGCTGCGCGAAAGGAGGAGGGAGAGAATGCTGTACGGTATCATTGCGAGGTGACTGCGAGGTCGTGATGGAGAGAATACTGCGAATGGTAGGCTGGCGGAAGGAGAGGCGAAGACGAATCTAGGTGAGGGACGATACGACACCGACCAGCCGTCGGATGTGCGGCGCGACGAGGTACGACGGGATGTAGGTCTGCGTGGGAGGCGTATATGCGTAAGACGGGGGAAGGAAGCAGGGAAAGGGAGCGAACGCACCTCGATGCCCGTGACCTCGCGCGGCAAGGGAGTCTCGTACTGGCCGGCCTCCTCGACCTGCGGTGCGTTGAAGTCAGCATCACCCAGCAAGACAAAGCTGACCGAGGGAGACGCACCTCGGGCGGGAGGAGCAGGTGGTCGTTCTTGTCGCCGGCGACAACGCGCGCATTGACAGCGCGAAGGATCTCAGGCGAGATCGGGTTCTCATAGTCGGCAACGTAGTCTGCGGCGAGTTGAAGAGTCAGTCATGTAGCGCACGACACGTGAAGGAAAGGTCACGCACAGTTGGCGACGAGCTTCTGGATCTGGGTCGGCGTGAGCATCCAGCACACGTCAAAGATGATCTCGATGTCGGCCAGCGACGCCTTCTTGAGCTGCAGCAGCTTGGTTGCCTGCATGAGGTGTTCGAGCTGGAGCGTGCCTTCGGGCATGTCGTGCGCCTTGCACCACTCTTCGAGGCGCGTGATGTTGCTGCAAGGCAAGAGTCTAGTCAGCGGACGCTCGGATCGGCTCACAACCGCGCCACTCACTACTGTATCTGCATCGCGCGCTTCCACGAGGAAAAGTTGCGGCGCATGAGGAGGTCGTTGAAGCTGGTGACGCCGATGAGCTTGAGGAGCTCGGTAATGGCCTGCTGGACGACCGTGACCTCGACATAGTACGACTTGAGGCTCTTCCAAACTTTGTTGAGGAGGTTGAGGATGTCGTCCATGCTGAATGCGGGCGCCTGGTTGCCGCCGACGAGCCGGTTGAACAGCCTGCCGCCCGAGTCGGAGGTGACGAAACCCGGCAGCGACTGCGACTCGATGAGCGCCGGGATGACCATCTTGTGCAGCCGCTTCTTCGTCTCCTGCACCCACGTGTGATAGATGTTGTACTCGAGGCTGTCGAGGTCGTGCTTGACGATCGTGACGAGTCGCTCGTAGTCGTCCCACTCATAGTCGCGGCCGATGCCGTCGCCGCCGGGACCGATGCCCTGCAGGATGTCCGACTCGGCGATGCAGACGAAGGAGAGGATCTCGTGGACGTTCGACAGCCAGAAGATGCCAGGAACGATGACCTCGTCGCCGGTGTAGCTCTGCGGGCGGCGCGACGGAGTCAGCTCACACACGGCAAGAGAGTCAGGCGGGGAGGACGCACCATGACGTGCTGCTGGATCGTCTGCATGACATTAGCGAGGAAGCGCTCGCTCTCGCGCATCATGCCGTACTTCCACATCTCGTTCGTCACGAGCGAGATCAAGTGTGCGGGGAAGAGGACCTCCTTTGGCGAAGGCGGGCTGGACAGATTCGGCGCCGGGATCTTGAGGTGTCGCACGAGGCTGAAGAGGACGTCTTCATCGAGAGGTTCCTCTTCCTCGAGCAGCCGCATGATCTCCTCCGCCGGGTCATCGTACACGTCGGGCAGGTAGCCCTTCCCGCCAGGTCCGCCGGCGAGTCTTCGGACGGTCGGCTCCTGAGGGAAAGCCATCGAGACCGGTCGAGGCGACTTCTCCCATCGGCCGTCTTCCGGGATAGGGCTAACCGAGACGCCGTCCATGACGCCGTCACTGTGTCGCCGTGCTCTTCGCTTCGCGCCCTGCGGCGCGGAGAGAGCGGCGGCGGCGGCGGCGACGCCAGCTGGCAGCGATGGCGATGAGCCGTTCTCGACGACGCCGTTCGTCACGGGCGCGCCAGGCGCCACTGATCGCTGACCGGTCGCCATCGTGAAGTTCGCGTCCTGTCGCGGCGCCTTGGCGGCGTTGTTGTTGATCGCGACTTGGCGGGAGAGCTGTTCGCGGAGGGAGGCGAGCTCCTGCCGCAAGCCCGACACCGTGGCCGAGTCATCCGATGCGGCAGCGAGGGACTTCTGCAGCGTCCCCTGCTTGGCCTCGAGGTCGGTCTTCTGCTTCAGAAAGTCCTGGTGGATCCGCTCGATCTCGGCGTCCTTGTCGGCGATCTGCTTGAGCGACTCCTCGAGGCGCGCGTCGAGCTCCTTCTTCTGCTGCGCGAGCGCCTCGAACTCGGCGAGCGCAATGGTCGGCTTGTCGAGCTCGCTCTGCAACGCCTTCGCGCGCGAGTCGGCCTCGTCGTGCTTCGACTGCCAGCTGTCGAGCTGCTGCTCGAGCGCACGCAGCTTCGACTGGAGGTCGCGGTTCTCGGTCGTCCGCTTCTGCAGCGTCTGCGTGAGCTCGACGACCTTGTTCTCGAGACGGTAGGTGACCTCCTTGAAGTGCGTTGCGGATCGCGCCTCGGCCTTGAGCGCCTTGAGCTGTCCACGTGCTTGTCTCCGCCGCACGCACGACTGGAGGAGGATGACTCGTCGTCGGTCGCGGAGAAACTGCTGGCGGGCGACGCTGCGAGGTGGAATCGGGTCAGCTAAAAGGATCGCACGAACAAGCGAAGCGGCGAACATACGCTCCACGCAACATCGACTGCAGCTGCGTCGCCGCCTGTTTCTTCCTCTCCTCAACAAAGTTCGCGCGCAGGTGCTGGCCCCTCGCGATGGCCTGCAACGCGACGACCATCCTCTTCGCCCGCTCGAACCGCTGCCTCTCCATGAACCCCCTCGCGACCTTCTGCACCATGACGGCCGCCTTCTCCCGCCGCGCCTCTTCCGCGCGCCTCTTCGCCGCATTTGCGCGGACGACAGCCTGGACGCCGAGGATCATCTTGCGGACGCGCGAGTAGTCGCGCATGGCGAGGAACCGCCGGACGTTCTTCTGGATGAGCGTCGTGAGCTCGTTCAGCCGCGACGTGCGCAGCTGCTCGAAGCGGGCGAGCAGACCGGCACGGAAGAAGATCTTCGTCAAGCCGACTTGGTACCTGTCGGGCTCGGAGATGGCGGACGAGAGAATCGACTCGCAGAGGGCGCGAAGGTCGGACGTCTGCTGCCACTGCGACGACGGGACGAGCATGTAGTAGCTGCGACGGAGAGAAGGAGATTTAGCTCAAGCCTGACACTGAGTGAGGAGACACGCGCGCGCACCGGTCGGCAAACTCGTCAAACTTCCACCTCGTCGGGTACCCAGCGCAAGAGATCTTGATCGTCTCGAGGACACCGCACGCGCGCAACTGCCCAAGGACCATGGGCGGCTCGACCTCCCACGCCTGCTTCGCCTCGTTCGGCTTGATGCAGCGAATGTAGTGCGCGTTGGTCGAGTCGATCGTGTCCATGAGGCTGATGAGCGACGCCTTGAAGATCGAGCCGAGCGTTGGCTTGCGGGCTGTCCCGCCGCGCGCGCCGCCTGCGCCGCCCATCACGCTCATGCGCTTGCTCGCAGCTGGGTTGGCCGCAGCAGCCTCGGCAGCCTTTGCAGCGTCGGCTTCCGCAACAGCCACCTTGGTCGCCTCTGCGCGGTCGAGCACCTCCTTGAGGAACGGATTGGTGGTCGTCGCGAGGAGAGCGAGGTGTTCGTCGGGGACCGTATCGCGGTTCTTCTCGAGAAAGCCGTCGGCCTCGTACGTGACGTCGAGCGCATAGTGCGAGATCGTGAACCCGTTGTTCCCGAACCGAGGCTTCTTGAAAACCTTTGCGTTCTCCGGCTTCGCACCGACGGTCGAGTGGAGTTTCTGGACAAAGTTCGAGTCGGAGCCGGACGGCATGCGCGACTCTTCGTCGAGGAGAGAGAGCACGCCGAGCTTGCCCTCGATCAGGTCGATCGTCGGCTGGTTGTCGGCAAAGTCGATGAAGGTCCAATTGATCTGCTCGCGCATGTACTCCTCCTGCTCGAGCTTGAAGACGTGCGCGTTGAACTGTCGAGCGTGCGAGAGTCAGCGGGGCGTTCGAGAGTGCGTCAGATGGATAGCGCACCTCTTGCTGGAGTTTCTCGTTCGCATAGTTGATGCAGAACTGCTCGAACGAGTTCTTCTTGAAGTGCTCGAACCCGTAGATGTCCTGTGAGAAGAAGTGTTCAGCGTGCAGTCAGTACTCGCTCGGTCGACCGGACGGGACGAGGAGAGACGCTAGCGGGATCACCCAGACTCACGAGGACGCCGATAAAGTTCTTGACAGTGCCCTCGACCTTCTCATTCGTGAGCGACTCGTTAATGACCGCGACCAACCACTCAAACAAGCTCGCATAGATATGCTTGGCGACCGAGTCCTTGACGACGTTCGCCTGTGCCGCGTTGAGGCTCGTAACGATCTTGTCCGTGCGAGTGACGATCTGTTTCTTGAGGATCCAGCGCTTGAACTCGGTCTTGTCGATGCCGAGTAACGAGGTTGCGCGTACGAGGGACGCGTCGTCGTCGTCGAGGAGTGCGTCGGTGCGGGTCGCGCGAATCTCCATGTTGCCGAGATGGAGCAGCGCAGCGAGGACCTTGAAGATCTGCCACTGCCGCTCGACGGTAATCCCAACAGTCGACAGCGCCTTCTGCGTCGCCTCAAACTCGGCTGCGTCGTCGACCCCCGCAATCGCGAGCGCATTCGGACCGCCTTGGTTCAGGTAGGTGAACGACGAGGCCGAGTCGAGTCCGAGGGATTTCCGTTCGGAGGAGGGAGCGCCGGCGAGGAGTTGGTAGAAGATGTGGTAGTTGCGCTCGGTTTCGGGCTGGTAGACGAGGCGAGAGCGCTCGAGGAGGTACGTCCGGATGCGCGCGCCGACGATGGTCTGCGTGCCGTCGAAGAGGATCTGCCAGCGCGAGACCACGACGGAGCATCAGTACGCTTGCCTCGACGCAACGGGTGCAGATCGGTGCCGAGCGCCACGCACCTCGATGTACTTGCCGAAGCGCGACGAGTTGTCGTTGCGGGTCGTCTTGGCATTACCGAACGCTTCCATGATCGGGTTGGTCGCGAGGATCTGCTCCTCGACCTCGGTCATGCCGCTCGCCGTGGTCTGCACGCGCGACATCGAACTCGATCAGATCCGTCCTTCGCGGATGTGTTGACGGCGCGAGAATGGAGAGAACGCTCGGCACGCACCTTCTTCTTCCCCGGCTTGTTGGGATCCTCGACCGTCGCAAAGTACCTCATGATATACTTGGCGCTGACCGTCTTTCCCGCACCACTCTCTCCACTGACGACAATAGTCTGATTCCCTCCGCCTTCGCCGTCTTTGCCGACCATACACCGATACGCCTCTTCGGCGATCGCGAACAAGTGAGGTTCGAGTTCGCCTTTGAGGCGGGAGGAGTAGGCTTGGACGACCGAGGGGGAGTAGACGCCTGAGAGGGAGGTGAAGGGGTTGACGGCCACGAGGACGATGCCGGAGTAGGTGTAGATTGAGCGGAGCGAGTAGCGGTGGAGGATCGTGTGGAGGACTGTCGCGCGCCAACGTTCCTCGTCAGTCCGCACTCACTCACACAGTGACGGAGAACGCTACGCACCGGCTGGCTCGTTCAAGTGCGACAAGTTCGTCAAGTCTTCCGTTCCCTCAAGGACAGGCGGATTCCGTAAGGGAGGGAGAACATCCGGGTTCGAGGCGATCGCGCTCAGGGTCGTCGTAACGGTGTGGTCCTGCGTGAACGAGGACGAGGTTAGCGGGTATGCGGAGAAGAGTCCGTTGGGAGGGATGAGGCGAAGCGCGTCAAGTCGGCGGCGTCTGCGGTTACGATCAACCTGCCAGACGACCGATAGCCTCCCACGATATCTCTGAGCCCGTGGGAATCCCGTATAGCTGCCTCGCCGGACAACGCCATGCCTCTGTTCCAACTGCGCCCCAGTCGCGTTCCGGTGCGAAGAAGCGCCGTCTTCTCGCGAATGATGCGGCCGCCCAGCGACTCCATTCCGTCCCTGCAGTCCCTCTGAAGCTCCTTGACTGATCCCAGCCCATCCCGGTGCGCCGACGAGGGGTGCTCGCTCCCCCTCCTGTCCCTCTACGCGAAGGAAGACGAGCGACTCACCTTGCCGTTCTCGTCGACGAACTCGATCCTGACGTCTTCTCCGTCGACATGCTTGGCTGTGACGTGCCCCGAGACCCACCCGAGGTCCTTGTCGGGGAACCAGCAGCGCGTCTGGGGTGTGTAGGAGTCGAGGAGGGAGGGCATGAGGGAGTGAGGGGGGACGCGGCCTGCGCGTTGTCGGGCGAGGTGTGAGGGTGTGCTCGAGTTGTGAGTGAGTTGGCTCGACTGGGTTGAAAGGGTGAGCGAGGGCGAGCTGGCGGTCTCAAGGAGACTCGACGCGACGAAGCGGGACGGGACTCTCTGGGGCACTCGCTGGCAGTCACTCGTGGGTAGCTACGATACCACCAGCTATCTTCTAATAGACTCTTTCGATTTGTCCAGCATCACGCGAAACACCTCGCGCGAGAGAGCCGTCCTCACTGCCTCTCCCTCGACCTGCTCTCCTCCAGCCAACACCCACTACTCACTCCTTCGCACTCGTGAGTCGCACAAGCACAGCCTACGAGTGACTGGGCCACACTCGACACCGCCCGCTGCCCTACCGCTCCCCTTCGCCCGCCGCGTCTCCCTCGAACCGCCCCCGTCGCCTATCGCCGGACAAACTCGAGCCAGATCTCGTCCTCACACAGCGTGCGGGTCCAGCCCAGCTACTCCATCCTGTTCCAAACACTGCTGGGCAACTTCGTGGACGAGCGCAGAGGACCAGCGAGGCGGAGGGAGGGCTTTTCGGGACGGTTGACTCTGCGGATTCGGAAGAGGGGAGATTAGGGACAACTCGCATGGCAGAGGCTGGGACGGCGAATTGACGCTCTCTTCTACTCGCAACAGCTTACAAGAGCGCAATCATGGCTGAACAGATGGTGCGTGTCGACTTTGGCTTGGTCGTTCGCTCAGTTCGACGAGACTGACGGACGCTCTTTGCCTGCCTTTCTGCGTCGGTCTTCGCAGGCCCAGAAACTCTGGGGAGGCCGCTTCACGACCGGTACCGACCCTCTGTGCGTCAGCGAGTCCAGGAGTTGCGGAAGGACGTCTCGTGCTGACTGTTCCGCCTGTTCGGTTTGGGCGCCACGCACAGCATGTGGGAGTTCAACCAGTGCCTGTCGTACGACAAAGCCCTCTACGCCGTCGACGTCGCCGGCTCCAAGGCCTACGCTCTCGCCCTCTCACGCACCACCCCACCCATCCTCACCACCCACGAGCTCTCCGAAATCCACCGCGGCCTCGACCAAGTCCAGTCCGAGTGGGACTCCGGCACGTTCGAGATCAAGCAGGACGACGAGGACATCCATACGGCCAACGAGCGCAGGTTGAGCGAGATCATTGGGAAAGAGATTGGAGGAAAGTTGCATACGGGAAGGAGCAGGAACGATCAGGTCGCGACGGATATGAGGCTTTGGTTGGCGCAGGAGGTACAGAGGGATATCGAGTGGATTCAGGGTGTCGTCGGGATCTTGGCCGTCAAGGCGGAGGAGTGGATCGACCACCTCGCTGCTGGATTCACTCATCTCCAGGTGCGTGCGGACCAACCCGCTCTCAGAGGCTCTCTCTCTCTTTCGAGAGGCGGTCGCTGATCTGGACAGTTGGCGGTCGTACAGCGCGCCCAACCGATCCGCTTCTCGCACTTCCTCCTCGCCCACGCGCACTCGTTCGCCTCGGACCTCGACCGCTTCCGGGACCTCCTTCCGTGCGTCCACCTTCCTTCTTCCCGCTCTTCCTCTCTCTCTCTCTCTCTCTCTC